TTGTCGTTTTTTTCCAAGCTTTTTTTGCTTTTATAGCTTTTTTTAATTCCATCTTTTTGGTCATTTTTTCCAGTCGCATTTTTTTGCGTTTTCCCCTTTTTTAGGTCCTTTTTGTCGTGGCCTTTTTTTCGCATTATTTATGATTTTCTCACGTCTTGATTTCGCATTTTTGTCGCCCTTTTTGCGGATTTTTTTTACTTTTTGGACGTTTTTGCTGTTTTTTTTATCACTTTTGTACTCGTCTATTTTATTTTTTTCACATTTGTTTTTGGAGCCTTTTTCGTGTACTTTTTGTTGCTTTTTTCGAGTTTTTTTTTGTTTTCTATTTATTGTAGGCTTTCCTTTTAATTCCCCTTTTTCGCATTATTTTGTAATTTTTTTCTTTTGCATATTTTGTGACCTTTTGTAGTAACAAAAGAAGTATCTTCGTAGTCTCCTTTTTGTGAACTGTTTGTCGCGTTTTTCTGTTCTTTTTTTTTGTCAATTTTTGAAGTCACATTTTTTTGTGGCGTTTTTGGGCCCCCTTTTTAGTTCCTTTTTGTCGTGACCTTTTTACGCATTGTTTATTATTTTCTCGTGTCTTTTCGGATTTGTTTGTCGCTTTTTCGGCGGATTTTTGTCATTTTTAATTTTCTTTTTTTGTACTTCTTTAGGTCCTTTTTGATTTTCTTTTTTGTGCCTTTTTCGTTGCTTTCTGTGTCCGTTTTTTGTCACTTTTTGTCGATTTTTTTGTCCTTTGTTTTTGTGCCTTTTTATGGACTTTTTGTCGTATTTTTCTAGCTTTTTGGTTTTATAGCCTTTTTTAATTCCCTTTTTTTTCGTATTTTTTGCCACGTTTCTTTGGCTCTATTTTATTTTAATAATAATAATACGTCACTTTTTGCAGTGTTTCCCCTTTTTGTGCACTTTTTGTCCTTTTTATTCCAATTTTGTCAATTTTTTTGTTGTTTTTTGGTCACTTTTTTTATACTTGCCCGTTTGTGTATTATTCTGACCCTTTTTGTCACTTCTGCCAATCGCATATTTTTTACGTTTTTGGGCCATTTTTTGCTTCCTTTTTGTCGTGCCCTTTTTTCGCATTTTTTATGATTTTCTCGGCTCTTGTTTTCGCATTTTTTATTGCGTTTTTTCGCTAACTTTAGTCCTTTTTGATGATCTTTTTTCTACCGTTTTTTTCTCCTGTTTGATTTTCTTTTTTGTACCTTTTTCGTGCTTTTTGTGGTCGTTTTTTGTCACCTGTTGTATTCCACTGTTGTAGATTCTTTGACCTTTGTTTTTGTGCCTTTTTAGGGACCTTTTGTCGCTTTTTTCCACTCTTTTTTGCTTTTATAGTCTTTTTTTAATTCTCCCTTTTTTTTGTCATTTTTTCAGTCGCATTTTTTTGCGTTTTTCCTCTTTTTTAGTTCCTTTTTGCCGTGACCTTTTTTTCGCATTATTTAGGATTTTCTGGCGTCTTGATTTCACATTTTTTGTCGCCCTTTTTGCGGATTTTTTCCTTTTGATATTTTTGAATTTTTTGGACTTTTGTTTTGCTGTTTTTTTGTCACTTTTGTAGTCGTCTTTTTTAATTGTTTCTCCTTTGTTTTTGCAGCCTTTTTCGTGGACTTTTGTTGCTTTTTTCTAGTTTTTTTTTGTTTTCTGTTTATTATAGGCTTTCCTTTTAATTCCCCTTTTTCACATTATTTGTCATTTTTTCCCCATTTTTTGTGTAGTACACTTTCGTAGATTTTTTGTCCTTTGTTTTATGCCCTTGTAGGGACCTTTTGTCGTTGTTTTCTAGCTTGTTTGTTCGCCTTTTTCGTGAACTTTTGTCCTTTTTAATTTTATTTCTTTGTACCTTTTTTGTCATTTTTGATTCTATTTTTTGTGCCTTTTTCGTTGTTTTTGTACCGTTTTTTGTTTTGTCACTTTTTGTAGTCCACTTTTGTAGATTTTAGGTCCTTTGTTTTTGGGCCCTTTTAGAGACCTTTTGGCACTTTTTTTCTACCTTTTTTTTGCTTTTATAGCCTTTTTTAATTCCCCTTTTTTCTCATTTTTTGTCACGTTTTTTTGGCTCCTTTTATTCACTTTTTGTAGTGCTTCGCGTTTTTTATGCACTTTTTGCCCTTTTTGCTTGCATTTTTTGTGACCTTAAAAATTGTTTTTTGGTCACTTTTTTGTGTCGCCCTTTCGTGGATTTTTTGTCGCATTTTTCTGTCATTTTTGTGTCACTCTTTCAGTCGCATTTTTTGGGGTTTTTGGCCCCTTTTTTGGTTCCATTTTGTCGTGGCCTTTTTTCGCATTTTTGGCGCCTTTTTTGTGGACTTATTTTTTTGATTTTTTTAACTTTTTTGGACGGTTTTTTGTTGCTTTTTTTTGTCATTTTTGTAGTCGTCTTTTTTGATTTTTTTTCTCCTTTGTTTCTGCAGCCTTTTTGTGGACTTTTTGTTGCTTTTTACCATTTTTTTTTGTTTTATATTTATTGTAGTCTTTCCTTTCAATTCCCCCTTTTCGCATTATTTTGTCTGCTTTTTTTTTTGTGTTTCGCTTTTTTGTGCAATTTCATCGCTTTTTCTGTTGCATTTTGTGTGACTTTGTTTTGTTACTTGGTTCTAGCCGCCCTTTTGTGGACTTTTTGTCGCGTTTTTCTGTTTTTTTTTTGTCAATTTTTTGTGGCCTTTTTGGCCCCCTTTTTTAGTTCCTTTTTGTTGTGATCTTTTTTTCGCATTATTTATCATTTTCTTGTTCCTTGTTTTCGCTTTTTTGTCGCATTTTGTTACCGTTTTTTTTATTTTCTTGTCATTTCTTCTTTGTTGATTTTTTCTCGTTTGTTTTCGTATTGTTTTTTGTGGACTTTGGGTCGTTTTTTTTGCAATTCTTTATTTTCTTTTTTGCCGCGCCATTTTTTCGATTTTTTTGTCGAGTTTTTGGATCCCTTTTTTGGTCACACTTTGTAATATTTTGCATTTTTCTCGCCTTTTTGTGCACTTTTTGTCATTTTTTCATTATTTTGTTACATTTTTGACCCTTTTTGAGTCTTGTTAATATATTTTACTGTAGGTTTAGTGATGACTTCCTTTTTGTTTTTCTGTTAGTGGCATTTGTCCTTTTTGTGACCTTTTTGTTTTTTTTTTACTTCTTTGTTATCGCCCTTTTGTGGACCATTTTATCGTGCTTTTTATAACCGTTTTTGATACGTTTTGTAGTCACATTTTTCATGACGTTTTTGTCCCTTTTTTTAACTCCCTTCGCATTCTTTGGCATTTTTTGACCTCTTTTCTATCCCCTTTTTTGACCACTTTGTAGTGGCCTTTGTTTCGCATTTTCTTTGTAATTAATTTGTTATGATTATAGCTCTGTTTTTTTGTCGACTTCGTCCCTTTTTTTCGGATTTTTTGTCGCCTTTTTGTCGTTAAAACGTTGATAACAAAATTTTATTATGCAAAAGTCACTTGAAACACACCCTCAGCATACTTTTTACCTAAAATCTAACAATCGACAAAATATTTGTGGACGCGTTTCGCCAACCACGTTGGTATCATCTAAACTGTCCAGTTTTAGTAAAATTCAACGTGAATAGTTGGTAAGCTTGAGCATTTTTTGCTATCTATATATAAATTAACAAATGTGTATATAAATTCGAAAAAGTTCCCTTGCCCCTGAAGAATAACAAATACGAAATCCACGCCAGGAACAATTTTTCGAAAGATAACATTACAGTCTTTCAATCACAGGAAAATTATATGAATATTGAAAAGTGTGAAAATATTTTAGAGCATATTTTTTGATGACGTCAGCTGTTTTGGAGAGGATGAATAAATAAATTTTGTTTGACGTAAAACATCTAAGTAAAAAATTAAATCTTGTAGGTACACCACAAGAATTTTAAAATCCTGCAAGAGCATTGTCAACAAAACCAACAACATCAGAAAATCTTAGCATTCTACAAGCCGCTAAAACAAATAAAAGTGATTGATTTGCACTTTAATGGCGCTTGACAGCTTTAACGTTAATCTTGATATTTTAAAGGAATTTCCATCACAGCAGGAATACGATTTGAATGTTGAAACTATCTAAATCTCTATTTAACGCACCAGACTGGAATTTAAATTAAAAAGACAATGTCGTAATAGTCAGGTGTTCCCATATTTGGGAACCATAATGAACTTTGAAACCTCAACCTTGAAATCACCGTCTATAATAATGTTTTCGACTTTGTTAATAATAATCATTGTTATTTTAAACAGATAATTGTTTCCATCGTTTCGATTATTGGGACGAGGCGTTAGCCGTGGTAACAGGACGAGTACCACAAACCAGAAACCAATCCCCAAAATTGTTTCCGCGAATGAGGTTAACGTCTTGACCACAATTACACCTTCCTCACCTATGAATTATCGCAGTGACCTTTCACCTCTGCAAACAAGACATTAAAATTAATTCATTCACGAAAACGTCCATCTCCATCCCCGTTACCCATCTCCGCCATAATTCACCCATAACTAGTTGCACAGTTGGAATAAAATGATAAAAATGGATAATTACTGCTAGTTCTGCCACTTTCAGGTTAATAATACTAACAGTCTTCGGCATACTTAATTTTTCTTGCTCTGACCAGCTATTATTAGTTTACCGTAGCACAGTAAAACAGCAAGCAACCTACCGTAAAATAGAAATGTGAATGTAGCCGCCGCCGTAATCATATACATTACATCTGTCACTTTGAAAATAGTGCTTTAGTTAGAAATTGTCAAGGTTCATCAAGGAGAATGCTCGTGATACCTAAGTAATTTCTATTTATAGCAATTTTGCTCCTCGACTTATCGTCGAACTCGGCTTTCGCCTCTTACTAGAAAAAATGTCATTTTTGACTCGTTTGGGAAAACTTAAAAACCGCCTCAACCGCGGCGTTTCTTAAGAGGATTGGAATGCGCGACCGTCCTTGGCTCGCCTACATTCAGACTCAGTTGAGTCAGTCCTCTTGCATTTAATCCGATTGCTAATTGGTCCTTTTGTTGCAGAATTACTTAAGTAAACATTCGGACACGCAGAGCCAGGCGTTGTTGGAAAGTGTCAACGCGAAATACTACTACTATACTAGGACGAAAGGACTATTCAGGATATGCTATCCCAAAGAAAGGCCTCCCGCAGGTGTGTATGCTTTGAATATTCATTATTGTATTTAGGAGCTAAGCCACAGCTCATAAGTGGAATTTAAAAAGCCATTTCTGGTTCCGATCGGAATATCTTTTACAATGCGACTTTCTCTCGATGATCGAGCAGAAATTCAGGACAGTGCAGATTTTATTATTAAAGGTTGAACAGATGGAGGTAAATGCGTTTATTGTGAGGAGATACAGATCGGTGTGTTGTGGCTGGGGGCAGTTGACTTTCTTTTGATAATTTGGTTTTTGTTGAAAACATTAGTGTTATCTTAATTAGCGCGAAAAATTTGAGGAATTTTGAAATTCATTATTTTGGTGGTATTGTTTGCGAAGTTTTTAAAATATGCGTTGAGTAATGGTGAGAATTCGAGATTTTGGTAATTGGGAGGTCGTTTACTTCGCACTTTCGGTGGAGCTTTGGTGATATTTTTTAATTGTTTTCGGCGTGGACGAATAATTAGGAGATTTGTACAAAAAACAACTACAACATTAAAAAGTTTAAAGCAGCAGCAAATTATGTGTGAAAAAAGGCGCGGTTTATTAGATCCAGTACCCCTAAAGGTATCTAATTGGAAGGATTTAATATGGTCACGATCTTAATAATCTCTTGTACTATGAATGTCACGTGATTAATTTTTTTAGACATTCGTTGTCAATTATATGCAAATTTTTTGAATTATTCAGTGGTGTTGTAATATTTTTTATTAATAAGCGATTAATTGAAAGTCGTAATAAATTTTAATATAAACAGATTAATACATTTGTGAAACTCGAAAGTTATGTTTTGTATGTTTAAAATTTCTTTTATTTGTATAATTTTTCCAATTAAATTGTTACTGTTTTTAAAAGATTAATTTCATTGACTAAATTTTAAGTAAAGATGATAATGTATGTGTTAAATTAGTGTTCAGTGTCTTAAAAAAACAGTATATACTGGACCCGTTGTGAAACCATGCAAAACTTCTGTCGTAATGAAGTAACACTGAATAGAATGACACTGAAAAAATTCAGGTGTTACGTCGCTTCTTTAAAAATAATAAAATACACATACATATAGGGTAGCCGCTACGCTATATTAGTAAAAAAATTTGGATGCCAAACTCAAGACGGATGCATAAACCACAAGTACTTATGTTATTTTATACAATTTAAATGGCATTTATTAAAAAAAAAAAATGATTGGTGGGGACGATTAGCCAAATTTTTATTGGCGTTTTGCCATCTACATAATATTCCAAATTTATACAGGGTGAGTCACTAAGCTAGCGTTCCCCGATATCTCATTACTTATTAGCAATAGAAGAAAAACTCAGCGACCAAAGTTGTATGGTTTTTTGAAGACTTTACTTTAAAATTATTTTTTACTACACAGTCCTACATGTTTTTAAGGCGTAATACATATCTAGTTTTTTTAAATGAAACACCTTATATATTTTTCCATATTTTGATTGACCTCTCCTCAGGCTTTTCAATCACAGTTTATTTTTCAAATTCCGATGCGATGTTGGCACGTTATTCCAATTTTCTTGAAATTTTTTAGCACTAGAAAAGTTTATAAAAAAAATGGCAGGATTATTTTAAAAATCTGCGTTACAATATTTTGTGGAGAGACAACATTTTGTATCTGTAATGATAATTAATGAGATATCGTGGACCGCACGCTTAATAACTCACCCTTTATAAATAAAATTTGACAACAATCGGTCCAGTAATTTCTGAGAATTATTGTCTAATAAAAGTTGACACAGACAGACGGACAGAGGACATACAGTCAGAAACGGAAGACCTACATTTTGAGATCATGACCCGTCGATAAAACATGGATCAGAGGGTTGTAGGAGTACAATACTTCCTTAGCTTACGCTCGGGAAGTAAAAAAGTTAGAAGTAATGAACCTCAATTTTTCCAAAAATAAGAAAAAATTAAATGTGATAGGTAGCTCCATTTAAAAAAAAACTGAAGTAGAGAGAGAGAAGAAATTGGGTCACAGCTACAAAATCTTTCACATTATCACCATCAATACTACTAAATCTGCAAATAAAACAGTCAGTTTTGAGCTAGAAATCTTTTTTCTTCAAATTTCGGAAGTTGAGTTCCATATCAATGTAATCACTAATCAATCTCTAAATCGTTGTAGAATTTGACAATGAACCAGTTTGGTTCTATTTTCATGTTCTACTGACGCAGTTTTGAGAAGCAGCGTAATATGGTGGAGCACTATCTTGTTGAACTCAAATTTCTATAAGGGACCCATCTGGATCTCAGTAGCGTAGCTCATAAAATGTGACTCTTATTCTCCATACATTTTTAATTTATAGAAGTTATCACAAAACAAAATTATAATTTTTAAACAAACGGGATTTTTGGACTGCACTTCAGGGGCGAGGAAAGCTCTATCTAAATTACTTTAGACCAAATTTTTTTCTCAGCAAAATGAAATTGACAGTTGAAAAAAATCCGTAGTGTAAATTATAAAATATTCCTAAAAACATCAATTTTTTCGACGAATGGATCACATAGAGAGCCGCAATTCTACGCTACGCGAGATGAGATGATTGCAAGGATTAAAAGGATTAAGAGGGCTTACGAATTGCACTTACGGTCACTGCCGCGATTACGCCCAAATTGAGCGTGCAGTTAAGGTATTAAAAAATATTTCTTTGTTTTTCTTTGTCGAATTTCTTTTTTCTTTTCGAACGAAGAGTCAGTTTCAATCCCCCTATATTGTTAGAGGGTACGTCATCTGCCGAAATCACTCTTATCTTAGCAAGTACTAGGTCCGCCTACCCGCCCTCTATTTTCTTAGAGGCTACGCCATTTGCCAATATCAGTCTTATGTTATCTAGTAGTAGCCCCGCCCACCCGCCCTCTATTTTCTTAGAGGACACGTCATTTCCCAAAATCAGTTTTATCTTGTTTTTTTTTTACTTAAGTATCGTGTTTTTTTAATACATACTAGTATAAGCAGCACGGAATCGTTACCTCAGTAGCGTACGGCTTTTTTTCGTAAACTGACTCTTATTATCTACTTTTTTTATGTATAGAGGTTATCACAAAAAAAGCTATAATTTTTAGATAATCAGGATTTTCGCACTGAATTTGAGAGGCGAGGGAAGCCCTGTCCAGATAACTGTAGAACAATTTTTCTCTGCGAAAGTAAACTTGAAATTTGAAAAAAATCCGTAGCATAAATTGTAAAAATATTTCTATCAATTTTTTGTATATATTGTCATTTGCCTTTTTTTAAATTTTGTTATCATCATTTTCGACGAATTACACAGAGAGCCGCGATTCTACGTTACCCGAGACGAGAGGTTTGAGAGAATTAAAAGGATTAATAACAGGGATTACGAATTGCACTTACGGTCACTGCCGCGATTATGCCAAGTAACGCCATTCCTTCTACCACGAGCGGATCACACAAAGAGCCGCAATTCCACTCCACCCAAAACAAGAGGTCCTACAAATTGCACTTACGGTCACTGCCGCGATTATCCCTTTTCGAACGGAGACTCAATTTCAAACCCTCTATATTCTTAGAGGGTACGTCATCTGCCAAAATCACTCTTATCTTAGCAAATACTAGCCCCGCCCACCCGCCCTCTATTTTCTTAGCGGACAGTTATTTCCAAAAATCAGTCTTATCTTGGCTTTTTTTACTTAATACATAGTTTTTTGCAACAAGATTACTTAAGAACATGTTTCACATAGAAGTTTCTTGGGAAAAGTAAGGATTTTGCAATTAAGCTCCGCCCCTCCATCTGACAACGATTGAAAAATTCGTCACAATTGAGATCGGGACGGGTGGGCGGGGCTTTAGTTTTGACTTTTTCTTTCTTAATGTATGTATGCATAGATTTTTTTCAACGCGATACTGAAAAGCATTGTAATTCTTTGTAAAGAAATATAAATTTTGCAAGTACGCTCCTTCCCCTCGGTTCACAACGAATAAAATTAAATCACCATAATTGAGATACGGCGGGTGGGCGGGGCTTATATTTTCTTTTTTTTTTATCTCAAGCCCTCGATATTCTTAAAGGGTACGTCATCTGCCAAAAACACTCTTACCTTATCAAATACTAGCCCCGCCCACCCTCCCTCTATTTTCTTAGAGGCTGTGTCATTTGCCATATCAGTCTTATTCTTATCTCATCAAGTACTAGCCCCGCCCGCCCGCCCTCTATTTTCTTAGAGGACACGTCATTTCCAAAAATCAGTCATATCTTGGCTTTTTTTACTTAATACATATAGTGTTCTTTGACCAACAAGATTACTTACGAACATATTTCACATGGAAGTTTCTTGGGAAAAGTAAGGATTTTGCAATTAAGCTCCGCCCCTCGATCTGACAACGAATGAAAAATTCGTCACAATTGAGATCGGGACGGGTGGGCGGGGCTTAAGTTTTGACTTTCTTTCTTAATGTATGTATGCATAGATTTTTTTTCAACGCGATACTGAAAAGCATTGTAATTCTTTGTAGAGAAATAAAAATTTTGCAAGTACGCTCCTTCCCCTCGGTTCACAACGAATAAAATTAAATCACCATAATTGAGATAGGGCGGGTGGGCGGGGCTTATATTTTCTATTTTTTTTTATCTCAAACCCTCTATATTCTTAAAGGGTACGTCATCTGCCAAAATCACTCTTACCTTAGCAAGAACTAGCCCCGCCCACCCGCCCTCTATTTGCTTAGGGGCTATGTCATTTGCCAAAATCAGTCTTGCCTTATCAAGTACTAGCCCCACCCACCCGCCTTCTATTTTCTTAGAGGCTGTCATTTGCCGAAATCAGTCTTATCTTATCTAGTAGTAGCCCCGCCCACCCGCCCTCTATTTTCTTAGAAGACACATCATTTCCCAAAATAAGTCTTATCTTGTTTTTTTTTTTCATTAATACATATAGTTTTCTTTTAACAACACGATTACTTAAGAGCATGTTTCACATGGAAGTTTCTTTGGAAAAGTAACGATTTTGCAATCAAGCTCTCCTCCTTAAAACTTGTTTAAAATGGTAATTTTTATAGAGAAATATATACTTTGCAATTAAGCTCCGCCCCTCGATCTGACAACGAATTAAAAATTCGTCCCAATTGACATCGGGGCGGGTGGGCGGGATTTAATTTTTGATTTTCTCTTTCTTAATATATGTATGCATAGATTTCTTTCCACACGATGCTGAAAAGCGTGTCCCACTCGGTAATTTCTTGTTGAGAAATGAGAATTTTGCAATTACGCTCCGTCCCCTCGGATCACAACGAATAAAATTAAATCATAATTAAGATAGGGCGGGTGGGCGGGGATTATATTTTGTGTTTTTTTTTTATGTTGATGTTGGTAGTCTTCTTTTCACAATACGAAACTTCAAACATGTTTAAAATGATAAATTCTTGTAGTAAAACATGGACCACTCTATAGGTCCGCGTATCCCAGTTTATGTAGTCGAAGAAATATTATTTACAGTATAACAGTATAATGAGGGGACACCATCTTGTTGAAATCAAATTCGTAATTTTTCAGAATTCCAACTAATTATTTTATCCTTTGTTAAAAGTACACTGAAATTTTGAAAAAAAAAATCAATACCATAAATCAAAAATGTAAAAAAATTGACAAGGACGAGCGTTTTTGTTCATATCTTATTATATTTTGTGTTTAAGGCAAACCAAGTTTAAACAGCACTCTAGATTTTTGAGAGACGCTAATTTGTGTTTAAATCGAGATGTTTGGCAAACTATTATAAAAAAAATTGTACGTTTTTAAAGTTGACTAGTTTTACTTTAGGCAATACCTTGAGGTCGCTCTCACGTCAATAACACCACTAATGTCATTGATGAATGTCACAAACCGCAACGGGTGTGTGATGAACCCTTGAGTATCTCCAGAAATCTAATCGAATTTTTCGTGCCAAAAATAAGATTTGGCAAACCAGAAAAAAACGTGAATTGTTTATTTCAGACTCTTCGTTCGGTGGAAAAATTTCCCGTTGAATTGAACAGTGTTTTTCTTCAACAGATCCAAACTACTGATTCTATTTTTATTCTCCGATTGAATTCCGTATTGCGAAACCTGTTTACTTGACGCGCAAATTATTAAAAAAAAAACCTTGGGAATTGTGCATTAACTGCGAAACAACTAAGTGCATGGACTTACCAGGGTTATAAATCATCAGTAAACAATACAGTTTTTGCACAGCAGGATTTGTGATGGGCAATTTAGATCTACTTCAGGAGAAACAAGGCTGTTACATGATTCGAAAGTGTGATTTATCTTTTACACCATTTCTGTCAGGAGATAACAAACTTATTTCTGGAGTTTCATAATATTCATCCTCTATCATTCATTCAAGTAAATTAAATTCCATTACGACACTAAAGCGAATGAATTTCAGGGTTTTTAAAATACAACTACAATCCAGCGTACATATATAACCTCATTAACCACACTAGATTCATTATTACCTACACTTAACTTTACGTAAATTATATATGTATTTAAAGTAGCAAATGACAAATAACTTGCTTAGAAAACTAAAACAAGTAATCTACATCTGTTCGCTGTATTCAAATTCCTATTTCCATTCCCAAAAAAGCCAGAACCGCATTCATTGTTTGCTATTACAGGTGACCGCGTCCATTGTAGAGTCACGTTTGCGTCCATTTAACTTGCTCGACTGATTCACTCGCCATCACGTTCTTCGCTTCAAAACCACATGCAAACCGTCAAAAACGATCCATTATGCAAAGAACCGACTTTACGCTTCTAAAAAGCGCAACCTCGTCTGGCGCACCCACAAATCTCGCGAGTTTTCTCCGACACATCCGGCCTATGGTCGAAACTAAAAAATTCTACTCTTCGTTTGGCAATAATTTCGTAATCGTTTACTTCTTTCCCTTGCATAATTACACGAACAATAGAGAGCAATTAAATGGTTTGCTGAAATAGCGGAATGTGGGATTGCGATACGGTTTTTTAAAAGCGAGGATTATTAGTTCGGTTTTTGATTTGGTTTCTTTTTTGCAGTGAAAACGTACTTGAGTCCGGTGGAGACGCATTGTAACAACATCAACTACTACTTGTCGGATGATAATAACGAGACGAGGGACTTTACGGATGATGCATGGGCTAGGTTACGTAAGTATTTTTGCATTTTAATTGTTGTATTTAGGGTTTTCGTCATGGAGCACCGCTGCAATACCTGAGTTTCTCCTTTATCTCCCTTACCACACCCTAGTGCTATTTTCTTAAAAGGTGTGTACTCTAGTGTGCTGTTAGTATTATCATGATCTAATTTACGAAATTTTGATTCAGGTTCTAAAAAGTTCGTACATTTTTGAAAAATATACATATAATGTAATTTTAGTGAATTTTCTTTAAAACGTGTAATTTTGATTCAGACAAATGCATTTTTATATTGCCCTTTAGGACATATTTGACTATTTTATCGTGCCAATGAACTCTGTTTTAAGTTTGTTAATTTTTTTAATATTTATGTTGACCTCGTTTTTCGTTTAAATGTTACACGTCAAAGTTGTATTTTATTTAATGAAATTAAATTTTAATATATCGAGTATCCATAAAAAAATCTGAAAGATTATAATTTTCAAATATCGATATGTCAGTTTTTCAAATAGAACACCCTGTATTTTATTAGGGCATCTTACTCTATTTTGTGTTCTCTTTCATTCAACATGCTTGTGTGTCCCTTAAAAAGTGAAAAAACGCAAATATCGATATTTCATTTTTTGAATACCATATGGATTACTAGATCACTACTAAGTAATAGTAATGGCAATAGAAAAAAAAACTGTAAATTGCATTCGATTCCTAAAAAATTCAAGAAAAGTGGCATAATGTGGCAACATCGCATCAGAATTTAAAAAGTAAACCGCGGTTTTAAAGCCAATGAGAATATTTAAAAATATATAGGTGTTCTATTAAAAAGAAAAAAATAAGTTGTGTGTATGTCTCAAAAACAGAACTCTCTGTATAGTTGGAAATAATTTTAGTGTATGATACTCAAACCGTACTTGAAATATCCAAAAACGCGAGCTCAGTGACTCACCCTGTATTTGCATTTTAGCGAAAAAACCAGTTATATTTAAAAATCTAGAACTCCACCATTTTTAAAAGTGTAAAAATTGAACAAGGTTTAAACTCCTATATTTTTAATAATATTTTCGAACTTGTCTTGTGGGTTTTTTGGAAAACTGTTTGGATAAATCTCCACAAATTTTGTGTCAAAATGAATTTCTAAAGTGTTATAAAATACAGGGTGTCTTATTTGAGTAATATATAAACTGACAACTTGCAAGTTCAAACACTGAATAAATAAGTTAAAATACTCTTGAAATTTTTATGTTTGTCGAGGCAAAATAACTAAAAAATAAAAATTTTTGTGCGAAGTTCCAGATCTCCATCTTTAAATATGGCGTAATTGCGAATTCATAAATATGACAATTTTTTGTACATAAAATTGCGAATATGTTGAAACTGTTCATTTTATCTAAATCAAACTAATAATGTTATAACGAACAACAGAAAAATCACTAAATTCTCGGTCATAATAAATATTTTGCTCAAAAAATTTGCATGGCATTTTTTTTTCTTTCAGTAAAAATTTAAAATTGTAAAAATATACAATATATATTGCGTTAAAAAAGTGTAACTATAGTGTGCAACTTTCAAACGAGACACCCTTTATCTTTGAAAATTTTAAATGGTAGGCATAAATGAGTTCTATCAGGTTGTATTAAAAAAAAATCAATAAAACTATTAGGGAATGCCAGATCATTGGCACACCCTTGTATATGCACTTGCATCGACAACATAGATTTGAGAACATTAACCAAAAAAATTAGATTTGTTGCCGAAAAGTATCATCAGGAGTGCGTCAAGGAAGCTATTTAAGGCCAATATTGCTTCTTTTTTATATATATAAACGATTTAAAGCACTATTTTACTTATTGTAATTACTTATTATGCGTAGGAGATTTAAAACTATTTTTGAAAATTGAATATGCAACTGATTATACAGGGTGACTCATTAAGCGAGTGGTCTACCATATCTCATTAATCATTAATGAAAAAAAAAAGATTAAAACTATATGATTCTTTGACTACCATAAACTAAAACTATTTTCAATTATACAGAGTGTTCTGTTCTTGAGGCGTAAAACGTACATAACTAAGAAAGAAAAGGGCGGATGGGTGGGGCTAGTAGTTGCTAAGATACTGATTTTGTCAAATAACATATTTTCAGAGAAAATAAAGGGTGGGTGGGCGGGGCTAGTACTTGCCAAGATGCGACTGATTTTGGCAAAGGACCTACGCTTTCAGAAAATAAACGGTGGGTGGGCGGAGCTAGTACTCGCCAAGAGAAGACGGATTTTGGAAAAGAACCTACTCTTTAAGGAAATAAAGGGCGGGTGGGCGGGGCTAGTACTTGCCAAGATAGGATTGATTTTGGGAAAGGACCTACACTATAAGAAAATAAAGGGCGGGTGGACTGGTCTAGTACTGATTTTGGCCAAGGGGCATATTTATTGTATTTTTTGTTTTCTTTGTTTTGATATGTCTATAGGTCTCTTAAAACCCTTAAAATCGCAAAAAACCTATGAAGTTTAGATATCGAAAATACTTCACAAAAAACATCAGAGTAAGATACAACAATTTAATAGGGGTATTCTATTTGAAAAAAAAAAGTGAGATATCGATATTTGAAAGTTATAATAGTTTTGATTTTTTTCTAAACCCTCTGTGTTAAGACTCAATTTAATTTGAACTACAAAATATTGTAACACAGATTTTAAAAATAACTTATTGCGTTTTTTTTGTGACACATCATTCCATTGTTAAAAAATTTCAAGAAAATTAGAATAATGTGGCAACGTCGCATCGGAAAATCAATAATAAAGTACGGTTTTACAGAATAGGAAGCGGCCAATGAGAATATTTAAAAATATATAAGGTGTTCTATTTAATAAAAAATATATAACAATTATAATTTGAGTGCTGCAGAACATTGATATATCGATGGCTCACCCTGTATTTCCATTTAAATGAGAAATTGTTTATATTTAAAAATCCACAGCCATCATTTTGAAGAGAGGTATGGAATTTTGCACAACAATCTAGTATAAAAATTCAACAAAGTTTAAACTTATTTATACAGGGTGATTAAATTCACAAATTATTAAGTTCTCATATTTTCCAAATGGGACACCCTGTATTTTATATTTTCGAATTTGTCTTTAAATAAGCTTTCTGCTGATAGTGGGTTTGTTAAGAACTGTTTGAATTAATATCAAGAAATTTGGCGTCAAAAGAAAGAAAAATTTCTGAGGTCAGCTCGAAAATTTTTTACAGTTTTTATATTTTATTTTTTTGCATAAAAATGCGAGTATGTTGAAACTGTTCATTTTATCTAAACAAAGCAATAATATTATAAACAACGGAAAAATAACCAAATTTTCGATCACAATAAATTTCTTGCCCAAAAAAATTTTATATTTTTTTCTCTCTTACGGAAGAATTTAATAGATTATTGGCACACCCTGTATATGCACTTGTATAGACATCATAGATTTGAGAACATTAACCAAAAAATCATACATTTGTTGCCGAAAAGTATCATCAGGAGTGCGTCAAGGAAGCCATTTAAGGCCAATATTGTTTTTTCTTCATATAAACAATTTAAAACAGTGTTTTAGCCATTGCAATTACTTATTATGCATACAAGATTTAAAGGTATTTTTGACAATTGAATATGCAACTGATCATACAGCTATATGATTCTTTGAGTACCATAAACTAAAATTATTTTCAATTATACAGAGTGTTCTGTTCTTGAGGCGTAAAACGTACTTAACTGTAATATGCCAAGTGTTTATAACAATTTTTAAAACATTACATTTTCAAATATCGATATTTAATTTGGGTGGGCGGGTGGGGCTAGTAGTTGTTATGATAAAGGTGATTTTGTCAAATGACTTACTTTCTGAGAAAATAAAAGGCGGGTGGGCGTTACTAGTACTTGCCAATATAAGACTGATTTTGGCAAAGGACCTACTCTCTAAGAAAAAAAGGGCGGGTGGGCGGGGCTAGTATTTGCTATGATAACACTGATTTTGGCAAATGAACTACTCTCTGAGAAAATAAAGGGCGGGTGGGCGGGGCTAGTAATTGCTAAGAATATTTTATACAGTGAAAATCGCAAAAAACTTATTAACTGTAAATGTAGAAAATAAAAACCAGAGTAAGAGGCAGCAACAAAATACAGATGTTCTATTTGAAAAAACTGAAATATCGATATTTGAAAATTGCGATATTTTTGTTTTTGTGTTAAGATTCAATTTAATTTAGACCACAAAATGTTGTGACACAGATTTTAAAAATAACCTTATTGCATTTCTTTCGTGACCCATTCCATTACTAAAACATGTAAAGAAAATTAGAATAATGTGGCAACGTCGCATCGGAATCTCAAAAATAAAGTACGGATTTAAAGTTTAGGATGCGACCAATGAAAAAAAAAAAAAATAGCGTTGATAGCGGGTTTGTTAACTATTTGGACTAATCTCATCAAATTTCTGAAGTCAACTCGAAAATGTCAAAATACAGGGTGTCACATTTGAGTAATACGAGAAATCTGACAATTTGCAAGTTTAAACACTTTGAATAAATATGTTACAACTGTGTTGAAATTTTATATGTTTATCGGAGCAAAGTAACTAAAAATTTAAAAATAAAAATTGTAAATGGTAATTTTTAAATGCGACAGCGTTGTGATTTTTTAAATATTACCATTTTTTAAATTTTATTTTTTTTGTCTTAAAAAATATACAGGATGTAACATTTAAAAAAATACAATATATATATATACATTATATTTACAGGCACACAGTCGAAATTTACTAGAAAATATCTTGGTAACTTTTAGAGGGTACTCAAAAAATTATTGATATTTTTGAAAATTTGACTATAGAAATCCTGAATAAAATCTAAGGAAGATATTTCGACAAACTGATTCGAAACGCATAATGTGTTGATTGTCCTGGACCAAGATTTTCGAAAAATTCGGTTTGAAAATTATTTTTTTTTAATATTTTGAAATATGTCATATTTCATTTTATCGATTTTGGATAGATTGTTAGAATTTTCGAAAAAATGAAGCCGAAAATAACTCACATAACACAAAATGTACAGGAAAACGTCTTTATAATTTTCAGAGGGCGCTCAAAACAGTATAAAAAAAATTCATAGGGTAGATATACAAAGAAAAATTGATATTTTTTGAAAACTAACTACAGAAATCTTGCAAAAAATCTGGGGAAGATATTTCGACGAACTGATTCGAAACGCATAATGGGTTGATGGTCCTGGATCAAAATTTTCGAAAAATTCGGTTTCAAAATGTCATATTTCATTTTGTGTGTAATTTTCAAACGAAATACCATGTTTTTTTTTAATAATTTTAAATGGTAGCCCTAAAGGAGTTACACATATCAGATTATGAAATCAACGAAATTACTTTTTTAAAAGTAAAAGGTTAACAGTTGGTCGTTTCTACTTAGTACAGGATGTATGAAAAAAGTGGACGAAAATTTTACTGTGGAAACTATTTAATTTCGAAAATAATTCGCTCCATATTTTTTCGTGATCGAAAATTTTCTGGCATAGAAATGGAACCTCTTAAAAAAGTGCAATTTTTAGAGAAACAATAAAAATTAAATTTTTTGATACACTCTTATGAAGGAAAATATATCAATTAAAGATTTGAAATTTACTGAAAAGTACTGACATTGCCTTACATGCATTTATAGCGACTTTTCATACCACATGTCTTCGGCAATCTTCGGTAGACGTAGATAGTTCTTCGGAAACCACGGAACCTCTGGAAGTGGTAAACACCACAAGATATTTATCTCGGTTGATCTCGTATCAAATTAATCAAAATCGCTCTAGTGCTTTCAACCATTTTAATTAAAAATCACTTTCCATACCGCTTTTTTAGAGCGTACTTTTCCGTTTCATGGCGTTTTCAGGCGAACGAAAAATACGTGTCAAATCATTTTCAAAATAATTTTTTCAGAAAATTCTAGGAGTGAAAATCACGAATAAATACAATTTCTTTCCGATATTTTTCCATGATTTTTTTCGCTCGTTAAAACGATTCGATGCGCTGCTGCATCCAATTTATTGCAGACGCAACACTGAAGAACATTTGCTTCAAAATTAGGTTAATTAGTTGGTTAATAATGACACAACCAGATAAATAATCGCAGTGATTGGAATCAACAAACGGAACTTAAGATCATTGGCACTCGATAAAAAAATAGCGAGAGAGTTATTATCGCAATTGAAGCCTTGTTAGTCGAAGGAAACAAAAATGAAGCAACAAACATAAATTTTAATTGTTGCAAACCCCCCATCCGACTTTCTCTTAATTATCACGAGCCCGCATTCGAAAAAAAATCAAATTCGTTACATCAAACAGATGCATCGAGAAGTGTATCACAAACTAAAAATTCACTTTTGTAAAAAGTGTGTTAACAAAACAAAACGGAATGCAATCGAACAGGCGCTTTCTAAAGGAATAAAAATTATCTTTTTTTATTATTAGTGTTATTAATGTTATTATTTTTGGTCTTGGGGAAATTTCACCTTGTTAGACTTCCTCGTGTGTAACTCGTGCTGAAAAAGGACATCCATTTTTTATAAAATTCGTTACAGTACCCCCAAAACCCGCATGACTCCTCACCTACTCTCCAGATTGCACTTAGCTGTCGATTTAATTGCCCCGTTATATTCCAACACAATAAACATATTCAATCCATTAGCCTTAGCGGTAACCAGAACTAGAATGAACAACTAACAACTCTAAACTGGAACGACCATCTGATTTTTCCCTCTTCCAGATATGGGTCGCTCCATGATCGCTCTGTTCAGCCTGGCCTTTGTCGCCGTCTTCGCCGCCTTCTGCACGGGAGTGACGGGCTGTTGGAGGAGGTCCCCCAGCAACATAACGGCCACCGCAATCCTTATGCTGTTGGCATGTAAGAGAATTTTAAAAAATGTGTTCAGTCGTCGACCTTTGTCAGGCTTCATTTGCCACATTACGATTCAGTCAATCAAACCCAGAGTACGGTGGTAGAGATGATTATTATTCTGGGTGTTGGCGCTGATTGTATGCCGCGAGTTGATTTTATTATTTGACAGTGACATTTGTAACTACCAATCTTAAAACGTAAATTACACTAGTTTTATATGAATCAAATCAGCGACTATAAACCGTTCAGGTCGTTTTTAGTGTGCCATGGTGCAACAAAAATGACTTTTTTGAGAAAATTCCGTCAATTTACACCAAAATTAAAAGTCCCATCTTACTTCCTGTAGCCAAAATTACAAAAAATGTCATAACCTAACTTTCTTGGGTCCTTAAATTGACATGACTAAGAATTTGATCAGGTTCGGCAACATCACTGCATGAAAATTTCCAAAATTGGCTCTTATGTCAGGAAGTGGATCTAATCACAACAGCAAACACAAAACAAAACTGGCATTCATCTTTCGTGAACTTTGCAGACAATGTCGTTCCTTATCTCAGTAATTGAGTAGTCAGAACAAAAATATGTAAATAATATCTTGAACAGTTATGATGGATGTGGTGTTCATTCTTCGTAGTACGCCACTGGCTCGTCTCTATTGACGGTTTTTGTAGTAAATCGTGTCACGGTGTTTAGATTTTTAATTGTGAATGGTCTAAAGTTGCGCAAGAAATAGATCGATGCGATGGTGTGAAGGAAGCACACTTCATGGGTTCTTTGTAAAATTGATTATATTATTTTTATTGAATTGACTATTCTGAAGCAATAGTGAATAAATAAACGAGGAAGTGGGAAGGAAAAGTGTGGAAAAAATTGGCATATCGAGTAATTATCGGTACTTTGTTGTAATTATTGCTATCAGCTAATTCAAAGGTTTCACTTATGAAGGTGATTTAAGTGGTTTTATGGCGTATGACCGGAAATTTGCTGCTTGAGTGACTGATATAGTCTAATGTGGATTTTTTCAGGAAGTAACTATAATTACAACTGTGTATAATTGCAGTAATTAAGTCATCGACGTACTGTTTAACGCAGAAAATATCGTTTTGAATAAATGTCGAGTTTGAATTGTAGGAGAAAGGTTTCACTTTTCGCCGTGACAAAATAGATTTAATAGTATGTTAAAAGTAATTGTGTTTCAAATGAATATTTTTGTCACTGATCTACAATAGTTGCTTGAGAGTTTCAACAGGATGGTGGTGCACCTCATTGTCTACATTCTAACTTAACATAGTAAAATTACCCAAATTGAGACTACATCAAAGCGAAAACAGCTTAATAGTAATTTTATTTTCGGTCATCATTTTGAACGCTTGTATGATTTTTTTTTAAGATTTCTTTATGGCTTTTGTATTAATTGAGCATAAAAAATAATGTGGTGACGTCACCTATAAATTTTTCTGGGTAAATCGTGTATAAATAATTATTTTTTTGCCTTAGATTAGAGTTGGCCATGGAAATATTTGCATTTTAATGAAAGACATGACAAATATTGCCGTGGCCAACTCTAATCTAAAAACTTTTCGATTCCTCGTTATATGGGGAAGAATGTAGCTTAAGTTAAGGCAAATGAAGAAAATTGAGATTATCGAGAAAGATTACAAAAATTATAAGGAAAAAGAAAAAACCAAAAGAAGAAAATATGGTGAAAGATCACTCAATGGGAAATAGATAGGAATGAAAGGAAAAGCTAAAGAGGACAAAAACTAGCAGAAGAGGGAAAAGCAAAGGACAAGGAAAATTCGAACACGACCTTACCTAATTAGCTAATTTAATTGGATATGTTAGGTGGCAGAAAGAGAAAAGAAGAAAGGAAGAGCTAAAGGAAGAATAATGGGGGTAAAAGAAGACAGGATAATGATATGTATCATCAGAATAAAAAGAAACAAATGGCACTTTAGCACGGTATCTAGTAAAAACATGGCCACAAGAAAGAAAAAATAAAAGACAAAATAGAAATAAAAGAACGAAGAATAGGCAATATAGAAGATGGTGGAAAAAGATGATCCAGCGATAAAAGTGAAAGTAATAAAGGAAAGCAACTGTCGGAATTAGTCGAAGAGAGCAGATGGGATATTTCTCACTCTACAAAAGAACATATAATTAACCCCGCCCACCCACCCCGCCTTCATTTCAGTGATTCATTTTATCTAGTCTGAAGGAAAGGTGGATCTTATTATACTCAACAAAAGTAAAATCGTGGGCGGGGATAGTACCTGCTAAGATAAGACCTATTTTGCCCAATAACATACCCTCTAAGAAAAGAGAAAGTGGGTGGAGGTTACATGTTGCCTGTTTTTCTTAATATACGCAGTCATTTTTTCACAACAAAAATTTACAACATATGAGTACGTATATTACGAAAAAAGGTATAAGATAAGCCCCGCCCACCCGCCCTCTCTCAGTCGTGATGATTTTTTTTACTCGTCGTAAGTCGTGGACGGAGTTTAATTGCAAAATCCTTGTTTTCTACGAGAAATTGCTATGTGAAATATGTTCTTAAGTAAACGTGTCCGTCTCGATCTCAATGTGGCTTTAATTTTTAATCCATATACATAGCATTTTTTGAACAACACGATGCTCAAAAACATGTCTTGCATCGTAATTTCTTGTAGAGAAATAAGGATTTTGCAATTAAGCTCCGCCCTCTTGGCCTCACGACGAATAAAAAAATCATCACAATTGAGGTAGGGTGGGTGGGTGGGGCTTATATTTTGCCTTTGTTTTCTTAACATACGTAGTCATCTTTTTACAACAAAAATTTAAAACAGATGACTACGTATATTAAGAAAAAAAGGCATAATACAGAGGTGTAATAAAACTCGATACAGACAGACTTAGGACAGACAGCAGAGAGACGCAAACGGAAAACAAAGAAAAGGACCGGATAAAATGACAGTTAAAAAGGGGTAGAAAGAAAAAATCGTCATAAAGGGACCACAATACGACGACAAAAAAAATGACCAAAAAGGGCGACAAAATGGTGATAAAAAACATCGGTAAAAAGAGGGGACAAACAAATTCGACAAATAAGGGGATAAAAAATTGCGACGAAAAAAAGCTACAAAAAGAGCAACAAATACTGACGCAAAAAAAATTGGTCGAAAGTCATAAAGTTTCAAGGCGGATTCATATACAATATATACAAGTGTATGAATAGACAGGGTGATGAAAAAGTGGCGTATTTGCTTGAAAAAAATGGTTAAAAAATCTCTGAACTAAATTTTTGAAAATATTAAACTTACCTTCGTAATTCTAATGTGAATTTATTTGAAAATCTAAACCTAAAATTCCGATAAAAATTGTGAAAAATGACATCTGCCAGCAGTGGTAAAATGCGACGTTGTGAATTATATTCTGTAAATTATTGTTAAATTATGAATAATTAATTGTTTAACTGTCTATTAGACAATGCAGTTCATTAAAACAAATCAGAATTACGAAGTTACTTTTTCAACTTTGCCTTTAAATATTTTGAAAAGTTTGGTACAAAACGATTGTGATAGAAATCAAGGTGGATTCATAAACCACGAATACAGGAGCAGATTAGTTTATAAAATTTGGATCACCTGTACTATGTAAAATGATGAGGGGACGTCATCAAATTGTTAGTCGACACGATATTGTAACTTATATATAAAATTTGTCACCAATTGGTCCAGTAGTTTCGGACACTATCTGTGTAATAAAACTCGACACAGACAAACATAGAACATACAACAGAGAGACGGAAATGGAAAACAAAAAAAAGGACTCGACAAAAAGACATAAAAATATATAACAAAAATTTGAGTTAAAAAAGCCAGTAAAAAGGAGGTAAAAAAACGCCATATGAAGGAACCACAAATAAGGAGGCAGAAAATTGCGACGAAAAAAGCTACAACAAAAGCGACCAAAAATGGTAACCAAAAAAAAAACAACAAAAAACGATAAAAAAAATACGCGAAAATATTAAACTTAACTTTAGTAAAGAAGAAAATATGGTGAAAGATCACTCAATGGGAAATGAGCAGGAAGGAAAGGAAAAGCTAAAGATAGGCAGAAATATATTCTAGTATCGTGACAAAGGATCAAAAACTAGCAGAAGAGGGAAACGCAAAGGCCAAGAAAAATTCGAACACGACCTTACCTAATTAGCTAATTTAATTGGATATGTTAGAGGGCAGAAAGAGAGAAGAAGAAAGGAACTCAACAAAAATAAAATCGTTAGAATGAGAATAGAGTGAGTGGGCGGGGATAGTACCTGCTAAGATAAGACTGATTGGTAAATGACATACTCGCTAAAAAATGGGTGGGGGGCGGGGCTAGTACTTGATGGCATACCCTCTAAAAAACTAAAGGGTGGATGGGCGGGGCGAGTACTTTCTAAGATAAGGTGTGGGAATTAGTCGAAGAGCGAAGATGGGAGATCTTGAGTGGAAATAAAACTTTTTTTAACAGCCTACGTTCTCTTAGTTCCTATTTCCACTTTACAAAAGAACATAAAATTAAAATTTGACACCAATCGGCCTAGGAGTTTCGGATATTATCTACAGATAAAACTGATTTTGGCGAATGACATATCCTCTAAAAAAAGAGAGGGTGGGTGGGCGGGGTTAGTAGTTGCTAATAAGACTGATTTTGGCAAATGGCAGATGAATACGTATATTACGACAAAAAGCATAATATAAGCCCCGCCCACCCGCCCTATCTCAATCGTGATGATTTTTTTTAGCCGTCGTAAGTCGTGGGCGGAGTTTAATTACAAAATCCTTGTTTTCCTAAGAGAAATTGCTATGTGAAATATGCTCTGGAGTAATCGTGTCCGTCTCGATTTCAATGTGGCTTTAATTTTTAATATACATAGTATTTTTTGAACACGATGCTCAAAAACATGTCTTACATCGTAATTTCTTGTAGAGAAATGAGGATTTTGCAATTAAACTCCGCCCTCTTGGCACACAACGAATAAAAAAAATCATCACAGTTGAGATAGGGTGGGTGGGTGGGTCATCTTTTCACAACAAAAATATAAAACAGATGACTACGTATACTAAGAAAAAAAGGCATAATATAAGCCCCGCCCATCCGCCCTGTCTCAATAGTGATGATTATTTTTACCCGTCGTTAAGTCGTGAAAAATTGTTATGTGAAATATGTTTTTGAGTAATCGTTGTTTAAAGCAAATTATATGGATTAAGTAAAAAAAAGCCTAAAAATAAGCCCCATTCATTCGTCTCGATCTCAATCTGGCTTCAATTTTTACTTAATGTATATAGCATTCCTTGGACAACACGATACTCAAAAACATGGGAATTTCTTGCAGAGAAATAAGGATTTTGCAATTAAGCTCCGCCCTCTTGGCTCACGACGAATAAAAAAATCATCACAATTGGAGTAGGGTGGGTGGGTGGGGCTTATATTTTGCCTGTTTTTCTTAATATACGTAGTCATCTTTTCACGACAAAAATATAAAACAGATGACTACGTATGTTAAGAAAAAAAGGCACAATACACACGTGTAATAAAACTCGATACAGACAGACATAGGACAGACAACAGAGACGGAAACGGAAAACCAAAAAAAAGGACGAGACAAAATGACAGTAAAAAAGGGGTAGAGAAAAAAATCGACATAATAAGAGGACAAAAAAAAAGATGAAAAAGGCGACAAAAATGGTGATAAAAAACATCGGTAAACGAGGAGACAAACGAATTCGACAAACGGGGACAAAAAAACACGTCAAAAAAAGACGACCAAAGAAAAGCGACAAAAAGACAACAGAAAAATACGTGATAGAAAAGAAACGACAAATAAGGGGATAAAAAAAGAACAACAAAAAAGCGACAAAAAAATTGTCGAAAAAAGGCTAAAAAAATTGGTCGAAAGTTATAAATTGTGATTCGGATTTGCTCGATGGCTCTGCAGAACTCAAAAAAAAAATAGTTAAAAAAATCTCTGAACCAAATTTTTGAAAATATTAAACTTAACTTCGGTATTCTGGTATGGTTTAATATGAATTTAATTCTAAAATTCCGATACATCTGTCAAGAGTATTCAAAAATGACGTTGTGGATTGTATTTTAGTAAATTATTATTTAATAACTAATTGTTTAACTGTCTATTAGACAATGGAAAATATTAAAACAAATCAGAATTACGAAGTTAATTCTTCAACTTTGACGTTTGATATTTTCAAAAGTTTAGTGCAGGTCTTTTTAACCATTTTTTTTCCAGTTCTTCAAAGCCTTCTTAATGACGTACCATGAAGCACATACGTCATTTTTTCATCACCCTGTAGTAATGTATAACTTTGAAATAATATTAATATAAAAACAAATTTTGGAGGCTTTCACGGTCGGAATCAATACATGATCGTTTTCCGGGTTGGAACCGTGTAAATTGAGTTTTTGGGCTCAACGTTTCGCACACTTTCGTAAATGGTATCTTCAGGAGCGGCGTTAAGAATAAGGCAAAAAAAACTCAGGTTCCACGATCATGTAATATAAAAACTGTTGAAATGACGTCACCAAATTGTTGGATGGGGTGATTAGGCAAATTTTGGTTAGGACAAACGGCAGACGGACGGACGGAAACGCAAAACCTATTGTTTCGTACACTAGGGGTCATGATACCTCCAGAAAACATGAAACTCGCTCGGAAAGCAAAAACGTAGGGAAAAATTATAAAAATGCAAACCAACTTGATCACTTTTCCAGTTTAATTCATAAATTTTCCCGGATTTTCAGTGAAAAAAAAAACAAATTTGAAACTGGCAACAGATTTTATTTAGTTTTCTTAAAAAGTAGCAGAATTAATTAATCACCAGGATTTTCAAAAAAAAAAAAGTATAAATGTCAAATTATATCATTTATTTAATACGAAATGGACCATTAATCATTAGATTCTTCTATCGCCAAGATATGAATCTTACTGTTATAATAAACAGTTTTATTAGTTTATGGGCCGTAAATACTGTTAATGATTGAAGCAAATTTTTGGGGTGGCAATTCTGAATTATTGGCAGCAATGTTGGCATATCAGTTCACAGTTGTCAATTTTGACATAAGCGCACCTGAAAACCAATGAGCCGATTGCAGCTAGTGAATTGGTGCCCAAAATTTGAATTTGATATTAAATTTTAAATACATTGCCAACTTGACAAAAAATCATCACAAACATATTGTGGCCCACCAAAACATTGTTTTCAGTCATCTGAAATGAAAATGCTACGTTTTTTTTTGTTGCTTAGTTTTTTGTTGCATTAACCCTTTCAAGATCACACATTTATATTTTTGGCAGTGTTACTGTGACTTTTCTTTTTTTCCCTATGTACGTAACCAACAAGGGTCTATTTAGTAAGCATGTCAAGCCATGGCCAACTAGTCTAAAGATTTTAAGATTTACCTAACGTCATTTTCGTAGCAATTTGGTAATTAACTGTGAACAACGGGGAAAATAATTTCCAAAAAATTTTAAAACGGATATTATTTGAATAGGAAAAATTGCTGGCTTCTGGAGACTTTTATGCAAATTTATAATCTGAAGCAATTTTCGCACAAGATCTTCAAATAACCGTGAAAAACGATAAAATAATTTAGTTATTCAGTCTTATCTTGGTAAATACTAAATTTGCAAAAATCAGTCTTATTTTAAGAAGTACGAGCTACTGTCACAAAATAAGTAACTTAACCTAACTTTATTTTCGTCCTCTACTAAAATTTCGTAGTCATGCGATGTTGGTGTTTAAAAAAAGTTCTTCAAATATTTATAACTTCCTAGAAAAGTTAAATTAAATAGATTTAAAGGTTTTCCAAGCTGCAGGTTTTGAGTCTTGAGAACGTTATCAAGTTTGCGTTGGTTTTACTCTGAATCGTAAGCTAAGCAAGTATTGGATAGGGTCCACGTTCATGTTTTCTCGACGTTTCATGACCCCTAGAGTACGAAAAAGTAGGTCTCGCTTTTTTATACTCGTACATCTTTTCAACCAGTCTCACATGTGTAAACTGGGGGTCTTGGATTGGTAAATAACAATCATCTACGATTTTTGAGCTCTCTAGTATTACAGAAACAGCGAAAGCCAATCTCACTTTTTTCCGTGCACTCATAATTTACTAAAATAGAGTGATTTGTACGTTTGGTAACAAATTTCACTTTCAGCTAATAATTAGCCTGGAGGTATGTTTATTGTTGTTGTTTTGTTATTATTTTTTTAACACAAGTATGGCACAAAACGACTATGTATCAAACTTAGAAATCACACGAAAAGGCGAAATAGTGAAACATTAACAGTTAATAAAGTGGTGAGGTCATTAGGTTACACCAAAAGATCACCTTTCTGACCTTTTAGTGACCTGTGTCGGTAAAATCAGCTGAAATCTCTATATTCAAACACTTAACTTAATAAAATTATAAATTTCACATACTTGCTATAATCTTTGTAGTCAAAAATAAATTACACACAATTAGCCATTGCGAAAGTACTTCGCACACGTGCTGTAATAGCTCTTTTATCCACCTCTGAAACAAACGCAAAAGCACGATCCTTCTTTGAATCCACTTTGGAACAGATGGCTCAATATAGATAAACAATATACAAAAGCTCTTCTTCTATAAGACTAGACTTCAAGCCAATTACGCTTCCTCGGAATCCCTTTCATTCGCTTATACACGAATCCGAGCACAATTTTCGGAATTCCACACCACAGATAATACATTATTACGGTTTCGGCGCCGATTCTCGTCATTCTTTTTGCTCTGAATCGCCTCGTTTCAGGTCTGCTGAGTGCCGGCGGGATGGGCCTATGGCACGGCGTCGAATACTACGAGAAAGAAAAAGTCGTCGGCGAGGAATTTTATCAGCAGTGGAGCAACGTAAGTCGAGATCGAAAATGATCACGGTCTGGGGATTAATAGCGCATTTTGAGCACGAGCGGCCGGCTCGAGGGCTGTTGTTCGCGAGTCGCATTAAACCCCAGACCGTCAAGTAGCGATCATTCTCGATCTTTGAGCACTGTTTGTGATCTTAAACGTCTAGATCCTGCAAGAGAATACCGAGTTTATGTACGACTGGAGTTTCGTGTTGGGCTGGTTGGGCGTTTTCACATCGTTGGCTGCCTCTTTCATGTTCTTCTTTGGTTCTTGTTGCCTGAGCAACGAGAAAGAGAAGGAGCAGTTGAACAACGTACAGTACATTATGCCAGGTTTGTAATGGAGTGTTTATTTCGTAGGTACTGCGTGACAATACCAGAGTCAACTATGACTGGAGTTACATGATTGCCTGGGTTGGGGTGGGATGGTCGTTGGTTGCTGCCATCCTGTTTTCTGGAGCCGCCATGTGTCTGCGGGGCGAAAGGGAACGGGAAGAAGCTATCAACATGCAGTACTTAATGCCTGGTAACTTTCGGGGTTCATTCTCATGGGAATGGTGGTTTTCTGAAGGAGAAATAGAATGCGGAAAATCGTAGATGGAAAGCTTACGAGATGAATTACAATTGTTTTACGAGTGCGTGTTAATAATATACTAGACAAGACTAGTCATTTACAAAGCTCACTTCCGTAAAATTGGTACCGTCTTTCATATTTATGTAATTATATTGTCGCTTATGTTAAGTTCTTGGCATTTGTATGTCAAGCATGACACACTTCACAGCCACCATGGGTCTGTTCACTGTTGTAAAAATAAAATGAATGAGTTGGCCTTGCCTATCACCACTGCCCCCAAATTTGACGTAAATCAGCTGACAGAACAATGTGGTGACAGTTATGCAGTAGCACCAACTATGAAACTAACGTCACGGCCAACTGTAATTCGTTTCATTTTCGATCACATATGTTCTAGATGGGTCGATCGAAAGTGAATAATCTTTAACTCCGACATACTTTTCTTGACCTCTCATCATAGTTTGCCAATATCTTTCACAACTGTCATTGTGAAACGGATTGATATTCAGGAAATTAATCTTCGTTACAAAATATTGAATGTTAATATGTGAAATAATTTAACATATGACTGTAATAAAAGCACTAACAATCGCTAAAAATGAGTCAGGGGTACTGTAGATGGAAATAATACTCCGAACGGGGCTGCTTCGGATCCTAGGGAGGCGGCGACGCTTCCGGTTCCAAGTTTTTGTTTTTTATAAACACTCTATATATTAAAATTTGATTTAGTTGCTACCACATTAAAGGGCGTAGTTCCCTTTATTTATCCTTCCACAAAATATTGTAATAATGTATCTAATAACTAATGAGTTATCGAGGACCGCGCACTTAGTGACATACCTGTATATCAATATAATGAAAAAAAAAAGTCGTCCAGTCAGCTATGGAATTATTTTTTTTTAACTGTGGTGGCAGTACTGTTGTGACGTTTTGCCAACATAATTTAATAAAACATGGCTGGATAGACTTTTTCGATCATGGCATTTTATGTTTTAAATTCTTTGCTGCTTTATTTGAATTGTCTGGTTTTTTTTTTGAATACTGGATGATTTTTTAAATTTCTAATTTAGTGACCCCAGACTACAAAAGAAATTTGGTCGAAAAGTGGGTCGTTCTTTGTGCTTTGCAATCACAGTTTATTTTTGAAAATACGATGCGACGTTGCCGCGGTGTTCCAATTTTCTTGAAATTTTTTAGCAAGGGTAGGGTTCACAAAAAAAATCACAGAAGGGTTATTTTTAAAACCTATGTTGGAGCATTTTGTGAGAAATGAGAATAAGATTAAATTTCTATATACAGAGTGTTTTAAAAAAATGTTTTAATTATTACAATTTTCAACTATTTATATTAAAGTTTTTTCAAATGGAACAGCATATATTTTATTACTGCATCTTATTGTATTTTTTGTTTTCTCCTTTTTGCTGGGTATTTTCAATAAAGTGATAATTACTGTGATTTTCTTACTTTGTTAATAACGATCCAATAACAAAATACATGTTCCATTTGAAAAAACTTGAATAACGATTTTTGAAGATTGTAAAGTTTTATTTTTTATAAACACTCTGTACACTAAAATTTGATTTCGTTAATACCACAACAAACCGCCTACCTTTATTTATCCTTCCACAAAATATTGTAAAAATGTGAGTAATAATTAGTGAGATATTGAGGACCGCGTGCTTAGTGACTCATCCTGTATATCAATATGATCGGAAAAAAAAAACGTCGTCTAGTCAGCCATGAAATTATTTTTTTTAAACTGTGTTGGCAGTACTGTTGTTTTCCATTGAAGTTACCTATCAGTTTGACATTTGTATTGTCAGTGTAATAAACCCATGGCTGACTATACTTTTTTCTATCATGACATTTTATGTTTTAAATTCTTTACCGCGTTACTTGAATTTTTTTGTTTTTTTTTTAAATACCGGGTGATTTTTTACATTTCTAATCTAGTCACCCAAGAATTTGTTGACAAAAGAAATTTGGCCAAAAAGTAGGTCGTTCTTAAGCTTTACAACCACATTTTATTTTTGAAATTACGATGCGACGTTGGCACGGTGTTCCAATTTTCTTGAATTTTTTAGCAATGGAAGGGTTCGCAAAAAAATCACAGAAGGATTATTTTTAAAATCTATGTTAGAGCATTTTGTGGAAAGATGTGAATGAGAATAAAATTTCATATACAGTGTTTATAAAAAATTTTTAATTACTGCAATTTTCAAATTTCTATATTTCAGTTTTTTCAAATGGAACAGCCTATATTTTAACACTGCATCTTATTCCATTTTTTGTTCTATTTTTTGCTGGGTATTTTCTGTATTTAAAATTGAAATTACTGCGATTTTTTACTTTTTACAGTAACAAAATATAGGTGTCCCATTTGAAAAAACTGAAATATCGATATTTGGAGACTGTAAAGTTTTACTTTTTTTTATAAACACTCTGTATATTAAAATTTGATTTAGTTGACACCACAACAAAGCTAGGACGTTTATTTATCCTTCCACAAAATATTGTAATAATGTGTCTAATAATAAATAAGATATGGAGGACCGAGCGCTTAGTGACGCACCCTATATATCAATATGATCGAAAAGAAAAAAACGTGGTCTAGTCAGCCATGGATTTTTTTTAACTGTGCTGGCAGTTGGCAGTACTGTTTACTCAAAAATTAAAAAACCACAACCTGTTGAATTAAGTTGGTACCGAATAAAATTCCTCTAGGGCTTATTTTAACACTGGCAAGTTGGTAGTACAAAAAACTTCAAATTTTAAATTTCATGTCCAAAAAGTCAAAATAGAATAAAGAAAAACAACGTGTTTTGAATGAAAACCAAAATCATCCTAACCTCATTTTTTTTTTAAAGTACATCTTGGTACCAAAAATCTTCCTAGACAATGTTGTCGCTGTTCTGTTCCATTGAAGTTACTTGTCAGTTTGACATTTGTATTGTCAGTGTAATAAACACATAACCTCAAAAAAAAAACAGCTTTCATAGTGCAATTTTACTAACATAATTAAAAAATAATTCCATGGCTTACCAGATTTTCGAATGTTTTAAATTCTTTGCCGCATTTGTTTTTTTTTGTTTTTTTAATACCGAAAACTAGATCAGAAATTTTGAAAAATCACCCGATACAAAGGTTTACACAAAAAATCGCAATCATTTTGTATTTTATTTTGTAGTAACAATAAAGGGAAATCTTTGTATACAAAGTGTTTATAAAAAAATTCAAAAGATATCATTGTCGAATAGTTATCTCAGTTTTTCACATAAACAAACACCCTGTAAAAACAAATATATAGCTCACTAGACTTTTTTTGATCATGCCATTTTATGTTTGCCACATTATTTGAGTTTCTTATTATTTTTTTTTTTAATATCGGGTGATTTTTAAATTTCTAACATAATCACCCAAGAATTTGTTGACAAAAGAAATTCGGCCGAAAAGTAGGTCGCAACTTGATTTGCGAAAATTAAAACACAGCACAATTTAGGTTATGTTAAAAACGACATTGTCACAATGCAAGTTTTATGTTCTAAGGTACGACCTACGTAATTTTACAATTAAAGGTTACAAAAAAAAACGCAATCATTTTTCTTTATAACATCTGTGTGATAATATTTTGTGGATGGATAAATAACTGAATTGTTACAAAGTGTTCAAAAATTCAAAAGATATCATTCTCGAATAGTCATATCTCAGCTTTTTCACATAAACACCCTGTATTTGGCTTTTTTTTAAAGAGACGCACACACATAGCGACAGAAAGAGAATAAAAAAAAAACAGCAAGATAGAATAGTAAAATACCGAGGTCTTTTTGAAAAATCAAAAAGGTCGATGTTCGAAAATTATAATTTTAGATTTTTTTTTATAAGCACTGCATATAAGGACGTTATTGCAATTTTTTGTAGATATTTTTGTTTTGCCCAAAAAAAGTAGGGTATTCAAATTAACAAAATATGTATAATACCGATCACAGTATAAGAAAAAAAAAATGGTCTCTGAGGAGATCGAACCCGTGTTTCGCGTTCATTGGTCCGAATCGCTCGTCACAATGCCATTCAATCGTAACATTCGAGTTTTATTTATACTGGTATAAAGTGTTCTGCCAAGGTTAAAAACTCAAAGTGGATTCATAAACCACAAGTACAGGGGTATGTTATTTTACTGAATTTTAATGGCGTCTACAAAGCAAAATATTGAGGTGACATAATAAAATTGTTGGTGGGGATGATTTGACAAATTTCATAATTTCATTCTGATTTTTTTTTCATATTGTTTGAGGATATAATTTTCAAATAAAAACCCTTAAATTTTGTGCTTGTGTATGTTTTGATATGTCATAGGTGACAATATAATTCATAAGACACTTTGATCACTTTTTTTTTTCTTTTTAACAAAAATTACTTATTACTTATTTTACCCATGGACCAGATCTCCCATAAAACTAATAGTTTTAAGACGTGGTAAACATTGATATTTAATAACGGGTGTTCAGTTGAAGAAGTTATCAAGTTTGCATTATTTTATATTGTTAATAAGTGTTAATTTTATTATACGAAAAAGTGAGGTTAACTCATACCATTCCGCTTTGTTAGCTGTCATCGTAGACACTTCACAAAAAATCAAAGCCGACTTAATAATTTTTCAATTGAATACACATATTGTACAAAAATTATAAACAAAATCAGGTGCTCGAATTTATCGTTATCGTTTTCCATCAAACTACTTTTACGAACCAAACACCAACTACAAGCCCGGAAAACCACCAGTTCTCCCCTATTAATTAATATTTTTTAATAATAATAACACAGGGTTTCTGTCAATAATTAATACCAACCCTGTTCCATGTTAAGTCATGATAATTTTCCGCTTCTCTAGCTTAGAGCTTCCGTCTCTTCTGTAGTTCTCCAATTAAACTTTCAATCTTTCTTCTCCCAAAAGCGTCATCTTCTAAGCGGCCACACCACGACGCTTCGACTTGTAATATATATCAAAGTTGAATGTGAATGCAATACGCATGACTTGTAATTAATAAAGAAAGTAATAACAAATCGACTAAAATCAGTAAAGCATTGTAAAATAAACAGACCTCAACTTTGAAACTTCTCGCCTGACACGAAATAACGCTTTTCAAATTCCAGTGTACCCCCAAAAGCAGCAATACGCCTATGCAGGATACCCCGTCCCGGCGCCCCAAGCCTACGCAGGACCATACTACACAGCAGGATCAGCCTACGGACCGTACAACTACTGAGAGGAACCACGAAAATAGACTGTCTTCCATTTTCTACAAACTAGGATTACGTTTTTGCGACTGGATTGCGCTTGACAATTCAGCGGTTAAATTCGTAACTCTACGTACTGTGGGTGAACGCCCATCTTGTTTGTAAATAGACGTTTAAAGTCATTTTTTAGAATAGGGACGACCGAGGCAGGTTGCCATATAGGGTTAGTTGGTATGAGACGTATTCTGAATCGCTTATTTGTGTAGAAGAAAGAAATAACCATCTAACATTCCCGCTGAATTTTTTTGTAGTTTAGACTTGCTAATGCAACAGGTTTTCATAATAAAAAAATTAATCATCACATGAAATGCTCAAACGTCGTCTAGTCGTTCTATGAACAATTCGCTAGATGGTATTGTGTATAGTCGGCTTAGTGAACTCCGGGTGCGTAGACATAGTGCGCAGTCCAGCAAGTCGGCTGTATATCTACTATCCTGTATGTGATTTACGTAAATTAATTAACCTAAAGTAACGACTGCCTAGACATCTTCACCAATCAGGAAACAGTATTTTTCATTAGTTTGTTCATTAACCAATCACGAATTAGTACTTCTGTTTTTAATTAATTAATTAATCGTTAGATAGCAACCTGTCGCGTCCCCTACATCAATTAACCACGATATTTAAATTGTTGTTGGATTTTATTGTAAATAATTCTGTGTTTATTTGATGTAGAATAATCTGCCATTGTTGCATCTACAAATTCTACCTATATACTAAATAAATAAATTTTAGTCACACGTATTAACTTTGGCTTCAGTCCAAATGATACCTGTATTATGACTGTATTGTTAGCGCGTAATTGTAAGTTCATATTTATATAATTATAAAATATTTGTATTTTTATATGTACTTACCATATTTTCTAGTTACTTTATAGACCTATTCTGCGTAAATTTGGAGGTTTTTGTTATCAAAAACGTTGAATAAATTCGTAAACTGTAGTTATTTTATTTCTTGAGTGGAATAAAAAAGAGAGCTCACCCAGTGTAGATACGTATATACATAAAAATTGATCACATTAAAATCACAACTCATCTTTCTTGGATTTTCTTTTTGCTTCTCCTTTGTCTCCTTTCAATGTTTCTTTCAAACAAGAACTGTCTTGACCCTTCAAGGCTCTATCTTCACATAAGTACTTCTTCAGACTCTCTTTACCCTGATGGTTGAAGTACCAATTTTCTATGTCGCCCTCGTTTTGCTCCAGCAGAGTTTCGCACTATTACAATTAAAAACGTTATTAGTGACGTCATCGACTTTTTGGAGGGGGAATTAATTACAGTGAAGCATCAATTCTTATTTTTCTCTATAACGAAGTCTCACCACGTGCAGTAAAATTTTTATTACACAGCAATGATAATAAATATGAAACAAAATTTACTATGTGGTTAAATTTTATTACACTTGATGGCAATATCTATAAAATGGAGATGAAATTTATTGTGTGGTCGAATAAAATCAACAATGTTAGCATATTTATTGATTATTCATTACCTGTGTTTTCATGTTGGTGACTTCCACGCTGGGCTTATCCCACAATTCGTACGGGATCCCCAACTCCACCTTCACCCCCTTATCCACCAACCCATGCAAAGTCTGGAACGTCTGGCTCATCCCCTTGGCAAACCTAGTGCTATCTTCACGCTCCTTGTGTATATTGTACTCCAAAATCCGGTCGCAAACCCCTTCCAAAGACTCCACTAACCTCAGCTCCGACTTCTTGTACTCTTTCTTCTTTTTCGGTTTGACATCGTCCACTTCGTACCCCGTTTCTATGACCTCACTAGTCTTCCCCGTCTCCTCGAGTCGACTTTCCAATTCTATCGCCAATATTTTACAAACTGGAAGCAAAAACAAAATTATAACCTCACTTTTTTCTAGAAGTTTCGGCGTTAACCTTCACAGTTGTTGGCGTATTTTACCCCTTCATCTTCTTCGGTTATCGTGAGGACTTTGGAGAAACACGAGATTAGAATAATGAGGCAAATGTGAGGTATGTACATTCTGGAGGAGTTCTAGTGTTGGCAGGATTACAGTCGGTCTTCGTCTAACCTCAAACATGAAAATGTTCAGAATTGTGTTGCAACGTGATAATGTGGAAGACCACGATTGGTTCTTCGGAAAATTGAATTAATGGATAAAATATTGATAATGGAGGTGTCACGTATGCTAATGAGGCACATTATGGGTTATGAAATTGTTGTTAAAGTTGTAATGACATTACTTGAATACAACTAAAAAGTTATAATTATGACGTTTATCGATACATGGCGTTGTTTAAATTTTGCTAGTTCGACACAATTGGTCACTTTTGAATTTAGCGCCGTTGTGGCTCGCTGCGATTGGCGGATGGAGCAGGTTAGGTCAGGTCAAATCGAACAAACCTAAATGCACCACAAGTAATATAATGGAGTAATAATACATAAGAAAATGCAAATATTGATCAACAAAAAAGACAACTACAATAATTATCAAAAATGAATATCTTCACGTAAAATCAGTAAAGTCTTCTACCGTGTTTTTCTCCTCGCTGGGTCCTTTCTGGTTTCCGGACTCTTTCACCTTCTTAAGCTCTTGTATAACTTTTTCCCTCAAATTTTTCAATTTCCTCAGTCTTTCTAGCCAATTGGAGGCGTACGGGTCAGTCGCGTGACTCCTCAATGAGTTGAGTACAGTAGCTGCCAACTAAAACGTACCTAGATTATTGCACAACTACACTAAAAATGTCATTACGTCAGCATGAATGGCCAATTGTCTCACTAGAATCGAAACGCTTTGATCAGACACACTTATGACTTCGTTTGAGCCAATGATCTTCAACAAGTCCGACTTTACTTTAACTTCGACTTTATTGCAGCCGTAATCCAGGGGCTCCACTATGATGTAAGCCAGAGTGACTTGGCTCTGCAACAACAATATGATCTTATGACTAACGATTATGATATTAATACCCTGAAGGTGTTAACGTCGAATTCTTGGCCGCTGTTGTTGTAAATGATGACCACGTTGTCGTTACCAACGTGAGCCTTTTTGTAGTTACCATACGGATCGCTCTCCCTATTGGGCATTAGTGTGGCGACGTGGAACGCCAATTGGACCAAATCGTCTTGGTGGGTGTACATATACTTCCCGTCAGCGCCGCCCTGATCCACGCCCCCTAGATATATATCCCGCGGGTTGACATCAGCTAGTTTCAACAAAGTACCCAAATTCTGAAGAAACTCCATATACCTGATACAACCCGACGTGTTTCTCAAAATGTCGGACTCTTTATCAACTTGGCCTTCATTGATGTACAGTACCCCGATCTTGTGAACCTCGTAGGGGTACATTCTATCCAGAATATTAATCGCTCGGTCGATAACGGTAGTCGGAGGAACATACAATGGCACTTCAGCAGTACTCCCAAAGCAAGCGGTGTGGTACAATTGGAGAAAAACAAAACTCGGGTTTAGACCGCTCTTCAAAATTTCCTTTGGTACTTTTTTGGGAGGGGTGGGCTTCCGGGTTGAGGTACTCATCACCGAAATCGTATGCAGGCGATCTCTTTTCTCGGCTAGCGTCGGCTCCCCTCCACTCTTTGCGCGGTTCTTCTCGAGCTTCGACGACGACGAACTCTTCTGGATGTTAGGGGAGCCTGTAAAGACTGCTTAAATGCACACTTTTGTACACCGAAAGTACTGGAGAAGGGTGTGGTGAACTTAAATTTCTTCAAAAAAAATTAGCCACACCCGTCTCGACCACCCAACACCAGAATAAAAACTAAAAATAAAATTTCTCCCAGAATTTTACCATCTTTGTCGAAGTGTCTCTGAAGCCTGGGGGACGTTTGTGTCGGGCTTTGCGGCGGTTTGCTTGACAGCGGTGTCAGGTTTGACAGACTGGGTAGATTGTTGGGGCGATCTAGGACATTATTGTCTAGAGGGTCGTTTTTGGGTAGAAAAGTGGGCTGGGTTTGGGAAGTGATTTGATTTGGTGACGCAGGTACTGTTTTGTAGGGTTTCGGGGCGATGTTGCTCTCACCAGGGGGCGACGAACCCGGGTAACTGTAACAGGTGAGAAGGGAGGGGTGTTGGGGTTGAGGTGGGGGTTGCTCAGCTGGGGGCTTAGGCGCTTCTTGGCCAGTTGGTGGACTAGTTCCTGAAATATTCCATTACAATATGAGAGTTAGACACTACAGACTGCACTGTTGAACATTTGTGGTGATCCCACTCACCCATCCCCGCTATCTCCTCGGGAATCGCCTCGCAACTGACCCTCACGTCCTTCTTATTCTTCTTGGTGCTCTCCTCGTCGTGGTTCTCCACGTCGTTCTCGCGTTCCTGTTTCTGGTGGACGAACGGGTTCTTCCAGTTGGCCATTTCTGGGCTCGAGTTCGACCGTCGCACTTGGTTCCGGGCTCGGGTACCATCGTCATAAATGATTTCGCCTTGATCATCAGCACTGTCTTGTGAACTCTGCCTAGATAGAGACTGTTTGGTGGGTGAGCCTTGAATTTGAGTTAAACAATGAATGTCCGAGCGATGGGGTGAAAACCAGTTATTAAATTCGAGAAAATTAAAAAGATTCTAATGCCCGTTAGTAAAATTTACATGCTAGACATGCCGTTAGAAGGGTAAAAGAAGGGGTCAAACCTGGGACGCTGACCGGGCGGCTGCTGGAAGAACACGCCGCTTCTTCCACATCTTCGGTTTCTTCTTGTTCCTCGATGGAAATGGCAGAACTGGGTTCGAAGTATAAGTCGGGCATGTATAGAGTGGACATTTCGTTGAGGGGGAACTCGTAGATGTGCTGTTTGAAGGAGACTTGGTTTTGGACTTTCATAACCCAGGAGACGTTACCTGGAAGACCATGAACTCACTTTGTCTTAGTGATATTTTTTATTTACCAGTTGGTCTTCTGATGAGCACCTCAGCCCACCCCTGACACCAACACGCACAAATCGGCGGCTCCTTCTTCTCCTCCCCGATCATTTTAGCCAACGACGCCGCGTCGTACTTCTTCACCTCTTCCCCCTTATCCGTCGAGCTCTGCCGCGCCAAAAACGACTCTTTCTCCTCGTTCCCACTGTTGCTTCTCGCGTACCGCGCTATCTTGCTGTTGTTGTGCGAACTACACAGCGACCAGCACTTGTCGCAAACCCCATGCTTCAACACCTTTTCGGTGCAGCCGCTGGTCGTGATCGTGATCAGTTTGTTTCCCACCATCCACGACTTGGTGATTCCACCATTTAGGAGGAACTCGGCTGTGGGTAGTCGTTTCGGGAGGGCGCTGCATGGCGAGTAGGTGTAGCGCGCCATCAGGTCGATGCAGGTCTCGTTCAGTTCTTCGTAGAAGGTCAACACGGTCTTATCGCGTGGGGTTTTTTGGATGAAGGAGCTCTTGCTGCTGGTTTCGGGCTTGGTGCGGCGGCGGGAGCCTTGCTCGGTTAAGCTCGAGCTGCGTTTGCGGTCGGAACTGTCTTGGTTCATGGAGGTTAGGCACAGTTTGAACTGGTTGAGTTCTTGGAAGGGGACCATGACGTTGGTTTGCAGACCCTTGAGCAAAAGGTACGTTGCAATGAATGCTAGACAGATTTTAAGAATGAATATTTTTTGGAGTGGTGGGGTTTAAGTGCGTTATAGCTACTTGGATTTACTTCACTGAATAAAAAGAGTGCTTGTTTATAGTAAGCGTCGCTTTAGAACTGGTTTAAGCAGTGCAAAATAACTGTCAAATACTAGTTAGCAATACCATTATTTTAATAATAAATTTCATGGTCTACTAGACGAGTTTTTTTCCATTCATTATGGCATTTTGCGGAGACTTAACTTTCAATGGAAAACGAATATTTTTTTTGCTAAAAAACATTTAAAAACCTTTTGCTTATCTCCTGAATTACTATTTACGTCAATCTGTTTGCAGCTTTTAGTAAAATGATCGATGTTAGGAAAACGTCAACAATGTAAATTTGACATTTGACAATAATTGACACATCGCAGTCTTGCATTTAATTGTCACATTGTTTGGTTTTACTGTGTTTATTTATTACCGCTTTCACCTATTATCATCCTTCGTAGTGTAAATGGTTGAATTTATTTTTGTACTTTATATGCTCTTTTATTAAATGGTCGAAAATAAGATAATCAAGTTCATTCATTGTAAAGTCGCGATCTTTTCTATAGAACCACTCCCTAGTGTAAATTTTCAAAATTTGTTTGGTGTAAGTGACCTTGACGGGTTTCTGGGGGAAAACATATGTGTCAAAAATTTGACAGGTTAGATGGCCCCATTGTCAATGTAGATATGTTATTTTAATAAATAGATGAACAGAACATACAGTCTGCACGGGATACAGTGCGGCATAGCTGAGGGCAACCGAAACATTCGTGTTGTAGTAGTTTCGATTGCCGTATCAACTACCGCTACCAACCGCGTTCGGCGTAAAGTACTAGATGACAGGGCTACCAACTTGACTTTTTATCGAGTGGTTCCGTAGAAATGACCGCTACTGTATGTGTATTTTTTTATGTGCCCCTCGTTTGTATGCAACCAAATAAACACGTTAATTAATATTCAAGTAAAGTAAGTACACTCAATAACGTGGGCGGCAAATTTTACAATCCACCGCATTAGAAATAACTGTTTATCAGCCTAGAATTAAATACTGTCAAGATCTTTCAAATTCAATCCAAGTTCCAGATGAAATTAAACTTCAAATTTTGGGTTTGACTTTGACAGATGGCATAGATCAAGAGACAGTTAATGGGCGTTGTAAAAACTCTCAGAAGCATCTTTCAAATGTTTGTTTCTATCGTCAAGTTTGTTAACCTTATGACAGATTTGTGTAAGGTTATGTTAAGAAATGCTATAAAATTTTTAAGTCTAATATTTTTTGTCAAACAAAAATCTGAAACTTCAAATCTGTCAGCTAATGTTTTTCGACAACTTAACAAACCAAATTGTTTTGGTGCAGGTTCACCAACTCTCTCTATCAATTTTGATGACCCTGTTCAACATTTTCAATAAATATGCACAGAAATAATAAAATATGTACAACAGACTTTGAAATAGTCGTAATAGCTCATTAAATGTAACAAATTTTATCAAAAACTAATTTTTATTTTATAGAAAATCTTGATTTAAGTCGTTTACCACTAGCTTACTGCTTAATGAAGTGTCAAAAAAATAGAAACGTATTTTGTAAGAAGTACTTGAAACGTCTAATTTTATCCACAGTACAGTTGCGAGCACGGAATCTCGGGCAGAGTTTTCCGAAATCTTATTTAGAGCCTCATTTTTAGGAGTCGCTTTTTCAAAGCCGTCTTTTTTCCGAAATCGTCTCTTTCTCAGGTTGCCTTTCAGAGTATTTTTTGGATGTCTCTTTCGGACCCTTTTTCCAAGGTCTCTCTTTCAGTGTCGTCTCTTTCTCAGATTCTCTTTTTCGGACTTATTTTCACAGTATATTTTCGCAATCTCTATATCGGAATCGTATTTCGTCTCTTGTTCGAACCTTTTTTTCGGAGTCTTTTGTTCGGGCCCTTTTTTTTCGAAGTCTCTTTTACAAGTTTCTTTTTTTACAATAGTCTCTTTATCAAGTTTTTTTCAAGTCTGTTTTTTTTTTGACTTTTTTTCAGAGTGTCTTTTCCGCAGTCGTCTTTTTTTCGGAGTGGTCTCTTTCTCCCAGAGTATCTTTTTCAAAGTCTCTTCTTCCTAGCCGTCTCCTATTCGGAGTCGTCTTTTTCAAGGCCTCCTTTTTAGAAGTATCTTTTTTGTAGTCTCGTTTGTTGGAGTCGCTTTTTTGGGAGCCTTCCCTTTTTTGGAATCGTCTTTTGTCCGGAGACATCTGTTTTTCGGAGTATCTTTTTTGAAGTTCCGTTTTCGAAGTCGTCTCTTTCGCACATTTTCTTTTCGAGCCGCTTCTTTGAAGTCGTCTCTCTATCAGGTCCTCTTCTCGAGGTTTCCCTTTAGAGTCTCTTTCTTAGGTTCCTTTTTCGAGTTTTTTTTTCAAAATTGTCTCTCTCGGAGTCTTAATTTTTCGGAGTACTTTTTTTGAAGCCTTGATTTTCGGAGTCTCTTTTTCTGGACCCCCTTTTTCGAACTCTTTTCGGAGTATCTTTCCTGGAATCTCTTTTTTGGAATCGTATTTTTCTCAGATTCTCGTTCGGAGTATTTTTTCGAAGTCTCTTTCAGACCTGCTTTTTCAGATTATTTTTTTCAAACTCCCTTTCTCCTAGTTGTCTCTTTCTCGGGTTCTCTTTTCGAGACTCCTTTTCGGGCTTTTCCAGAATATCTTTAGGGGTCGTATCTTTTTCAGAGTCTCTTTTGTTTTTTAAGTTTTTCTTTTTTGGAATCGTCTCTTTTTTTGTAATCGCCTCTTTCTAACATTTTCTTTTCGAGTTGTTTTTTCGGAGTCGTCTCTTTCTCAGGGCTTTTTTTCGGACCTTTTTTCAGAGTATCTTATTTGCAATCTCTTTTTTCGAAGTATATTTTCGAAGTCTCATTTTTTGAAGCATCTCTTTTTCAGAGTCATCTCTTTGACAGATTCTCGTTCGGAGTACCTTTTTTTGAAGTTTCTTTCCAGAGAGGTCTCTTTCTTAGGAACCCCTTTTGGGTCTTTTTTTCGAAATCGTCTCTCTTGGAGTTTTATTTTTTCCGAAGTATTTTTTTTTTAATTCCGTATTTCGAAGTCATCACTCTTTCGGAGTCGTCTTTGTTCGGGATATCTTTTTGCAGTATCTTTCCTTAAACCTCTTTTTTGGAGTCTCGTTTTTCAAAGTCTTTTTTGAACCTTCTTTTTCGGAGTACCTTTTTCGAAGTCCCTTTCTCTTAGCTGTCTTTTCGAGATTCTTTTTCGGGCTTTTCCAGAGTATCTTTAGGGGTCGTATTTTTCAGAGTCGTCCTTTTTTGGGGTCTCGTTTGTTGGTGTTATTTTTTAGAGCTTTTTCTTTTTCGGAATCGTCTCTTTTTCGTAATCGCACCCTTCTTAGTAATTTTCGAAGTCTCTTTCGGACCCTTTTTGGAGTATTTTTTTCGGAGTCGTCTCGTTCTCAGGTTTTCTTTCTGAGTCTCTTGTTCGGACCTTCTTTTAGAGTACCTTTTCGGAGTTGTCCCTTTCTCACATTTTATTTTCAGGTCGGTTTTTCGGACTCGTCTCTTTCTCAGGTATTTTTTGAGTCTCTTTTTCAGAGTATCTTTTTTTAAACGTCTTTTTTCGGACTTGTCTTTTTTTCGGAGTAATTTTCGAAGCCTCACTTTTTGACGCATCTCTTTCGAAGTTTCTTTCCAGGGTCTTCTTTTAACGGAGTATTTTTTTTTTGAAATTCCATTTTTCGGAGTGTCTTTCCTGAAACCTCTTTTTTGGAGTCTCGTTTCTCGGAGTCGTTTTTTTGGAGCCATCTCTTCTTAGGTATCGTATTTTTCTCAGATTCTCGTTCAGATTATTTTGTCGAAGTCTGTTTTGGACCTTCTTTTTCAGAGTATCTTTTTCGAAGTCCCTTTCTCCTAGCTGTCTCTTTCTCGAGTTGTTTTTTCGGGCTTTCTCCAGAATATCTATAGGGGTCCAGTCTTTTTCAGAGTCGTCTTTTTTAGAACATCTTTTTCAAAGCTTCCTGTTCCGGGGTCTCTTGTTCGAACTTTTTCGAAACATTTTTTTTTGGAGTCTCGTTTGTTGGTGCCGTTTTTTGGAGCTTTTCTTTTTCGGAATCGTCTCTTTCTTGGATTCCCTCTTTTGGTAATTTTCGAAGTCTATTTCGGACCCTTTTTCGGAGTATTTTTTCAAATTTTTTTTGGAGTCGTCTCTTTCTCAGCTTTTCTTTATGAATCTCTTGTTGGCACCCTTTTTTTAGAGTACTTTTTCGGAGTTGTCTCTTTTTCACATTTTCTTTTTGAGTCTCTTTTTCGGGTCTTTTTTCAGAGTATCTTATTTGAAGTCTCTGTTTTCGAAGTCTCATTTTTTTAATCTCTTTCGGAGTATGTTTTTCGAAGTTTTTTCCCAGAGTAACCTCTTTCTTAGTCTTATTTTTTCGGAGTATTTTTTTCAAAATTCCGTTTTTTGAAGTCGTTCATTTTCAAAGTCGTCACTCTTTCGTCGGTTTCCGGGGTGTCTTTTTCTGGAGTCTTTTTTCGAACTCTTTTCGAAGTAACCATTTGTTCTCTTTCAGAGTATCTTTTTAAAAGTTTCCTTCCAGAATCGCCTCTTTCTTAGGTTCCCCTTTGAAGTTTTTTTTCGAAATTTCGCTTTTCGGAGACATCTTTGTTCGGTGTATCTTTTTCGAAGCCTCGGTTTCCGGGGTCTCTTTTTCTAGAGTCTCTTTTTCGAACTTTTTTCAGAGTCTCTTTCCTAAAACCTTTTTTTTTGGAGTCGCCTCTTCTTACGAATCGTCTCTTTCTCAGATTTTCGATCGGAATATTTTTTCGAAGTCTCTTTCGGACCTTCTTCTTCAGAGTATCTTTTTCGAAGTCCCTTTCTCCTAGCTGTGTCTTTTTCGGATACCCTTATCGAGACACTTTTTCGGGCTTTTTTCAGAGTATATTTCGGAGTCGTATCTCTTTCAGATTCGTCCTTTTTTTCAGAGTGTCTTTTTAGAAGTCGTCTCTTTCTCAGATTTTTTCTGCGTGCCATTTTCGATGTGTTTAAGATTAAGTTAATCACGCACTTAATGAGGCGTTTAGTGACATCTGATTGGCGTAACAAAGTTAATAAAAAATATAGTTTCAACGAATACTATTCAGCCTATTAAAATCGTCAACATATAGACAAACAGAAACAAATACCAATATTTTCGTATTCTATGAGCTGTAAAATGTCCAGAAAACCTAAGCTTAAGCTTGGAAAAAAATTACTCAACTGTATAAAATTTGGTTTCAGCACTTCTTTTAATAAAAAAATAAATCCCATTTTGTCAAGTTGGCAACATTAAAATTCTATAATGACATACCTGTCAGTAGCTGCCATCAACACGTTTGTTAGGCGTGCTCATGTCAAAATTGACAACCGTGATCTGACATACTAGCATGCTTGCCAATAATTCAAAATTGCCAACAGAAAAATTTGCTTCAATCATTAATAATCACTTTATTAATTCCCACCCTGTATCAAAGGAATCTAGAAGATAACTTGAAGTAAATTTAATTATATAGTCGTACACAGAAAGGCGGAAAGACATGACCTGTCACAAATGTGACTATTTTCAAACATCCAACACTGACAAACAAGCAGCTGATTTTTAATGTAAAACCACGAACCATAAAGGCGAAAGTCGTTCGAGCAGTCTGGCTTAAGCAGCAAACCAGTACCAAAGCGACGCAATAAAAAAATCCTGGCTCAAACTACTTACGCTCACGATGAATTTAACGAAGTCCTTCCTGAAAGGTAGTCTACACTTCAAGAACCAAACCGAGATCACGTGATAGGCCAGTGAAACAATATAGTTGTCGTATTTGAAAGGGTTAGTATACGGTAGTGCTATAGCGAAAACCGCCATATACTGGTCACCAACGAAATTGGCAAAAACGGTTGGTAACTGCGACAAAGCTGCAACTTAACGTGCCAAAAATCACCAAAACACATTTGTACACACTCACCTGACAAGAATTCCAAAATTGGCATTGCGATATAAATCGTGGCTGATATTTTTGACAGACGCAATAGAACTTCTGGTAACAACTTCATCATGGTTTCCCTCATGTCTACCATACATATAGTTAGAGAATTAATAGACTGTCGTGAACATCGAGGGTCTATGGCTGTACTTCTAGTCAGTGTGTTTATCAGAAGTTGTTGGTGAGGTGGATCTAAGTTGCTACCATAGCACGACAAAGCAAGCAAAACATTGACAACGGTAGTTTGAAATTCTAAACGTTTTTCTTTGGGGTTTACCCCCTCGACTAAATTCAACGCTTTATTTTGTAGCTGAAATCACACCCTGAAGTGTCGATAAATCAGTGACCTGTCTTACCATAGAGCACAGGACTTTAACAAGCTGGTTGATCTGCGGGTTTCCGGTTTTCGTCAACATGATGGCTTTATTGCACAACATCTCTGGTAGTTTCTCAAGAATCGACTTCACGATTTCCCAATCTACAACAAATCATCAATTTTTTGTGATTACTACGTGAAAACTCACCCTTTTCTATCTCCAAGTGGGTCAAAATCACCTGGAAGGCCAGCTCCATCGGCAAATGGACGATTTTGCAGACGGGCGTCAGCGGCGGCGACGTGGCGGGCGGCGACGTCACGATGGGTTCCACAGGTTTATAGCTGGCGCATAAGTAGGGGCTGAACTTAAGCTGTTTGGTTTCTGGGTCGGGTAAGCCGATGCGGCAGTTTGAGTCAGCGCGCAGGCTTAGCAAGCATTCGAATATCTTCAAGGAGGGTGTGTAGTTCTCGGTGTGGGGGCGTTATTCACTTACCATGATTCTAGCGGGCTTCAGGTCTTTGACGGGTTTGTGCACGTTTTTCTCGAGGAAGTCGACGAGGATTTTGAAGATGATGGTGGCGTGGCTGGATGGCAGTTTGTGGATTTTTCGGCCGAAAACTTGGATTAGGCCGGGCACTAAGACGCTGATGTCGAGGAAGTCGGCCTCGGTGGAGTGGGTCGGCACGGCCTCTTTTTCCATTGGGCGAAGGAGGAGCTACAATTCGTGTTTTTTTTTTGTTTTTGTTGTTAAATGGGGCGGATTTGGTTACCTTCTCGAGAATTTCTAGCAATTCGACGCAAATGTTGCTGTTGTAATCTTTACATAAATCTACCAAAAGTTTGGCCACTTCGGATCTAACTACAATATTGTCGTCAGTGGCTATGTTCTGCATGTGGGGGATGACAATATGATTAATCAGTTCGTCTTCATATTGCCTAGAAAAAAAAATTAGTTAAGAAAAAGAAATTTTGGAATTTCAAAAATTTTAATTATACTAGAAGTACTTTGAGAGAAACACACTATATAGTGTCGCTGTAGATGACAGAGTTCGGACGGGTCCACTTGTAAATTTAGGGGGAGGAAACATGTTCTTCTCATAGTGTTTCCACTTTAGATATAATTTTAGCTACGACGTCAAACATTTTTGAGAGACTTTCAATTTTTATAAAAAATTGCTTCTGAAGTGAACATACACAAAAATTGCGCATTACTATGTTTTAATAGAACTGATAGATCTACGCATTAAAAAAAAAATATTTACAGAATTTAAATAACAGTTATCTTACATTTTTATTTATTTATTTTTTAATAACAATATATTTATTCTGATGAACTCATTATTCATAATTCACTACAGTTTTCTAGAAAATAAAATCTTATCTTATTTTTTAGTACTTAACAAATTAATAAAACTTTCAAACAACGACGCAAAAACGGATATTTTTAGGGGTGATTTAATAAAACGATAATCACAAATTAAAATTGATCAAGGTTATTTCGACACAATTTTCCGCCCCTGTAAAACACAACCAAACAAATGCAGTTTTTTAGATAAATGAAGAATTTTTTTTTATTTTTTTTTGAGCCACCCTGTATAAGCAATTGTAAAAAATAGGAATGCGCTGATAAATTTCATGTATAGACCCATAATACAGACAGGATTCACTCAGCAGAATTTTTAAATGATGTCATCAAATTTTTGGAGGGAGTGAACAAAAAAATTTTGATTAGCGATTTACCAGATCTAATAACTTTAAAGCATCTGCAAAATTTTAGAGCAGTCGGTTTCATGGTATCCAACTGTAAAATATTATTTAACTAAGGTATTTTGATTTTTTCTGACAACAATCTAGAGGTCTAAGATAAAAATTAAAGCGAATTTTTTGAGGCAATAAACATACAAAAAAAATACCATGTTTATGACAAGCTTAAAATATCTGCAAAATTACACAGCAGTCGATTTTATAGTTTCACAGTTAAATTCTAAATCGTTATGTAACAATTTTATTTGATTTTTTTTTTAAATCTGGACGTTTAGAGTAAAATATCAAGGCTGGTTCATAAATCACAAGTATAAAAATATCTTATTTAATGAAATTTAACTAATAATTATTCTGTAAAATTTTGAGATGACGTCATCGAATTGTTGGGGATAATCGTACAAATTTTGGTAATGTAATACATACAAAATTTCACAACAAATTGCAAGTATAGACTCATAATATTTTGCACATTTTAAATGGGACCCAACAAAATTTTGACATGACGTCATTAAATTCTTGGCGAGGCTGAATTTTCAGATTGTCATCAGATTTTTGGAGGAAGTAAACAACAAATTTTGATTAACGATTTACTATATCTATGATAACCTTAAATCATCCACGGGATTTCAGAGTAGTCGATTTCATAGTTTCCAAAATAAATTGTAAAAAATGTTATTTATCGATTTTGATTTTTTTTATAAAATATTATAAAAAATTAAGGCAGATTCATCAACCAGAATTATATAAGCACGTTATTTTATAAAAGGTGAATAGTGTTTATTATGTAAAATTTTGAGATGAAGTCATCAAGTTTTTGGAGGAAATAAACAAAAAAAAAAAATTATTAGCGATTTACCATGTACACGATAACCTTAAAACATTTGTGAATTTTCATAGCAATCGATTTTCAAGTTAAAATATAAAATGTTATTTAAAATTTTATTTTGTTTACAAAAACCTGGACGTCTAAGATAAAAATAAAGGCGGGTTCATAAACCACAAGCATAGAAATTTGAATAATAGTTACTATGTAAACCTTTGAGATGACCTCATCAAATTGTTGCCGAGGGTGAAATTTTGGGTAGCGTTTTGTCCTCTAAATGATATTTATAAATTACGTATACAATTTTACAACAATTTGCAAGTACTGATTCATATTTTGCACGTTTTAGACAAGATTTACTCAGCAAAATTTTGAATTACGTCATAAAATGTTTGGAGGGAGTAAACAAAAAAAAAATATTGATTTGTAATTTAATCATGGTTTCAATAACCTTAAAACATCTGCAGCAATTCAAAGCAGTCGATTTCATACTTTTCAAGTTAAATTGTACAATGTTATTTAACAATTTTGATTTTTTTTTTTCAAAAATCTAGACGTCGAAAGTAAAAAATCAAGGCGGATTCATAAACCACAGTTATATAATTACGTTGTTTTATAAAATGTAAGTAGCATTTACTACGTCAGATTTGATGAAATCATCAAGTTTTTGGTGGGAATAAAAAAAATTGATTAACGCAAAATTTCACAGCAGTTCATTTATAGCTTTCAACTTAAATTTTAAAATGATTTCTAATGTTTTATTTTTTTACAAAAACCTAGATGTCTAGGATGAAAAATCAAGGCTGGTTTATAAACCACAAGTATAGAAATATGTTATGTTATGAAATTTAAATAGTACTTATTATGCAAAATTTTGAGGTGACGTCATGAAATTGTTAGTGGGGAAAATTAGACAAATTTTGGTTAGCGTTTTACCATCTACATGATTTTCATAAAATATATACACAATTTTTCAAGTTTTAAATAGAATTTACCCACTAAAATTTTGAGATGACCTCATTAAATTGTTGGTAAGGCTAAATTTATACTTATCTAATTTTTCATTTCATCTTCATTTCAAAGCAGTCAATTTCATAGTTTCCAAATTAAATTGTAAAATAAATGTTAATTATCGATTTTGTTTTTTTTTTTCGAAAAATCTAAAAGTCCAAGATAAAAAATCAAGGCGGATTCATCAACAAGAGTTACACAAGCACGTTATTTTATAAAAGGTGAATTGCATTTTTCAGAAAGAATGTTTTCAAAAATTTTGAGAATACGTTATCAACTTTCTGGAAGGAATAAACAAAAACGGGGACGTCTAAGATAAAAATAAAGGTGAGTTCATAAACCACAAGTATAGATGACGTTATCGAATTGTTGGCGAGGGTGATCAAACAATCAAAGAGAATTTGGTTAGCGTTTTATCAGCTACATGATATATTTTGCACGTTTTAGATAAGATTTACCCAGCAAAAGTCTGAGTAACGTCATCAAATTTTTGGAGAGAGTAAACAAAAAAATTTCGATTCCTAATTTAATCACGGTTACGATAACTTTTCAGCATCTACAATAATTCAGAGCAGCCGATTTCATTGTTTCCAAGTCAAATTGTACAATGTTATTTAACAATTTTGATTTTTTTCGAAAATTGAGACGTCGAAAGTAAAAAATCAAGGCGGGTTCATCAACCACAGTTATACGTATAAGTTAGTACGTTGCTTTATAAAATGTAAATAGCATTTACTATGTCAAATTTTAAGATAAAGTCGTAAGTTTTTGGAGGGAATAAACAAAAAAAAAAATGATTAACGCAAAATTTCGCAGCAGTCGATTTTATAGCTTTCAAGTTAAATTCTAAATCGTTACGTAATAATTTTCTTTTTTCTTTTTAAATCTGGACGTTTAGAGTAAAAATCAAGACTGGTTCATAAACCATGAGTATAGAAATATGTTATTTTATGAAATTTAAGTAATATTTACTTTCCAAAATTTTTAGGTGACGTCATCAAATTTTTGGTGGGGGCGATAAAACAAATTTTGGTTAACGTTTTACTATCTACATGGTATTCATAAAATATATATAAAATTTGACAACAATTTGCAAGTATAGACTCATAATATTACACGTTTTAAATAGGGTTTACTCAGCAAAATTGTAAAATGTTATTTAATAATTTTTTTTTATAAAAATCTAGACGTCTAAGATGAAAAATCAAGGCTGGTTCATAAATCACAAGTATAGAAATATGTCATTATATGAAATTTGGATTTTTGGAGGCAATAAACAAACAAAAAACTTAAAATATCTGCAAAATGTCACAGCAGTCGATTTTATAGTTTCCATTTCCAAGTTACATTCAAAAATGTCATTTAACAATTTTATTATTATTTTTTTTAATCTGAATGTTTAGGGTAAAAAATCAGAGCGGGTTAATAAACAACAAGCATAGAAACATGTTATTTTAAAATAATTGCCTATTAAAATTTTGAGATGACGTCATTAAATTTTTGGCAAGGCTGAATTTCCAAATTGTCAGTCATCTAATTTTTGGAAGGAGTAAACAAAAAAATTTTGATTAGCGATTTACTATATTTACGATAACCTTGAAGCAAGTAGAGTTTATAGTTTCCAAGTTAAATTCTAAAATGTTACGAAACCAAAGCTGGTTCATAAACTATAAGTATAGAAATATGTTATTTTTGAAATTTATGTAATATTTACTTCCAAAATTTTGAGGTGACATCATCAAATTGTTGGTGGGTGTGATAAAACAAATTTTGGTTAACGTTTTACTATCTACATGGTATTCATAAAATACATATAAAATTTGACAACAATTTGCAAGTATAGATTCATAATATTACACGTTTTAAATAGGGTTTACTCAGTAAAATTGTAAAATGTTATTTAATAATTTTTTTTTATACAAATCTAAACGTCTAAGATGAAAAATCAAGGCTGGTTCATAAACCACAAGTATAGAAATATGTCATTATATGAAATTTGGATTTTGGAGGCAATAAACAAACAAAAATCTTAAAATATCTGCAAAATGTCACAGCAGTCGATTTTATAGTTTCCATTTCCAAGTTACATTCAAAAATGTCATTTAACAATTTTATTATTATTTTTTTTTAATTTGAATGTTTAGAGTAAAAAATCAGGGCGGGTTAATAAACAACAAGTATTGAAACATATTATTTAAAAAAAATTGCCTATTAAAATTTTGAGATGACGTCATTAAATTTTTGAAAAGGCTGAATTTTCAGATTGTCAGTCATCTAATTTTTGGAAGGAGTAAAACAAAAAAATTTTGATTGGCTATTTACTATATTGAAGCAAGTCGATTTTATAGTTTCCAAGTTAAATTCTAAAATGTTACGTAACCACTTTATTTTATTTTTTTTAATCCGGACGTTTAGAGTAAAAACCACACCTGGTTCATAAACTATAAGTATAGAAATATGTTATTTTTGAAATTTACGTAATAGTTACTTTCCAAAATTTTGAGGTGACGTCATCAAATTGTTGGTGGGGGTGATAAAACAAATTTTGGTTAACGTTTTACTATCTACATGGTATTCATAAAATACATATAAAATTTGACAACAATTTGCAAGTATAGGCTCATAATATTACACGTTTTAAATAGGGTTTACTCAGCAAAATTGTAAAATGTTATTTAATAATTTTTTTTTTATAAAAATCTAGACGTCTAAGACGAAAAATCAAGGCTGCTTCATAAACCACAAGTTTAGAAATATGTCATTATATGAAATTTGGTTTTTTGGGAGCAATAAACAAACAAAAAAAAAACATATTTACGATCATCTTAAACTATCTGTAAAATTTCACAGCAGTCGATTTTATAGTTTCCATTTCCAAGTTACATTCAAAGATGTCATTTAACAATTTTACTATTTTTTTAAGAAGAATCTGAATGTTTAGGGTAAAAAATTAGGGCGGGTTAATAAACAACAAGTAGCAACATATTAAAAAAAAAGAACGCCTAGTAAAATTTTGAGATGACGTCATTAAATTTTTGGCAAGGCTGAATTTTCAGATTGTCAGTCATTTAATTTTTGGAGGAAGTAAACAAAAAAATTTTGATTAGCGATTTACTATATTTACGGGAACCTTGAAGTAAGTCGATTTTATAGTTTCCAAGTTAAATTCTAAAATGTTACATAACAATTTTATTATTATTATTAATATTATTATTTTAATCTGGACGTTCAAGAGTACAAACCAAAGCTGGTTCATAAACCATAAGTATAGAAATATGTTATTTTATGAAATTTACGTAATATTTACTTTCCAAAATTTTGAGGTGACGTCATCAAATTATTGGTGGGGGTGATCAAACAAATTTTACTCAGCGTTTTACCATTTACATGATATTACATAAAATTTCACAACAATTTGCAAATATCAACTCATACTATTTTGCACGTTTTAAATAGAATTTACCCAGCAAAATTTCAGATAAGTCATCACATTTTTGAAGGAAGTAAACAAGAAAATTTTGATACGCGACTCACCATGTTTACGATTTATAGTTTCCAAGTTAAACAAATCAAGGCGGATTCATCAATCACAATTATAAAAGCACATTGTTTTTTTATTTTATTATTTGCTATGTAAAATTTTGTGAAGGTCATCAAGTTTTTGAAAGGAATAAACTAAAACAAATAATTCTATAATCTCCAAGTTAAACTCTACAATGTTATTTAACAACTTTAATTTTTTTTACAAACACCTGAATGTCTATGGTAAAAAATCAAAGCGGGCTCATAAACGACAAGTATAGAAAATTTTATTTCATGAAATTTAAATCGTACTTACTATCAAAAATTTTGAGATGACGTCATCAAATTGTTAGTGATGAGTTTTTCATTCCTAATCAAACCGAAGGGCGGAGTTTAATTGTAACATCAATTAATATCTAAAATTTTCTTTCAACAACAGGAAATTTAAACATGTTTTCAGTTTCTTGTTGCGAAAAGAAGCCTTCGTATATTAACAAAAACTGGACAAAATATAAACCCCGCCCACCCACCCCTCCTCAATTGTAATGAATGCTTTATTCATCGTGAGTTGAAGGGCGGAGTTTATTTGCAAAATCCTCATTTCTCTACAAGAAATTATCATGTGAAATATGTTTTTAAAAGGGTAGAATTTTTTATAGAAATATTGATGATACAATTAGGTCTAATTAGGAATGAAAAACTCATCACAATTGAGAAGGGGTGGGTGAGCGGGGTTTATATTTTGTCTATTTCTTCTTAATATATGAGGTCTTCTTTTCCCAACAAGAAATTGACAACATACTTAATTATGCTGTTGTTGAAAGAAAAATCTATATATTAAAAAAAAAAAAACAAAAATGAAGCCCCACCCACCCCTATCTAAATTGTGATGAGTTTTTCATTCCTAATTAGACCTAATTGTAACATCAATATTTCTATAAAAAATTCTACCCTTTTAAAAACATATTTCATGTGATAATTTCTTGTAGAGAAAAGCAAATAAACTCCGCCCTTCAGCTCACGATGAATAAAGCATTCATCACAATTGAGAAGGGGTGGGTGGGCGGGGCTTATATTTTGTCCATTTTTTCTTAATATATGAGGTCTTCTTTTCCCAACAAGAAACTGAAAACATGTTTAACTTTCCTGTTGTTGAAAGAAAACTTAGATATTAAAAAAAAACAACAATCTGTCCGTCAGTTGCGGAAATTATGTGTCTAATAAAAATGGATACAGACAGACAGACAAATAGACGGAAACGGCAGACTACTTTTTTCCTACTGTTGGGGTCATGAAACGTCGAGAAAACATAAAAGTGGCAATTCGTCCGGTGGACTCGATACTATACTAAAAAAGGAGGAGAATCAACAGAATATCTCAAAAGATTATTTATTAACAAAAATTTATACTTTTTCTAAAAAAAAAAAAAAAATCAATTATAGAAAGACGTTTGTCAATTTTTTGTTTTGAATTTTTGATGGGTATAAATATGTATATTAATTCCACCAACAAAACTCAAGATTGCTAAAAATTTAGTAAAATTGTCCATTTGTTTACCATGAACCGATTTTTAATACCGTCACTGTTCACATTGAAACCACTTAAAAATACATCTATTTTTTTTAAATAACAAAGACACATATCTTTTTATCTTGTAGGGGGCACATACATCATTGAATAAGACAATTTTGTATCTATTTAAGATTTAAAGACAGATTTAAAATTTAAGTAAAAACTGTAAATTTTATAACTTACCAAACTTTTCCGTATAGCTGTATGGTGTCCTCCAACACACTCAGAACCTTCAGTCTAACATTAGTTCTCAAATCAGGTTTGAAATAATTAGCTAACAAATTATACAAATTTTGTAACCAGGCACTTTCTGTAGGTCTAATACTCTTAGACTGAAATTTAATCAACTTCAAAACACTAGTTTCAGGTCGATCTCGGGAACACTCGTGTATAACTGCAAAAAACTGATTCATGGAACCCTTGTAATTCCCGACTTCAATCAAATTTTCGATAGTGTTTAGAATTTCGTGTAGAGTAATAATAGTTAAATTATTAGGGACTTCGTTAGGGGCTAGTTCGATTTGTTTTATAACGTGGAGGATAATTTCCAGAACTATATCCCACGTGGGTTCCAATAACTCCAAGCCTTGTTTATTTATAAGTTTTTGGATGCCTATGATTACTTCTAGAGCGACAGAGGGGTGATTAGCTTTAACCGCCTGTAAAAACTACATTAATAAAAAATACACCTCAATAGAAATGATAAAACCTGTAAAACTGACGGTAGAACCGAACTCGGGGGACAACACAAATTCTGCATTGAATTAATATCCCACAACGCCATGTGTATGTAAAAGACACACCCCCGCAATAACCCGGCGTCTTTTTTTAAATTCGGTTCTTGCAAAAAGCGACACATTGTATACAAAGTTGAATGCCCTAAGTGCGTCCCAAGCAAGTTCTTCATAGTCTGAAACCCACCAACTACAATTGGCTCAAATATCTCAAAACATACCTTCCAACTAGCCGAACAATAACACTTAATATTAACCGTCCGGCACAAAGTACCCACAAACTGTGATAGCGACTCTGGAGGCAAAATACTGTAAGCTACCACAGTGCCTAATATCTGTAGACACAGAATAACAATAGGAAACTGATTAGTATTACAACATAAGACACAAACATGCCTGGAAAAAACAACTCAAAATGAGCCAAACAACCTCAACCAACATTACTTAACATATCCAGTCATAGTATATTCATCTAAGTGCGGCGAGTTAAACTTGATCACGTTATCGAGAATTTTGAGAAACTCGTTCAGTTTGCCCACGCGACTGACATCTGAAAACCAGTTTAAAAGAAAAGGTCCGATTTCCTCTTCAAAGTGTTCGACTTCTTTGCCGTCGTTGGTGAGCGCGGCGAGAAGATCAACCCTCGGAGCGATGTCTTGCGGGTTATCGTGGTGCTTAATAAAGCGAAAAAACTGGGCCCTCATTACGTAGATTCGATCAAACTGGCTTTTAATTATAGTCTGCAGGAACGTGAAAGTGGCGTGGCGGACGTCGTTGGGGTACTCCCGGAGAAACATGTCTTGGATGCAGCTCCACAGTTTCTCGACGCCGTTCTGAAAATAATACTGTCATTGGTGGTAAAACTTCGTGGGGGTTTACCGTCTCGAGGCGCGACAAGTGGGCTGTCAGTTCTTTCATAGTTTTGACTCGGGTGTTTGTGGAAGAATCTTTACCCAAGTCGTGGAGAATTTCGTTGGTTAGGATGAATTCTCGATTTGGTTGTACGTTGACTGGAAATAGTTGTTGTGAAGGGGTACTAAATGGGTGTTTATTACCTATTGGGTCTTTCTTAGTTCTAAACATGCTTTTTAATTTCTCTTGAAAGGTCTTGTCTTTGCTCATTTTGACTGGCTATTGGAAAATTTCTAACAAAACACAAACACCTACATTTAAAACTTGTACACGAATTTAGTTCGAAATTTGAGTAAAAAACATAACCTCTTTTTGTGATTTGTGTTGATAAGTTTTTGACGTTTAACCTTGACGGGGTGCGCATGCGCTTGCTATTACTCGTCGCGCCAGAGGTGGATTTGTTAAAATTGTGGCCGTCCGACTTCAATGATAATTCATGAAAATTCACAAATTTTTATTGTAGAGACAAATAATAACTTATAAAAGCAATACATAATTTCATTAAAGTCTAATCCAACGACATTTATCCTTACAGTACTTGACACTAACTGATGTATTTCAAAAATATTTTTTATATAAACACTACACCACATAAATATTGCCAAAATACTACTATATTTGAAAAATCCATCCGTACTTTGTACTCATTAGAAAAATATGGTTCTATACAGATCTTTAAACACATGAAAAAATCTTTGAAACGCGAAAGACTTCGTTGTAGCAAACATTAACCGTGCCAGTTTAAAAATGCCGTGTAGAACCAAAATATCAAACCCTACAATTATTTAGAAACATTTTAATACGCGGTTTAATAGGAAAACTGTATTTATTACTTTGTACTGGTTATGTTTTTTGTTAACTTCACCGTCAGCCTTTAACAAAACAATAAACCTTTTAACATTAATTAATAAAACAAAAAGAAAATAATAAATTTGAAATTCTAATTTAATAATTTTTTTAAAAATACACAATCATTACATTGAATTATAAATGAAATTTTTAAACAACTATTAAAAATACAACGAATGCCTAAATTTTATGCAATGGACAAATAGATATTATTTTAAGACAAGTTTGTTTCAAGTATATTCTAACTGGATCAAGTAAGCCAAAAAAACTCTTTTGACTATAAATTTTTGATCGACCGTTATTGCATGAAGATTTATACATTTTGGGTAAAAAATCACTTGATTACTACGTCAGCGCTCTAAACGATATTTACAGTAGAAACAAGGCTTGTACAAAATCAGTTTTTTTGACCTACGAAAATATCTAATTGCTAAGAGTGTAGTTATAATAACTATAGGCCCACTACTTTTATTTATAATTTATTTATTAAAACTACCTACCTAAGTATAAGTATAATATGTTTTTTGTAAATAGAATTCCATGACAAACATTTTATGTAAAGTCATTAAAGCTGTTTGCAATAATTCCAACATACGTCTATAATAAGTAAAAACAATCTATACAACACCTAGCTAAGAAAATAATTTTTTTAGTGGCACAATCGTCAACACTATAAAATATAACACTGGGATCAGTAACTTTGGGTATACACATAACAAAAAATAAATTCTCCCTTTTCCCTTATTATTACAAACGGCTTTAGTTAAGAAAATACATTGGTCATAAAGGATTTTAAACTGTTGTGTAAAAGGGAAATCTACTTTACAAATAAATACGATTGCATCAGTCGATTGGTTAAAAAATAAAATCAACTTAATGACATGCTGCACACGCCTGTTTTGAATCGCATCGATTGAATTAAAAAAAAAAAAAAGAAAAAGCATAAACAATCACATTTGTCTTCATTATAAAAATACATCTTCAACTTTAAATAAATAAATATATTGATATGTTTCTAAATAGTGCAGCAGTTTTAAAAACTTAATTGAATATAACTAATTGAATTTGAAAAGTCCTACCTAACTAAAATTTAACAAGAGTCCGTATTAAAACTGTCAAAAAAAATTCTGAGCGAAATGCGGTGCACAGCCAAAATAAATGCACGAAACGATAAAAACGCACACAAATTGCTACATGTTCTCAGATTTATTGTAAACGAGTCTTGTTATTTTACAATTTATTGTTTCCACAGCAGTATTCTAGTCAAACAGTTTAAACACGGACAATTCAATTGAATATTAGCGATTTTCCAAAACAGTTTAAATTGTAATATCATAGCGTTAGCCGGCCTAAGCCCGCGTCAGCGGGCTTAGGCCGGCCCTAAAAACAAAATTGGTCTTGTAGATAGTGTAGCAACAATTTTAAAAAATCGCGCCTAATTGTTTAATAAAATAAATTGTAATAAACCTATTTATATTTATGTTAAAATTTGTTAACTGCATGCAACGCACCCGAGTGTCGATTTTTGCTCAGCGAGACGCGGTAACATTGCATACACACCTAAGCTTCTCATTTTCACATGTTATTACTCAAATTGAAAGGAGTTTGACAATAAGGGCATTCACTTTGTGTGAGGGCACATGTACTGCACAGAACAAAATGATTGCAATTTAATGTTACAGTTCTATTACGTTCTTCACAGACCATACATTTTGAAGCAGTCTCTCTATACAAAACCTTTTCGATTTCTTCCAAGTCTTGCCTAAGTTGAGCGTGCAAATTTTTCAAAACACTTAATGACAATTTGCTTAATTCTGAAACGTTTGTTATACTCCTAATGTGAGGTCCCCCTTGTAGCTTCTCGTACTCTTGTTTCAGATTATTCAACTGAGTTACGGTCTCGTTCAACTGAGTCATCGTCTCGTTCAGTTTGGTTTCAGTCAACTGGCTCTTCCTATTGGCTTCCTCGGAAGCTTGTTTCCACAAATCGCAGGCGGTTCTGGCCTGCTGTAACCTATCTTCCCAACTTGACAGTTGCATTTTGGCGGAATTTAGTTCTTCTCGGAGTAGCGCCACTTCCATGTTACTGTTGACGCTAGGGGATATACTGAAATTGTTGTGGTTTCTAGACGTCGGCGAAATACTCTGTGGTGGAAAATCGAAGAAGTTTTGGTAGGAATTGATCTTAGACGCACTACTGCTCAAAGGAATTTGCGAATGGTTTAAAAAGTCCATGTGTTCGGATTGGGAGAACCTAGCTGCTGACAAGAAACTACCGTGAAGTTGTTGCAAAGGGCTATTACTCGTTGGACTAAATCCTCCTAAACCTGTTCGTGCCGACCCTGGAATGTTGACTGGAGCTGAACTGCCTAACAAACCCGACGAAGCTAAGCCCACGGATATCGAATTTGTGACCGTCGGTGATTCCGATTCTAAATCTCGGTCCAGACCGGTCAAATTTAATGAATCGTCTAGTGTCAACTCGTCCAAAGCGTTACCTTTAAACACGCTGCCGTAACACAAAACACCAAGGCGTTGGAGGTACTCACCTACGACGCTGCCAACAGTGTCGTTGGCGGAACCGAAAAAAGACGACTGAGATATTCCGGTGAAAGGAAACCTTAGCGACTGCTTCAACTTCTCTCTTTCTAAAACGTCTAAAACAAGAAAACTGTTAACCGTTTGTGTTGGGGGCTTGGGGTTACAACCAACCTAAATTTGGATCTTTTTCAATTGCTAATAATTTATTGTTTAATTCTACTCCCAATGGTAAATGTCTATTGAATGGTATTGATTTGTGGGCTAATTGTGAACCTGGAGCTTTACTATGTGAACTATTTGAACCTAAAGATGATGTTGATGCCGACTCGCTAACTTCACTACTTCCGTTCTGTAAGAAAAAATGAAAGTCGGAAACGTTCCTGCTGACAGCCGACATTAGAATAAACGAGGCTCAAAAACATTTATATGTAGTTACACAACCCGATATTAGGTAAATATATAGTGTTTTATTCTCATTTTCTTTCTCTCTTTTTTTAATTTTGTGGAGATCTAGTTACCTAATTATTCAATTATATTGTTTTTTCAATTTTCGGAAACCTTCTACCTAAATTAGTGAAATTATATTAAGACAAAATTTTGAAAATTACTTGGGTCATTAATGACAATATGACATTATAGGTACTTAATTTGTAATTCTAAAAAATTAAACTGATAATTTGCCGCTCCTTACGCTATCAGCATATTCACTTGAACTCGAACATCTGCACACATGCTGATTCAACAATGGCACACTAACTCTATTACACGTTGCTAAAGACTATTTATTGACTCAAGAAAAATAATTCAAAAAATCCTTGAGCCCAAATGTAGAAGATACAGACCTTGAAAGTTTAATTTTTCTTTTATATGCTTCACCATATTTTAAATCACTACTTGGGTGTTGGTTAAAAAAAATCGATCAGACGTTCACTATTCAAAATAACTTTCTTCATTTTATATTATTACAAAAAAACTTAAAATTATTCAGAATGACTCTGACAACAGTGACTAATTCTTTAAGTATTGTAATGTATCTAAGTCCGTATTTTGTTTTTATAAGTAAACATCAAATTGATGTAAGGAATTTTTTCCTGATTTTTCTTGAACTACGTATATTAAGATAAAATAGACAAAATATATCCCCCGCCCACCCACCCTATCTCGATTGTGATTATTTTTTATTTCGTCGTGAGCCGGAAGGCGAATGTTAATTTCAAAATCCTCATTTTTACGTTTTTGTGATTAGCACGTCGAAATCCATATCCTATTATTTTTTGTGATTTTTTTGGCGATTTCATAAAAAGAAAAATTTTTGCAAAATCCTCCCTTATGAAAATTTCGGCCAATTTTCGATTACTTTCGAAACCTAACCAAAGACATGTTCTTATAGATTTCGACCTCCAGATGTTACTTGCGTCTAAAACTGCCAATTGAAATATTATGATTTTTTATATAAAAAAAAAACACTTAAATCGAATATTTCTAAAATCTTGTCCCGGGACCTTAAATACGTTATATCTTTGGACTCAGCACGTTGACATCTATATCCCATCATTTTTTGAAAATTTTTTGGTGATATGTATCTTCAAAAACAAAATTTTTCAAAATCCTTTCCAATGAAAATTTTGGCCATTTTTCGATTACTTTCGAAACTTAACCAACGACATTTTCTTATAGATTTCGATCTCCAGATGTTACTTTCAACCTTGTTGCTACGATAACTTCTTCCGCTTTTCCAAAATGGCCATTGAAATGTTGCTATTTTTTGGAATAAAAAAATTATAATAAATTGATTTTCAAACCCAATATTTCCAAAATCTTTCCCGAGAAGAGAAACACGCTATATTTTTCGAATTAGCACATCGAAATTTATATCCCCGAATTTTGTCGGATTTTTTGACGACTTTTTGAACATCAAAATTTTTCAATACATCCCATATGAAAATTTCGGCCAATTTTCGACCACTTTCAAAGCATAACGAAAGACATTCTCTTATAGATTTCGACCTTCAGAAGTTACTTTCGGCATCATTTCTATGATAACTTCTACCATTTTTCCAAAATCGCCCATTGACATTTTCCAATTTTTTTAGATTAAAAAAAAAATTATTTTCGGATCGAATATTTCCAAGATCTTCCCAAGGACCATAAAAACGTTATGTTTTTAGAAGCAGCACATCGAAATCCATATGGCACAACTTTTTGTGATTTTTTTTGGCGACTTCATCAAAAGCAAAAATTTTTCAAAATCCTTCCCTATGAAAATTTTGGCCAATTTTCGATAGCTAACCACAGACATTTTTTTTATAGATTTCGACCTTCAGAAGTTACAACTTCTACTATTTGTCCAAAATCCCCAATTGAAATTTTTCAATTTTTTTGGATTTAAAAAATATATTTTCAAATTAAGTTTTTGAAAAATCTTACCCAGGACCTTAAATATGTTATGTTCTTGGAATCAGTACGGATCAAAACTATATTCCACAATTTTTTAGGATTTTTTTGGCGAAATCTTCAAAAGCAAAATTTTTCAAACTCTTCAATGAAAATTTTGGCCAATTTTCAATCACTTTCAAAACTTAACCGAAGACAGTTTCTTATAGATTTTGACCTTCAGAAGTTACTGTAGGCATTATTTCTACGATAACTTCTACCGTTTTTCCAAAATCGCCCATTGAAATTGTCCAATTTTTTGGATAAAAAAAAGATTTTCAAATTTTCATTATTTTTCCTATAAATTTCGACCTCCAGATGTTACTTTCGTCCTTATTGCTACGATAACTCCTACCACTTTTCCTAAAATCTTCCATTGAAATTTTTCAATTTTTTTGGATTTAAAAAATATATATTTTCAAATCAAGTATTTTTAAAATCAAGGCCCACGGCCTTAAATTTATTATGTTTTTGGAATCAGCACGACCAAATCTGTATCCCATAATTTTTTAGGATTTTTTTGGCGATATATTTAAACGCAAAATTTTTCAAATCTCTCCTATGAAAATTTCGACCAATTTTCAATCACTTTCAAAACTTAAGCAATGACATTTTCTTATAGATTTTGACCTTCAGAAGTTACTTTGGGCATCATTTCTACGATAACTTCTACGATTTTTCCAAAATCGCCCATTGAAATTTTCCAATTTTTTGGATAAAAACGATTTTCAAATCGAATAGTTCCAAGATGTAGCCCCGGGACCATAAATAGTTTATGTTTTTGGAAGCAGCACGTCGAAATCCATATCCCATAATTTTTTGTGATTTTTTTGACGACTTCATTAAAATTGTTGCCAATTTTCGATTAATTTCAAAACTTAACCAAAGACATTTTCTTATACTATAGATTTTGACCTTCAAAAGTTACTTTCAGCATCATTTCTAAGATAATTTCTACCTTTTTCCAAAATCGCCCATTGAAATGTTTCCATTTTTTTGGATTTAAAAAATATATATTTTCAAATCATATATTTCTAAAATCTTGTCCCAGGACCTTAAATATGTTATGTTTTTGGAATCAGCATGACCAAATCTATATCCCTTAATTATTAATTTTTTTTTTTGGCGATATATTCAAAAACATTTTTCAAAATCTTTCCTATGAAAATTTCGGCTAATTTTCAATCACAGTGAAAACTTAACCAAAGACATTTTCCTAGAGATTTTGACCTTGAGAAGTTACTTCAGGCATCTACGATAATTTCTACAATTTTTCCAAAATCGTTTTATCATTGAAATTTTCCAATTTCTTGGATAAAAAAAAAATTCAAATCGTATATTTCCAGTTGCCCCGGGACCATAAATACGTAATGTTTTTGGAATTAGCATGTCGAAATTTATATCCCAGAATTTTTTGAGATTTTTGTCGACTTTTTCACAATCAAAACTTTTCAATACATACCCTATGAAAATTTCGGCCAATTTGCGACCACTTTCAAAATACAACGAAAGACATTTTCTTATGGATTTGAACCCTCAGAAGCTACTTCGGCCTTATTTCTACGTTAACTTTTCCCTTTTTTCCAAAATCGCCGAATAAAATTTCCCAATTTTTTGGATAAAAAAAAAAATTTCAAATCGAATACTTCCAAGATCTTGCCCCCGGACCATAAATATGTTAAGTTTTCGGAATCAGCACGTCGAAATCCAGATCCCATAATTTTTTGGGATTTTTTTTGGCGACTTCATCAAAAGCAAAATTTTTCAAAATTCTCCCCTATGAAATTTTCGATTACTTTGGAAACTTAACCAAAGACATTTTCTTATAGATTTCGACCTCCAGATGTTACTTTCGCCCTAATTGCTACGATAACTACTACCACTTTTCCAAAATCGCCCATTGAACTATTGCAATTTTTTGGGTAACAAAAAAAAAATTGATTTTCAAATCGAACATTTCTAAAATCTTTCCCGCTAATATTTTTGGTACCAACACGTGGAAATTTATATTCCAATTTCTTTTTTAATTTTTTGACGACTTTTTAAACTGCAAAATTTTTCAATATATTCTCTATGAAAATTTTGACCTATTTTCGACCATTAACGAGACATTTTCTTTTAGATTTTGACTTCCAGAAGTTACTTTCAGCAACATTTCTACGATAACTTCTACCATTTTTCCAAAATCGCCCACTGAAATATTGTATTTTTTTAGATTAAAAAAAAAAGTTTCAAATCCTTATGTTTTTGGAATCAAGAGGTCGAAATCTATATCCCACAATTTTTTGTCATTTTTTTTTTGTGATATCTCCAAAAACAAAATTTTTCAAAATCCTCCCGTATGAAAATTTCGGCCAATTTTCGAAACTTAACTTATGTCATTTTCATATACATTTAGATCTCCAGAAATTACTTGCGCCCTCGTTGCTAGATCATTTCTGCCACGTTTTCAAAACCGCCCATTGAAATATTGGAATTTTTTGGACAAAAAAAAATAAATAAATAAAATTGATTTTCAACTCGAATATTTCTACAAGCTTGTCCCAGGAAGATAAACACGCTATATTTTTGGAATCAGCACATCGAAATTTATATCCCAGAATTCTTTGGGATTTTTTAACGACTTTTTAAACAGTAACATTTTTTAATATATCTCCTGTGAAAATTTTGACTAATTTTCGACCACTTTTGAAACCCAACGTAAGACACTTTATTATAGATTTCGACCTCCAGAAACTACTTTCAGCCTGATTTCTATGATAACTTCTACCATTTTTTCAAAATCGCCCATTGAAATACGTATTACAATTTTTCCGATTAAAAAAACATATATATTTTCAAACTGAATGTTTCGAACATCTTGCTCTGGGACAAGAAATGCGCAAATTTTTGGAATCAGCACCTCGAAATTACATTCCAGACTTTTTTAAGAATAATGTGTCAACTTTTTCAAAAGCAAAACTTTTCTACATTTTTTACTCGAAATCTTTGAGGTGTGAAAACTTCAATTTCTGGCTATATTTAGACAGATTTAGGTATAGCCAAGATACACAGACGAATGGTTCGCGGATTTTTAATGATTTATATGAAAGAACTGTCAAACCGACTTCAGGGTCTACATAAAAAGCTAGATAGAGGGCGACGCAGTAGCAGAAATTGTTACTTTTGACGTTGGAGACACTTTCCTTTATAAATTTTCAATGGTTGACCTAATCATTTTTTTTTTTATTATTATTGGAACAATTCTCAAATCAACTCAAAGGCTTTCCATCTTTTTCATGTTATATGGATACTTATGCCCATTTGTATTCTTAGTTAACCACTGTTCATCATAGTGAATTGTATTACCTTGGTGTTCATAACCTCAAAAACCTTGTTATATAATTTGTTGACATGCAAAATTTTGTGGAACATGAGCATTGGAAGCTCAAATTCGTAAACATTGTATTAATAATAATTTTACTGTAAGCAGAAAATAAAAAACTTTAGTAATTTTCGTGAAAAAACGTCACTATTAAAAAAATGTCGCCTAGACGGCGCCACAGTAGTGACGAACTGTCATTTTTAACGTTTGATACATTAAAAATGACCATCCAATATATATTAAATAAAGTACATTATTATCCGTCATAAAGTCAAGTAATTTTCTTTTAATTAAATCAAATTTACTCAATCCTTAGAATGGGAGCCGAAAATTTTCCTTAAAATATATTGCATATCCATTTTGTCGATCGTAAATTTGTTATGAGATCATATAAAATGTAAACGAGATATTTTCACTTACTACGAGTGTTTTATAAACAAGTCGATTATGATATAACAAACATTGTTAAAATTTATGCATCAACGATCAGCCACAATACTTTCTAATAATATAACGTATTTTCCAATTCACGAGCCAAAACAAATTGCACTAGATTTTGTGACTTTTTTACATAACCACAAACTGAATTTTGCGCCCTCTCGTGGCTTAAAATTTCTTTCTTACGTTGAAGTTTTATCTTTTTCAAGAGCTTGAAACTTCGAGAGCACTCAGAATCACTCTCCAAGTTCCACCCCTTCCACTGAGCCTCGAACCAAACCATCCCCACTACTTACTGAGCTATCACTGCTTTTTTCTTTCTTATCTAAACTAGATGGAGGAAGAGCATTTGATAATATCTCCGCAAAATTTGTACCACTTTCTCCTGTGTCTCGTGAGACTCCCATTTCTTCTGCAAATAAAAGTCAAAACTCAGTCGTCAGTTTGCGCAGACTCCACACGCATACTTACGTTCAACGTGGGCGAACGCACAGAACACCCCCCTAGGACAATACCCCGACTGTTGTACATCGTTACATTTGGTGCTTTTGTAAATCTCTGGATGAAACTGCTGTTCTGTTCTAGTGTGACAATAGGAACACAAATCACCCGCATCACAATTACCCGGCTCTCCCCACTCCTCGCCATGTTTTACGTTAGGGCACGGTGTTGACCTGGAAATTTCAATGGAGACTCGTTTATAACTGGCTTTTCGGCCGCACTCACCGATATTTAAATTTCCGAGGACTTCTTCTTTTGTCTTTACTGTTGTGATACTGGGGGCAGGCGTAACCTTGTCTACATAATCGGGGTGGTCTTTTACAAGGTTCCGTTTTGTAATTTGATAATACATAATTTGTATCTGGAAAAATGAGGAATACATGACAAACACCACTAGGTGGCGTGGTGGCGCTACGAACTACACCAACTGTTACGGAAATTGGAAAAAAAAAAACAAAAAAGCGAGAAATTGACTTTGCAAAATTTCGAAATGACGTAATTAACTTCCCGGAGGGGATAAACAGATGAATTTCGATTAGGTTTTGTAGTTTCTAAAATAAACTGTAGTGTTGTTGCACAATGTGATTTTTATATTTTTTGATATTACTATATGAATGACGCTCGGAAGTAAAAGGTCAACATTTTTAACCAAAAATAAATAAATAAATAAAAAATCAGAGACTTAACTATTTTTTAATTATCTTGTTATAATTATGTATCTTGTTTTTATCATCATATATCTGTACTCATCACAATGATGATAAATATTTCTTAAAAACTTCACGCGTAGAAAGCATGAGTACAAAGAAAAACTGATAACAAATTTATTTATGGCACACGTACGATAATGGATATTTGGACATACATCTAATTTAAAAATACGTGTCTACTGGAGTACAAATTTTGTCACTCTACTAACAAAACGAAGAAATTTCACAAGGATTTGCTGCCATGAAGTCACCGACATTTCTAATGTCTTATACACATCATTTTTTCCTTGAATCCTTGTTCTGCGAAAGTAAATAAGCAGCTTATTCGAATAATTGCTTACTACTCAAGATTAAATATACAGGGTGTTTACTAAACACGCATAAAAAATTCACGGGGTTATTCCTTAGATTATTATTTCAAGAATTTTTTTGTTTTTGAATCTTCTAAAATAGAGAGAAAAAAACTTTTAGCGGTTTTTGTAGATTAAAAGTCTGTACATGTAATGTGAATTAATAGTTTTTGTTTCTTTCAAAAAGCTTTTATCGCCCTGTATCTTGGAAACAAAGAGTTTCACCGAAAATCGTCCAAGGACAAAAAAATCTTAAAATAACCCAAGGACTTCCCCCTGAATTTTTGGCCCATGTTTAGTAAACACCCTGTATAATTATAAAAAAAACTTCAACCTCAAGAAACAAGGCAACAAAATAAATTCTATTCGGGAAAAACTCTGACACTTAAAATTGCACAGCTAACGGAAATTTCCTACTCAACAGCAACATACATTTTTGATGTAAATATTTAGTAATAAAAAATTCTTGGGTGATTGTTCACAAAAAAATCTGAAAAGTTATTTACACTTCAATTTACCTTGTTTACTTCGTTAAGAACGTCTAAATTTTACGAAATAATACACTATTGTACTTGTGGTTTATTAATTTACCTTGCTTTTGTTTATTATTACATATTTTTTATTGTTTCATTCGTCTTGTTCTTGAGACACATAATACGATCTTCTATTACCACTGTGATACAAGTGTTTTGAGGATTTGAGGACTTGGTGTTCTGAGGATTAAGGTGTTCTGAAGATTTCACGACTTTGGTGTTCTGTGAATTTGAGGACGGCAGTTTTATGAGGATCTGAGGATTATGGTGTTCCGCTGATATGAAGATTACGGTGTTCTGAGGATTTTGATATTGTGGTGTTTTGATGATCTGAGGATTTGAGGAATACATGGAGCCTTGAGGATTTGAGGATTTTGGTGTTGTAAGGATTTGAGAATTAAGGTGTTCTCAGGATTTCGAGATTTTAGTGTTCTGATAATTTGGGGAATTTGTTCTGAGGATTTAAGGATTAAGGGGTACTGAGGATTTCGAGATTTTAGGGTTCTGAGAATTTGAGGATTGTGATGTTCTGGGGGTTTGAGTATTATGGTGTTTTGAGGATTTGAGATTTACGGTGTTCTGAGGATCATGATGTTCTGAGGATTTGAGGATTTTGGTGTTCTGAAAATTTGAGGATTAAGGTGTTTTGAGGATTTTGGGATTTTAGTGTTCTGAGAATTTGAGGATTGTGATGTTCTGGGGGTTTGAGTATTATGGTGTTTTGAGGATTTGAGATTTATGGTGTTTTGAGAATTTGAGATTTACGCTGTTCTGAGAAACATTGTGTTCTGATTTTTTGAGGATTGTGGTGTTCTGAGAATCCGAGGATTATGGAGTCCTGAGGATTTGAGGAATTTGTTGATCTAAAGATTTGAGGATTAATGTGTTCTGAGGATTTCGGGATTTTAGTGTTCTGAGAATTTGATGATTGTGATGTTCTAGGGATTTGAGTATTATTGTGTTCTGAAGATTTGAGGATTACGGTGTTCTGAGGATTTGAGGATTACGGTGTTCTGAGGATCATGGTGTTCTGATGTTCTGAGGATCATGGTGTTTTGATGATTTGAGGATTGTGGTGTTCTGAGGATTTGAGGATTACGGCGTCCTGAGGATTTGAGGATTACGGCGTCCTGAGGATTTGAGGAATTTGTTGTTCTGAGGACTTCCGAGATTTTAGTGTTCTGAAAATTTGAGGATTGTGATGTTCTGGGGGTTTGAGTATTATGGTGTTTTGAGGATATGAGATTTATGGTGTTCTGAGGATCAAGGTGTTGTGATTACTTGAGGATTGTGGTGTTCTGAGATTGAGGATTATGGAGTCCTGAAGATTTGAGGAATCTGTTGATCTGAGGATTTGAGGATTAAGGTGTTGAGGATTTCGGGATTTAATGTTCTAAGAATTTGAGCATTGCGATGTTCTGAGAATTTGAGGATTATGAAGTCTTGAGAATTTGAGGATTGTGATCTGGGGATTTGAGTATAATGGTGTTTTGAGGATTTGAGATTTACGCTGTTCTGAGGAACATGGTGTTCTGATTTTTTGAGGATTGTGGTGTTCTGAGAATCCGAGGACTATGGAGTCCTGAGGATTTGAGGAATTTGTTGATCTGAGGATTTGAGGATTAATGTGTTCTGAGGATTTCGGGATTTTAGTGTTCTGAGAATTTGATGATTGTGATGTTCTAGGGATTTGAGTATTATGGTGTTTTGAGGTTTTGAGATTTACGGTGTTCTGGGGATTATGGTGTTCTGATTATTTGAGGATTGTTGTGCTCTGAGAATCTGAGGATTATGATGTTCTGGGGAATTGAGTATTATGGTGTTCTGACGATTTGAGGATTACGGAGTCCTGAGGATTTAAGGAATTTGTTGTTCTGAGGATTTGAGGAATAAGGTATTCTGAAGATTTGAGGGTTAAGGTGTTCTGTGGATTTGAGGATTAAGGAGTCTCGATAATTTGAGTATTTTGGTGTTCTGAAGAATTGAGGATTTAGGTGTTTTGAGGATTTTGGGATGAAAGTGTTCTGAGAATTTGAGGATTGTGATGTTCTGGGGAATTGAGTATTATGGTGTTCTGAGGATTTGAGGATTACGGTGTTCTGAGGATTTGAGGATTAAGGTGTTCTGAGGATTTCGGGATTTAATGCTCTGAGAATTTGAGCATTGTGATGTTCTGAGGATTTGAGCATTATGAAGTCTTGAGAATTTGAGAATTGTAATGTTCTGGGGATTTGAGGATTATGGTGTCTTGAGGATTTGAGATTTACGCTGTTCTGATTTTTTGAGGAATGTGGTGTTATGAGAATCCGAGGATTTGAGGATTAATGTGTTCTGAGGATTTCGGGATTTTAGTGTTCTGAGAATTTGATGATTGTGATGTTCTAGGGATTTGAGTATTGTTGTTTTGAGGATTTGAGATTTACGGTGTTCTGAGGATCATGGTGTTCTGATTATTTGAGGATTGTTGTGTTCTTAGGATTTGAGGATTACGGAGTCCTGAGGATTTAAGGAATTTGTTGATCTGAGGATTTGAGGATTAATGTGTTCCGAGGATTTCGGGATTTTAGTGTTCTGAGAATTTGATGATTGTGATGTTCTAGGGACTTGAGTCTTATGGTGTTTTGAGGATTTGAAAGTTACGTGTTCTGAGGATCATGGTGTTTTGATTATTTGAGGATTGTTGTGCTCTGAGAATCTGGGGATTATGATGTTCTGGGCAATTGAGTATTGTGGTGTTCTGAGGATTTGAGGAATAAGGTGTTCTGAGGATTTGAGATTTTAGTGTTCTGAGAATTTGAGAATTATGGAGTCTTGAGAATTTGAGGATTTTGGTGTTTTGAGGATTTGAGATATACCGTGTTCTGAGGATTATGGTGTTCTGATTATTTGAGGTTTGTTGTGCTCTGAGAATCTGAGGATTATGATGTTCTGGGCAATTGAGTATTGTGGTGTTCTGAGGATTTGAGGAATAAGGTGTTCTGAAGATTTCGAGATTTTAGTGTTCTCAGAATTTGAGGATTGTGATGTTCTGAGAATTTGAGGATTATGAAGTCTTGAGAATTTGAGGATTTTGGTGTTCTGAAGATTTGAGTATTAAGGTGTCCTGAGGATTTTGGGATTTTAGTGTTCTGAGAATTTGAGGAATGTGATGTTCTGGGGATTTGAGTATTATGGTGTTTTCAGGATTTGAGTATTAGGGTGTTCTGACTATCACGGTATTCTTGTTATTTGAGGATTGTGGTGTTCTGAGGATTTGAGGATTTTGGTGTTCTGAGGATTTGAGAATAAAGATGTTCTAGGAATTTGAGGATTGTGATGTTCTGAGGATTTGAGTATTACGGTGTTTTCACGATCTGAGGATTACGGCGTAGGTAGAAAGAGGACGCAAATAATCAACGGTAAAACATAATAATATCAATACATGCTTAATTTCCACTGTTTATCTTTATACAGGATGAGTCAGCTAAAAGTGGACACCTCAAATAACTTACTTACTTACTAAATTTTTGTGACGACTTTTTTAGCGTTGTGCTTTCTTTCAATTATTTCATGTTAATCAAATAATTATATACTAAATTCCATTAACATAGGTTCATAAAAATAAAAAAATTGAACGAGTTCGACTATTAAGCACGTACAAAATTCGCGGAGACAAAATTATTAGCACCTGAAAATCCAACCGCAATCGAATTCAGGATCCTCCACCTGTAAACCAGGCTTATGTGTTATGTGACTAAAGGAAAACAATGTTTAAACAATAATAACCATAATAATAAACACAATCTAGGTGGATTCAATCTACAAGTACAAGAGTATACTATTAATGAAATTTAAATGGTAAATTGCAGATAAAGAAGCTTGATATGTTTTATAATGGCGTCTAGTTTTTAGTGGAGACAGACGTCTTATTTTGATAGTCAAAATTTCAACCCAATTCTTTTATTGTAATGGACAATCCGGGTTTCATCACCAGCAGAAAACAAAAAAGTATCAAGAACGAAATTAAAGTTCCTTTGACAATTATGTACATCATACAGAAAAAGTCAATTGGCAAACTCAAAAAAGAAAATAGTACTTGACGATAGAGAACAGTAATTTGTACTTCACGGACACGTGGCATTTAAACTTGACAATGACACCAACTTATTGTCTACAATACAAATTTTATCGCGTACATGAACACGAAAAATTGTAATTTTAAATTTGGTAGTTTTATCTACGAATGAGGCATAAATAGCACTTACAACACAACAAAAAATTGATTTTACCAACTATCATGACAGGGAAAAAATATTCTTTACATTTTTAACACACACAAACATTACTTTAGCCCAGTTCGGCTCACACTTAAAAAAATCGATAAAACAGTTAAAACATCGCTTCAATTTTAATCAAAACACCAAACAACCTTCAAAGGTTCTAAAACGTTTTTAAAAGTGTTAATTCAGATAGTATTTCGCTATCTTTTCGCAAGCAAGATCTTGCTCAAAAACTTACAACATGTTATTTCACTCAAAGACACCTTGTCTAAAATTACATTCACACTCCTTCAACAACCAATGCGAATTACAATATCTGTCGCCATGCAAGCGAAAACGCGTATTTTTAATCTCTTCAGTTTGCATTCTTAAAATAAACCCTTGGTGACTCCGAACACACTTTAACCTTTCACTTTACGCTCCATCTCGTCCACAAGCTTGTTCTAATATGGAGATTGCTTAAAATACTTCCATCAATTTTGCGAAACTTTCCTTTATTTACATACTCTCACCGCCTCAACACAATAAACAAACTATTATTCGACAAAAACGCCTTTCGTGACCTTCATGTAACAACATATTTGTTGGTAAACCGTGCGAAAAATTATCGCTGCAATTTTAAAAATAAAACAAGAACCTGCAATCAACTTTATTGGACGCGATAAACATAACGGTTTTTTATTCGTTCTGGCTGCTGTTTTATTTTTATCGGTAGATTTCGACTCTACATAATAAAAAATTAACCTTGACATTAAAATGCTAATAAAAGCGTGCATATTTTTGCGAAAAACAAATTTTCGACATAATTTATTTAATGGTTCTATTTTGTTACACCGAATTAATGCATATTTCGAGGTTTTACAAGTAAAATTCGTGCGATGCACTCCACGTCAGTGCATTAAAATAATCCGAGTCGACCTCCACTTGTAGCTTCGATCCGATAAAAAACCACCATTGTGCTCAAACTACTACAAATTGTTTATTTGATCGATACCTAAAAATAGAGAGCCCGATCTGTAAGGTGTAAAAGGTGCCACGGCGCTATTCCCCACCACTTGCAAACAAATCTGCACAAACAAACCGTTTATTTAATAAACACCTCAGAATTTGGCAAACTCTATTTAACAAAATCCATTTTCGTTTCTCTTTTACATAACAACGCGACGCAACGCTCGTGATAAGATAGCGCATTCCTCATAAAAACAAACTCCGTTGTCATAAACAATTACCATAAATTACGCGCACTTATCTCAAATAAAAAACAGCTTATTTTTATGGTCGTCGTTAGCGAAAATAGCGCTCCGGTATTACCTTGCCATTTTGGATCTTCATTCATGAGGTTCCGCTCTTTGTCGAGGGCGTTGGGCCCGTTGGAGGATCCACTGCCCTCCGCCTCGGCGGCTTCTAGTGCTTGGATTTCTTTAATATCGTATACTGGTGGTCTGTGGTCGTGGCTCCCATGGGCGAAGGCGCAATGAAGCCCATTTTTGACACAGTAGCCCCTAGAATCTGTGTCGTGGACGCACATGCAGGTTTTATAGTACCTCAAGTGGTAGCGTCTTTCTGTGTCCCCGGCAGTACGGTGCAGAAACGGGCAACTAAAAAGTACAGAGATGAAGGGTTTGAGTGATTAGGTGGTGACTTTCTAGAAAGGTCACCTTAAAAAATCAGACGTCTTTACTAAATTTTCGAAAACATGATTGGACATTGTGGGAATAAAAGTAAAAATGTAAATAACTAAAGCCATAGTGTCACATAATCTGTCATCTGTTATTTACTGCAACGTATTACGTTATCAATATAAATCAACAGGTGGCGAATTTTAAAAGTGAACCGATAATAGATCTTCCACGAGACCACGGTTAATAAATAAAAATAAGGACTGACATTTATGATATTAATCAAACATGAGAAGCCCTAAAGAGGCGGAAATTCTGACAAGCACTTGCGTTTGAACATAATTGATCTTGTGAAGGAGAAGACCAGGAAGGGCGGAGTAGTCCGAGTCCACTTGTTGCTCACAAAAATAAATCTGCGTTTAGCTGTGTTTGATTTATCTAAAAAGTGCATTATTGACGTCTTGTCATTGTTAACGCAATATATGATCGATGATTACACGGCAAACAAAAAATATGTATTTATTGACGTATTGATAGTTCGAACAATGGATTGGATCTGTAATATTTGTAAAATTAACTAGGCGGACGTCACCGTATGAAAATAAATCTACTTTACTTGTGAAAGGTGTTTGAAACTTCGAAACATTGCCATTATGTTGCACGAAGAAAAATAAACAAAGCGCCGTCAAACCGTGTTTTAGTTTTATTGTAGTTGTAGTTTGAGGTGGAACAAACTGGCTACAACTTATTTTTAACTGAGTGTATCAATTTGATAATATAATTTGCGACGTTGGTTTGGTGGAATTTATTTATTAAAATATTTAGAAAGTGACGCGTTGAATTATCACCTATGGATGTATTTTTTTCAGTATTTGTCGCCAAAATATGCGAAAGTTTCAAGATTGTGGATGTTATATGACAAGTATTATAATTGGTCGAAAATTATTTAGAGAAAACTTCCCTCATCATTTGTTAAAAACGATTTAACATGTTTCTGACTACCTTCAACGTTTGCAAAATTCCACAGCATTTTGTTTTGCAATTTCAAAGTTAATTGTAAAATGTTGTTATACAATTTTGACTTTTTCCAAAAATCTGGATGTCTGAAATAAAAACTAAACACGGATTCATAAACCACAAGTACAGGAGCATGTTACTGTATTAAATAACATTCGTCGGATGGACCCTATTGCAGTACTTCTTTAACTATTTCCAACAAAATTTGAGAATACACTACTGTCATTAGTAAAATGTTGACGTCATAAGAAAATTTTGTTATGGAAAACTCACTTGAAACGTGTGCATAGCATGATTTTCATCATGATCATTTTAATTTATAAATTTTATAATTTTTCGAAGAAGCTGCATTTATTTGTTCGACTATTTCAAGGGCGAGGAAAGTTCTGTCTAAATAATGTTAGGACAATTTTTTTATGTGGTAATATTTTATAACAGCACCAAGCATGTAAAAAATGTACTCCTCGAAAAATTCTCAAAATTTAGAAAACACCAGAAAATCCCAGAAATTTTCAAATTATTTCAAAAATAATACAAAAGGAACTCGGAAGATTCTTTATAATGTTTAAAAAATCGCTAAAGCCACGAATATTGTTCAAAAATCAAAAAAGAAAAAAATACGCCAAGGGCTCCAAAGGTTCTGGCAATTTTTTTCAATAGTAATGCACAAGGGGGCCGGAAAATTCTTTTGCACACTATTAGGGGCCTCCAACATGCTTTCAAATTCTTTCAAAAACGAAACAAAGCCCCCTCAAGATTATTTCACATTTTAAAAAATTAAAAAAAAAAACACACTTGGGATTTTCGACATTTTTTGAAACTAAACGACAAAAAATTTTAGGGAACCTTGAGATTTTTTGATACATTAAAAAAGACTCCGAAGTTTCCTAAGATTATTTCAAAATTTTCAAAAACAGTACACTTGGGAACCGTGAGATTTCCTCAAATTCTTTCAAAAACAAAACACAAAAGCATTATTTCATATTTTAGAAACAAAAAACAGGACTTCCAGATTTTTTTTTTAATTCTTCAAAAATTAAAAATCGACGCCGAAGATATTTTGACGTATTAAAAAAAAGGCATGAGGGTCCAAAAGATTCTCAAAATTTTGGAAAACATTAAGAAATCCCGAAGATTCTTTAAAAAATAATTCAGAAGGAATACGGAAGATTCTTTACAATGTTAAAAAAAATCACCAAGGCCCCAATCTCAAAAAAGATAGTAAGGGCTCCAAAGGTTATTGAAAATTTTTTCAATAATAATGCACAAGAGACCCGGAAGATTAAAAGAGAAAAACATTAGGGACCTCCAAAATTCTTTCAAACTCTTTTAATAGACGACTCAAAATTTTAGGAAACCTCGTTTTTTTTTTTTAATTGTATTAAAAACGAAACACAAAAATCCCCCTCGATTATTTCTCATTTCAAAAGTAAACACAAGGCAGATTTGTTTTCATGTATTAAAAGGAATACACTGGGGGCCCTAAAAGATTTGTTCAAATTCTTTCAAAAACAAAACTAGAAGCCCTAGGACCTTTTTCAATTTAAAAAAAAATAGAAAATAAGCAACTCCGAAGATTCTTCGTCATATTAAAAAAAAAAGGATATTAGGGGTGCCTAAGATTCTTTCAAAATTTTCAAAAACAGAACACTCTTTAAATTCCTTCAGAGACAAAACAGCAGATTCTCTGCACTATAAAAAGTCTTTAGAAAACGACACCAAATTTTAGGAAACCCCGAGATTGTTTCAACTTCTTTCAAAAACAAAGCACAAGGAACCCAGAGGACTTTTTCACATTTTACAAGCAAAACACCAGTGATTTCCGAGATTTTTTGAAATTTTTTCAAAAATAAAACACAAAACTGAGAGCCCCCGATGGCTCCGACCTTTTTCCAAATTTTTCAAAAAATAAAAACAAGAGACACCGAAATTTTTTTCACATATGAGAAGAAAAAATACAATAGCGGCCCCTAAGATTTCAAACACAAAACACAAAGAACCTCGAGATATTTTCAAATTTTTTTCAAAAAAAAAAACACGAAGGCCCCGAAGATTCTTTCACATTTTAGAAGTACAACAGCAAGAACTTTTGAGATTAAAAAAAATTCCAAACATAAAACACAATGGGCCCACAAAATTTTTGTTTTAAATATTAAAAATTCTACCTCAAAATTAACACTAAGGGCCGGTTGCATAAACGCAAATCAAATTTAATCTCTGATTAAGAACAATTGTAACTATGATAATAACAATCGTTACTATGGAGTTAATCAGAGATTAACCTTGATTTGCGTTTATGCAACCGGCCCTAAGAGTTTCCCATTTTTTTCAAATTTTTTACAAAATAAATGGCAACCAACACCGAAAATTTTTTCACATATGAAAAAAGGGGACATTTTGGGTCCCTAAGATTCTTTCAAAATCTTTAAACATAAATAGTAGGAAACCCCAGGATTTCTTAAAATTTTTCAAACACAAAACAGAAGGAATCCGGAAGATTCTCTGCACTGTAAAAAAAAAGCAAGAGTCTCTAAAATGCTTTCAAACATAAAAAAAACACTCAGGGCTCCGAAAACCTAGAACCAAATTCTTTCAAGAATAAAACACAAGGGGAACCCAAGATTCTTTCACATAGTTAAAGAAAATCATACCGGGATTCTTGAGTTTCTTCCAAACTTTTTAAAAAATTCTCAAAACTCTGGGAAAGCCCGACATTTTTCCAAATTCTTTCAAAAACAAAACACAAAAGGCCCCGAGGACTATTTCACATTTCCGAGATTTTTAAAATTATTTAAAAAAGGAAACACAATTGTTCCGAAGATTATTTCCACGTATTAAAAAAAAGATACAGGGGGACCCCAGGGTTCTTCCAAACTTTTTTAAAAACAATCTTGGAAGTCCCCGACCTTTTTCAAATTCTTTAAAAAATAAAAGCCAAACAACGCCGAAGATTTTTTAACATATTAAAGAGAAAGGACATTAGGGATCCCTAAGATTCTTCAAAATTTTGAAAAACAGAACAACAGAAAACCTCAAGAATTTTTCAAGTCCTCTCAAAAACAAAACAGAAAAGACCAGGAAGATTCTTTCACATTTTAGAAGTACAACAGCAAGAATTTTCGAGATTTTTTTAAATTCTTCCGAAAATAAAACACAATAAGCCCCGAAAATTTGTAAGTTTTATGTATTAAAAATTCTTTCAAACTACTTCAAAACTGACACTAGATGCCTCCGATTTTTTTTTCAAATTTTTTAAAAAATAAAAGGCAACCAACCAACGCCGAAAGGGACATTTTTGGTCCCTCAGATTCTTTAAAAATCTTTAAAAATAAACACTTCAGGATTTCTTCAAATATCTCAGACATAAAATTGAAGGAATCCGGAAGATTCTCTCCACTACAAAAAAAGAAAAAAAAAAAAACTAGCAGCCTCCAAGATGCTTCCAAACTCAAAAAAGACACTCAGGGCTCCAAATTCTTTCAAGAACAAAACACAAGGGGAACCGAAGATTCTTTCACATACAGAAAATCATACCGGGATTCCTGAGTTTCTCCACAACTTTTTAAAAAAGCCTCAAAATTCTGGGAAACCCCGACATTTTTCCAAATTCTTTCAAAACCAAAACACAAAGCGCCCCGATAAATATTCCACGTTTTAAAAACAAAACACCAGGGTTTTAAAATTATTTCAAAAATGAAACACAATTGTTCCGAAGATTAATTCCATGTATTAAAAAAAAATACAAGAAGACCCCAAGATTCCTCCAATGTTTTTAAAAAACAATCCTGGGAGTCCCCGACATTTTTCCAAATTCTTAGAAAAATAAGACTAGCAACGCTGAAGAATTTTAACACCAAGAAAACTTCCCGAGATTTTTTCAAATTTTTTCAAAAACAATACAGAAAGGACCAGGAAGATTCTTTCCAATCTTAAAAAAAGTACCAAGATTCCAAGGGCTCCTAAGGTCGTTGTAAATTCTTTCAAAACAAAGGGCCCCGAAGATTCTTTCACGTTTAAGAAGTACAACAGCAAGAATTTTCGACATTTTTGGAAATTTTTCCAAAAATAAAACACACTGGGCTCTGAAAATTTTTATGTTTTTGTCTTTTAAATCTTTTAAACTACTTTAAAATTAACACTAGAAGTCTCCGATCATTTTATAATTTTTTTAAAAAAGAAAGGACAACCAAAGCCGAAAATCTTTTTACATATGAAAAAAGGGACATTTTTGGTCTCTAGGATTAATTCAAAATTTTTAAAAATAAACACTAGCGAACTCCAGGATTTTTTAGACACAAAACAGAAGGAATCGGGAAGATTCTGTGCACTACAAAAAAAACTCTACGAACCTCTGAGATGCTTTCAAACTCAAAAAAGAGATTCCAAAAACCTAGAACCAAATTCTTTCATGAATAAAACACAAGGGGAACCGAAAATTCTTTCACATACTGGGATTCTTGACTTGCTTCCAAACTTTAAAAAATCTCAAAACTCTCGAAAACCACGAAATTTTTCCAAATTCTTTCGAAAACAAAACACAATAAGCCCCGAGGATTATTTCACATTTTAAAAACAAAACACCTAAACTTCCCGAGATTTTAAAAATTATTTCAAAAATGAAACACAATTGTTCCGAAGATTGAATTAAAAAAATACAGGGAGGCCCAAGATTCCTCCAAACTTTTTTAACAACAATCCTGGGAGTCCCCAATGTTTTCCAAATTCTTTAAAAAATAAAAGACAAACAACGCTGAAGATTTTTAACAAATTAAAAAAAAAGGACATTGAGGGTCTCGACGATTCTTCAAAATTTTGAAAAATAGGACACCAAGAAAACTTTCAGATTTTTTTCAAATTCTTTCAGATTCTGTGGGAAAAAGTTAAACTTAGTCCCGGCCACCCGTCCGTTCTCTCATTTTTTCTTCTGATAAGAAATAAATCTTATAGCAAATAGTATAACAAAAAATTACGAATAACACTTTTTTTTCTTTTTTTTTTACAACCAGGTTTTATTAGTTCCCATTCACACTACAGAATAACAAACAATTAACCCCGCCTCCTTTCAACGATTTATTTTATCTGCTCTGAATGAAAGTGAATCTTATACTGAACATAAATAAAATCGTCAGAATGAAAAAAGCGCGGGCGGGCGGGGCTAGTACTCGCTAAGATAAAACTGAACAATATTAAGAGTAGTCCCTAGAATGAAGAGGGGGTGGGTGGGCGGGGCTACCGCTTACTTGTAAGACTCTTAACCCTGCACATCGTCTTTCTCCATTTCACTGACTTATTTTATTTATCATAAAATGCGAATTGAATTATATTGACAAGCGATAGAATCTTGGATTTAAAACGATGTCAAAATTGACTCCAAGACGTACATTCGGTTTTTTTAATTTTGCCAAATTTTGATTTTTCGAAAGTTTAATTTTTTAAAAAAATTACTGCCGTCAGCATTTACATTTAAATAATAAAGACTCGTATAAAATAAAACACAAGACCCCGAAGATTTTATAAATGTATTAAAAATTCTTTCAAGCTACTTCAAAAATAACACACCGATTTTTTCAAATTCTTTAAAAAATAAAAGACAAGCGACGCTGAAATTTTTTGAGATATAAAAAAGGGATGTTTTTGGTCCCTAAAATGTTTCCAAAATTTTTAAAAACAAACACTAGAAAGACACTCAGGGCTCCTACGATTCTTGCAAATTCTATCGAAACTAAAACACAAGAAGAACCGAAGATTCTTTCACATATTTAAAGAAAATCATACAGGGACTCCTGAGGTTTTTGCAAATTTAAAAAAAATCTCAAAGCTCTTAGGAAGGCTGACATTTTAAAAGCGGTTTCTGCGAATAGATTGACATTTTTAAATATCAAAAAAATTAAACATTTCACTGACTTTCTAAATAACCCTTTCTTCGCTAGATAAATTTTCTGAGGTTATTATTGCTTTAAGGTATTTTTACTTTTCTTTTATTTTTACAGCGGCTTTTATTAAACTTGACTTACTCTAACCCACTGAGAGGTAACTGGACGAAATAAGTATCGAAAAATGTTTATTTTTATTCTTTAGATTGCCAACATATTTCAAATTTTATGATGCCATATCCAATGTCACAACTGACAACTGTGAACTGACATGTTAACATTGCTGCCAATAATTCAGAACTGCCAACTGTAATAGGCATAATTTGTGGTTTTAAGATTGGTAGTAGTTATAAACGTCACTGTCAAATAATAAATAAAGTAAACGTAAAAAGAATGAACCATTATTTACTGGACAATCAATTCTGGGTGCTACTTTGGGATTTTTTTCGTATTTTTTAAATTTCAAATGTTTGATTGTGACATTTGTCGTACCAACCCTGACAAAATTCCCCCAAATTTGAAAAATTCTAATTTTCTTGAAAATGGCATCAAACACACGTTTTATAAAACATTTTGGGGAGATATAGTCCAATGAATTATTTTACTTGGTATTGCGAAAAATGTTAGAAAAAAATTATAAACCTCTGAAATACTGCCACGTCACTTGTTTTATGCTCACACCATGGTTACAAATTATGAATTTAAGACTTGTAAAATACATAATAATAGAGTAGTGTTTTAGTGAACTATAAATTAACTGCAAATAAAAAGACTGCAATGTATGTAAACACGCAACATTTCTGAGATTTTTAAACTGGGTCATACTTTTCAATGTCCTTGCATAGAGTTACAGAAACAAATTGTACTAAATCTAAATGACTTCAATAACTTACAGACTTGTGACTGGTACTTTGTTAATAAACTATTTTGACATTTGTCTTGGTATTTTTCACACATTGCATCCATTCCACTCCTTCAAACTGTACTTTCCTGCATTACCCAACCAAAGAATGCACTCCGTTTCCTGTCCCACATTGCCAACCAAAATTTTCCCACAAAATGAAATGACTTTTCGTAGATCAGACTCACGTCATACACACCTTCACAAGGTACGGGTTGTCTGGGGGTGAAAGTGTAGGGATAACACACAATCTGGTACCAGTTAACTCAAGGGGTTCGCTTTCGCGTGAAAGACAATGGCGCCTTTGCACCCTCAGCAGTTCGAACCAAAAAACTCCAAAGATGACAGTTTCGCATAGCCGCCTCGATCAAAACCGACTTTTGTGTAGAAAAATGTCAGTTTAAAAACACTGTTGCCGTGGCAACGACGAAAGAGCGTTTGTTTTGGTGTCGAAAAGTTGGGTTAGGTCGGGAAATGGGCCGTCCGGGGGCGGGAGCACGGGTCCCGTGCGGCAGGGGCGGCGTTCGGTGCCGTTTCGCCTCGATTTCGGCGATTTGTTTCGGCGGAAAAGGGAAATGCGCCTCAGAGCTGTCACACCCACCGTGCGTAAAATGACAGCTGAGCTAACCAAAAAAGGTGGACTTACTCGTCTCCATCGGGGCAAATGCCCGTCGTCTCGTCGTATTTGGTGCAGTAGTTGTCCGCGGAGTAGTTGAAGGTGCCGTCGCGACGCCTCACCGGCCGCCGACGCCGCTGGTTCATGAAATGCCAGTGAAAACAGGTGAATGGACGATGCTGTGTACATTTGTGTTGTAAGAAGAGCGGGCATTGCTCGACGCGAAACTCTTTCAAATATCTAGAAAACAACACAGATTTGTACTTGAAACGGGCATGAAATTGCGCGGGGGGAGGCGGAGGACGCGCCACGACGCCTTACACGCACTAAAAATACACTTACGAGTAATGATTTGGCTTTTCCGTCTGAGCTGTCAACAAAGGTTTAGACTCTGACGGCATTTTGTAATCACTGAGATGCGCGGTGGTTTCGCGCAGGGCACGCTCACAACTGGCCAATGGCGGCGCGGGACGGCGTCACGTGTGCGTCGCGATTGAAGAAATTTACGCTTTTCAAGGACATTTGTGTTTTGGTCAAACCAAGAGCACCTGCTTTTTCTACCTGATATTTTACAATTTGTTACGTCAAGTGTACGGTTTTACTACGGTGCGTACGGTTAACCAAGGGACACGTCATGGTGGCGCTAGAACCGATGGTCGGGACGGGAAGGCGAGCCCACGGTTTCTATGTTCATCAGATAAACGATCACTATTGTTGTTGTTGTTAATGGTATATGAAAACTCAGATACCGGCTATCAGTTCGTTGCTCTTATCGACCTTATCTCTTTTCTTGGATTTCGGGTGGGATCATGAGATTTACTGTTTACGGTTTATTTGTTATTGTGGAGGTTGACGAATCGTCGAGCTGAAGGGGGACAGAGATGAAAGTAAAAGCTTTCCCCGAGTTAAAGGAGGACGCACACGACACGTCACGCTTCGGTGGTTGACACAGTTTCCACATCATAAACATAGACGTAACGTAAAAATATACGTACGTTAAAAACTGAAAACACAAAATTTTATACCTACCTTCACAATTTACACAGTTAACCACACGTTTTTTACAAGAATAAAAATATTTGATATGGAACAAATTTTACTTTCATGTTATGTTAATGCCAGAGCTTGTAGAATACGAAAACGTCGATTTTCCTTCTATTAAAAAGATATTTTTGTATAAATAATAAGACGTTAACCAAAAATTTGGCAATATTTCTCAAAATTTAGGGAAGTAAATCTAACTTAAAATCTATATTGTGATATAGTTCTTCATCTGTCTCTCTAAAATTTACGATTCGTATAAAAAATGGACCTCTTTAATATTTTTGGTAAAATGGAATATTATCGAAATTTTGTATTTCAAAAAAATTCATCTGGGCAAATCTGTCTGAAGTACATTCAAACAAACCAAAATAAATTCTGATTTTGCGAATTTTATTACTTCCCGAACGTAAGCTATAATAGTGTCCATCGGATCAACGGCTACTTTCATGTTTTTTCGACATTTGATAACCCCAAGAGTATGAAAGTAGGATTTTCCGTTTCTGTATGTGTCAAATAATATTAGACATAATCTCCGAAACTACTGTTCTTAAAGTTTATAGGTATTTTAGTAATATCGAGTAGATGATTAAAGGCCAACCAAAATTTATCATCACCCCCATCAACAAATTGATGACGTCACCTCGAAATCTTGTGGTTTATGGATCCAACTTGATTTTTATCCCAGCCATCCAGATTTTGCGTTAAAATTTTATATTAATATATAATATAAATTATACGTTCAGAAAGCACTCTCGACGGGCTACTTTTTTCTGTCTAATAAAGTTATTGAATTCAATTTTGTGATGATGTAACCAACAATATATTTAGCAAAGACATATCAATTCAAAATTTTCGAAAAATTCGATTTGGGAGTGAAATTTTTTACCATACTGGAAAAATTTGAAAAATTTCAATTTTTCAATTCCCTATATTGAAAAACTGAGATATTCGAAATGTTAATAAAAAATCCTCAAAAAAATTTGGAAATACATTTCGACTTGAGAATATAACCTGCTGATAGTCTCGGATAAACATTTTTGAAAAAGTTGGTCTGACAATGATTTTTTTTTTTAATATTTTGAAAGCTCCAAAAAAGGGTCAAAAAATCCGTTGAGAAATTGAGATTTTTGACAAGTTCCCTAGAAATTCTCAAAAAAATTTGATAAATACATTTCGACGAACTTATTGGAGGACATAACGTGTTGTATGTCTCGGATTAAATTTTTCGAAAAATTTGGTTTGAATTTTTTTTTTAATATCTCAAAAGTTCCAAAAACAGTTCGTTATATTAAGCAAAAATGGTCAAAAAACCTGTTGAAAAATTGACTAAAAATTGTCAAAAAATTTTGGGAAAGCTTATTCGAAAAGATAACGTGTTAATAGTCCCGGGCTAAGATTTTCGAAACATTTGTTTGAAAGAAAGCGTTTTTTTTTTAATATATTGAAAGCTCGAAAAACAGTACGTTATATTAACCAAAAAGTGTAAAAAAAACCCGTTGAAGAATTGAGATTTTTGAAAAATTCCATAAAAGTCTTCAAAAAATTTTGGGGAATACATTTTGAAGAGCTTATTCGAGAACATCACATGTTGTTAGTCCCGGACTAAGATTTTCGAAAAATTTTGTTTGAAACTGATTTTTTTTTTAATATCTTGAAAGTTACAAAAACGGTTAAAAAATCCGTTGAAAAATTGATATTTTTGAAATGTTGCCTAAAAATCATCAAAAATTTTGATAAATACATTTCGACGACCTTATTTGAGAACATAACGTGTTGTATGAACCGGATTAAATTTTTCGAAAAATTTGGTTTGAAAATGTATATTTTTTAATATCTCGAAAGTTCCAAAAAGAGTTCGTTATATTCAGCACAAACGGTCAAAAAACCTGTTGAAAAATTGACTAAAAATTGTCAAACATTTTTGGGAAAGCTTATTCGAAAACATAACCTGTTAATAGTTTCGGGCTAAGATTTTCGAAAACTTTGTTTGAAAGCGTTTTTTTTTTAATATCTTGAAAGTTCGAAAAACAGTACGTTATATTAACCAAAAAGTGTAAAAAAAAACCCGTTGAAGAATTGAGATTTTTGAAAAATTTCCTAAAAGTCCTCAAAAAATTTTGGGAAATACATTTTGAGGAGCTTATTCGAGAACATAACATGTAGTTAGTCCCGGATTAAGATTTTCGAAAAATTTTGTTCGAAAATGAATTTTTTTTAATATCTTTTGAAACCTCCAAAAACGATAGGTTATATTAACCAAAAACAGTAAAAAAATCCGTTGAAAAGTTGATATTTTTGACAAGTTGCCTAAAATTCCTCAAAAAATTTTGATGAATACATTTCGACGACCTTATTTGAGAACATCACGTGTTGTATGTCCCGAATTAAATTTTTCGAAAAATTTGGTTTGAATATATATTTTTTAATATCTCGAAATGTTCCAAAAAGAGTTCGTTATATTAAGCAAAAACGGTCAAAAAACCCGTTGAAAAATTGAATAAAAATTGTCAAAAAATTTTGGGAAAGCTTATTCCAAAACATAACGTGTTAATAGTGCCGGGCCAAGATTTTCGAAAGACTTTGTTTGAAAGCGTTTCTTTTTAATATCTTGAAAGCTCGAAAAACAGTACCTTATATTAACCAAAAACTGTTGAAAAAAACCGTTGAAGAATTGAGATTTTTGAAAAATTCCCTAAAAGTCCTCAAAAAATTTTGGGAAATACATTTTGAAGAGTTTATTCGAGAACATAACATGTGGTTGGTCCCGGATTAAGATTTTCGAAAAAATTTTTTTGAAAATGATTTTTTTTTAATATCTTGAAAGCTCCAAAAACGATAGGTTATATTAACCAAAAACGGTATAAAAAATTCGTTGAAAAATTGAGATTTTTGAAAAGTTGCCTAAAAATCATCAAACAATTTTGATAAATACAATTCGACGAGCTTATTGGAGGACATAACGCGTTATATGTCCTGGATTAAATTTTTCGAAAAATTTGGTTTGAAAATATTTTTTTTTAATATCTCGAAGGTTCCAAAACAGTGCGTATATTAAACAAAAACGGTCAAAAAACCCGTTGAAAAATTGACTAAAAATTCTCAAAAAATTTTGAGAAATCCATTTCAACAAGTTTATTCGAAAACAAAACGAGTTAATACTCCCAGATTAAGATTTTTGAAAACATTTGTTTGAAAGTTTTTTTTTAATGTCTTGGAACCTCCAAAAATAGTACGTTATATTAACCAAAAATTGTAAAAAAACCAGTTGAAGAACTGACATTTTTGAAAAGCTCTCTAAAAATCCTCAAAAAATTTTGGGAAATACATTTTGAAGAGCTTATTTGAGTACATAACATGTTATTAGTTCCGGACTAACATTTTCGAAAAATTTTATTTGAAAATGATTTTTCAATATCTTGAAAGCTCCAAAAGCGATAGGCTATATTAACCAAAAACGGTAAAAAATCCCTTGAAAAATTAATTAATTTTTTAATCTTATCAACTTTTAGCAAGGTTAACAATTTAAATTTTCAAAAAATTCGATTTGGAAGTGAACATTTTTACTATACCTCTAAAGCTCGAAAAATTCACACATATTTCCTAGATTTTTTTTAGGATTGTAAGCAAGTACTTAAAAATTTGAAAAATTTTAATTCCCATTTTGAAAAATCGAGTATTTGAAATGTTGGCAAAAAATCTGATTTTGATTGATTTTGTCAAATGACATACCCTCTAAAAAAATAAAAGGCAGGTGGGCGGGGCGAGTACTTGCCAAGAAAAGACTGATATTGCCAAATAACATACCCTGATAGAAAATAAAGGGCGGGTGGGCGGGGCGAGTTCTTGCTAAGATAAAACTGATATTTTCAAATTAAATACCCTCGAAGAAAATAAAGGGCGGGCGGGGGGGCTAGTACTTGGCAAGATAAGACTGATTTTGCCAAATCACATACCCTCTAAGAAATTAAAGGTTAAAGAGTATATCATTTGGCAAAATCAGTTTTATATAGGCAACTGTTGGCCCCGCCCACCCACCCTTCATTTTCTTCGAAGGTATACCATTTGGCGATATCAGTTTTATCTTAGCAAGTACTAGCCCCGCCCACCCGCCCGTTATTAGAGAATAGGTGATTTGCCAAAGTCTTATTTTGACAAGTAAGTTTATTCGAGAACATAACATGTTGTTAGTTCCGGACTACGATTTTCGAAAAATTTTGTTTGATAAAATGAATTTTTTTAGTATCTTGAAAGCTCCAAAAACGATAGGTTGTATTAACCAAAAACGGTCAAAACAATCCGTTGAAAAATTGAGATTTTTAAAAGTTCCCTAAAAATCTTATCAACTTTTAGCAAGGTTATCAATTCATATTTTCAAAAAATTCTATTTGAGAGTGAAATTTTTTACTATACATCTAAAGCTCAAAAATTCACACGTATTTCTTAGATTTTTTTGAGAATTTTAAGCAAGTACTTAAAAATTTGAAAAATTTTAATTTTTCAATTCCCCATATTGAAAAAATTGTGATTTTTGAAATGTTGTCAAAAAATTCCCAAAAATTTTTGGAAATACATTTCGACGAGCTTTTTCAAGAACATAACCTACTGATAGTTTCGGATCAAGATTTTGGAAAAATTCGGTTTGAAAATGTTTTTTTTATATTTTGAAAGTTCCAAAAAAGGTACTTTGAAAAGTTGCCTAAAAATCCTCAAAAAAATTTGATAAATACATTTCGACAAGCTTATTGGAGAACATAACGTCCTGATAGTTCCGGAGTAAGATTTTCGAAAAATTTGGTTTGAAAATATATTTCTTTTTAATTCCGAAAACGGTGCTTTGTATTAACCGAAAACCCTAAGAACCGTCAAAAAATCCGTCGGTAAAAAACTGAGATTTTTGAAGTTGCCTAAAAATTCTGAAGAAATTTTGGGAGATACATTTCGACAAACTTATTCGAGAACATAACGTATTGATATTACGACTACGATTTTCAAAAAATTTGGTTTGAAAATTTTTTTTTTTTTAGTATCTTGAAAGTTCCAAAAATACCACGCTATATTAAACAAAAACGATCAAAAAACCCGTGGAAAAATTAAGATTTTTGAAAAATTGGCTATAAATTGTCAAAAAATTATTCAAAAACGCTTTTTTTTCAAATATCCTGAAAGCTCCAAAAAGAATACGTCAAATTAACCAAAAACAGTAAAAAAAACCGTTGAAGAATTGAGATTTTTGAAAAGTTCCCTTAAAATTCTCAAAAAATTTTGGGAAATACCTTTTTGGTGATTGATTTTATGCGATCTGAATGAAATGAATGATTTTATACTGAACACAAATAAAATTAGTCGTTAGAATGAGAAGAGGGGGAGGGGGGGCACTAGTATTTGTTAAGATAAGACTGATTTTGACAAATGACACCCTCTAAAATAATAGAGGGTGGGTGGGCGGGGCTAGTATTTAATAACATAAGACTGATTTTGGGACTTTTGACATTTGCAAACATTAGTTGAAGACATTTTCTTGTAGATTTTGGTATCCAGAAGTCATTTTCGGTTCGTTTCTTCGGAAATTCCTACCGTTTTTCCAAAATCGCTAAGTGAAATACATATAGCAATTTTTACAGTTTCGTCAAAATAGCTCGTTATAAAAATTTTGTAGATAAAAAAGAAAATCATTACTAATTTTTCTTTCACAAAAATACAATTGTTTCAAGACTTTACTTTGTGGTTTTTATATACATATTTACAGAAATGTTTAAAATTTGTTTATTTGGGACAATAAAGAAGTCAGGTCAGGTACACAAAATAAGAAATAAATTTGGTAGCAAATAGAAAAAAAAAAAACAATTTTTTTTAATTTTTTTCACATCCTAGATTCTATTGTTAGTTTCCACTCCCACTCGACAGAACATAATTAGCCCCGCCCACCCACCCTGCCTCCTTTCCAGTGATTGATTTGATCCGATCTGAATCAAATTAATGATCTTATACTGAACAGAAATAAAATTAGTCTTTAGAATGAGAAGAGGGGTAGTGGGTGGGGCTAGTACTTGCTAAGATAAGACTGATTTTTGCAAATGACATACCCTCGAAGAAAATAAGGGGCGGGTGGGCGGGGCCAGTACTTGCCAAGATAAGACTGATTTTGCCAAATCACATACCCTCTAAGAAAATAAACGGTAGAGGGTATATCATTTGGCAAAATCAGTTTGATCTTAGAAAGTACTAGCCCCGCCCACCCGCTCTTTAGACTTCCGGATTAAGATTTTTGAAAATGTAATTTTTTTTATATCTCGGAAATTCCCATTTTCCATTTTAGCCACTCTGTATAAGCATTCTAAAAAAACTGAATGCATTTTAATCAACCACAACTGCAGACTTATACTACCACCTGATAACAAATGACTGAGTCTGTTGGCATATTTAAAAAAAAAAAATGTCAACTTTTCTTGTGTTTATGTTGGTATAACAGTGTCCTGTGACAAATGTGTCAGGCGTGACAGGCGATTAATTAAGGTTATGTTTTGGATATATTTTGCAAATTAAAAATGTCAACAATCTGTCAAACTTGAAAAAAAAATCCAGGATTGCCAACAGATTCAATCCTTTCTGATCACGCAGAAAAAATCTTGAGATGTCATCGATTTTTGGGTAGGGATAAACAGTTTGATTTCAGAACATGCAGTTTCTAATAAATAAAAAGGGGATTCATAAACCACTACAGTAGCGGTCATTTCTACGGAACCACTCGATAAAAAGTCAAGTTGGTAGCCCTGTCATCTAGTACTTTACGCCGAACGCGGTTGGTAGCGGTAGTTGATATGGCAATCGAAACTAGCACAACACGAATGTTTCGGTTGCCCTCAGCTATGCCGCACTGTATCCCGTGCAGACTGTATGTTCTGTTTATCTATTTATTAAAATAAAATATCCACATTGACAATGGGGCCATCTAACCTGTCAAATTTTTGACACATATGTTTTCCCCCAGAAACCCGTCAAGGTCACTTACACTAAACAAATTTTGAAAATTTACACTAGGGAGTGGTTCTATAGAAAAGATCGCGACTTTAGTGTTGTTTTCTTCACAAAATTTTGTAACTACGTCATCAAATTATTGGTAGGATCATCAGACAAATTTTGGTTTGTGACTTTCCTAAAATACATTTAAAATTCAACTCAGTAGGTAGCTACAGAAATTATATGAAAAATGGGAGACCTGCTCTTTTCAAACTCTAGGGGTAGAAATTGCAACTGATTATTTTCTTAATTTTGCAACAACATAAAAATTAAAAAAAAATGAAATCAGAATCTAATAGGTTTACTAAACAGCTACGTCAATTTGTAGCCACAGAAAGTCACCTTGAGCCAGTCTGTGGGCAGAGAATTTTATTGATTAAAATGGATAATTAAGATTAAAGGATCAATATTAAACCAACATCTTTTACTCCACAGTGTGTGTTCATTTACGTGGTAGTCTCAAAGACCTCGAATAAAATTCTAGAACGCAGTAATTAGTGTTATATTATATGCAGACTTTAAAATTAAACTTGAAGCAAAAAATTGATGAATAAGCAAATACCTGAAAACACAGGTCCCTGATATCTACAGCGTATCGGTCATGCTTCAGAGGGCAGGGAAGTACTGTTTATAAACAAATTTTCAACCTGTGTAAGTTTTGTTACCTAATTTAAAAAACTGTCGGTTCCGCGCGCATTTTCGTAAACATTTTGATAGTATAAAAATTCCTGATTGGACGTTGGATGAGTCAGTCTTACAAAGCACAATTTTAGAAGTTCGGAATTATTTGTATTTGTAATGAATCACAGTTGACTCAAAATCTACAAAATCGCTTTCATACCTTTCAACTCCAGCTTAGATGGGTACTTACCAGAACTGCGACCAATCCGTTTAGCTTCCAAAATTCCAACTAAACTACAAACAAAATAAACATAAAGTTGTTCAGAAAAGTCAAAGGTTAGTGGAGCATCTGCACTGTGGCAGACAGTTCCATTAAAGTGGCCATAGGTCAATAAAACTCGAATCCAGTCTTAAAGCTTTATATTTCTGAGTAAACACAAACGTAGCAAAATTTAGCTTTACAAATATAGTACAATTAAACACAAGCAAGCAATAAAGATACAATTAGATAAAAAAGAAATACAAATTGTACATATAAAAAAGTCAACGGAACAAGTTCATACAGCGAAACGAGTAATAAAGGAACAGGTGATGCTGCAATTACGTCGGATTGAACCTCTTCAATTGACCACACACAAATAAAAACGACACAAGGAAAGATACCAAGAAAATTTGACAATTGACGAGTTAATTTTTATAAACGGGTCGGCGCTACAAATATCTAGGTGGAAAATTCGTTTAAACGTCATAAGCTACTTGTTATGGACAGGTGTTTCAGTGACTAGTTTTAATAGAATTACCAGAAACTAGTCGAAAATTGCAACTTCCTGGTAATAGAAAAAACTAGATGGATAACGATGGAAATCAAAAACACGTAATTATCAGCAAATTATTGCTATGCTGTTTCATAACTCCTAGGTAATCCTGCCTCACTAGAATGTAGGTAGATACTTTTATTCGATTCAAACTTCATAAATACAGACTATACAAACTTCTATTAAGTGCAATGGACATTTTCTCAAATAAAAAATTTACCTCTACGTGCAGTTTTATTACTAGCTAATAAATATTTAAACTTTATGCCCTTACCCTACTAACTTTTAAAACTTGCGTTATTATTCACAGAAAGCTTTTGTAAAATAAAACAACTCTCACCGTGTAGCAAAAGAAAACTTTGATTTCTTAAAGTACAAAAAATAGACGAATTTGCAACTCTGCGCCACGATCTGTTTACTTAAATTAAACTACTACAGCGCTAATTCAACATTTAATACTTTTATGCTGTCAATTGTACTACTGCTGAGTCGTCTGATATGCCTTTCGGCCCACGAAATGCCAAACTATGTTTTTTCAACATAACTAGATCCTGTGATGTCTGACGCTTGTACATAACTTAAAAAAATATCACACTTGTTGTCAATGATTATTAAATAACGGGAACTGGATGTTTCAACTTAAGATACGTTTCAACCAATCAGATTGGATTATGCGGAATCACATGTACATGACTTTATCAAACGGTCGTGCCGTACGTACTGAAAACAACCCTAGTACTATCGCTGTCTAAGGTGACGTCCTCCGGACTCGCCAGATCGACCTTAACACTACCTGAATTATTACGTTTGCGTTGGCCCCAGTTGTTTAAAGTCCACTGGTAGACCCCGTCCGATGAGTTACGGTTGGATTGACTTGGTGGGGGCTCGGCGCCATTGTGGGGGCTCTCGACTGTGTCCGAACTCGAACTGGTTTCAAACGAGTCGCCGCCGCCCTTATACCTGTTGATGCCTGCAGAAATATATTGAATTGTTAACTGAGGTTGAGGTGCCACTTTCAAGCTAAAAACAACAGCGTTGACAAAATTTACCCGATTCGTCCAACGAGATATGACTTTCCTCGATCCCCCGTAAAATACTTTGGCAGATGTCCGACTCCAACGGAATCGGGTCATCCGAATCCCGATTAAATATCGTTACGGCAATATGGGCCGGGTGCGGAACCGGTAACGGAATCACCATCTTGTCGGGAGCGAACGGTCGCGAGTGCTTCTTCCAAGGCGTCCAAATCGTCGACCCCGTCGTACTCCTGATGGACCCCAGGACCGTCGTCGATTCCCTATATACACACCAGTAGTACTCAGTTTCTGCGGACGTGCCACCAACTTACGACTTTTTTTCGCACTTCTTCACCGTCGTCGCTTGTTTGGACCTCGGATTGAACGCAGACACTTCCAAGTATGGCGAATGCACTTGGATGTTCCCCCTCGGTGTATACACATTCCCTAGGAGATCCGGTCCTCGGGCTCCCAACTGGGCACACTGCACCATCTCCGTGTACCTCGACAAGTCCGCTTGTGGGTGAGGATCCAGACGAAAACTGGTATCGGTATGGTCTAGCGGCGTCAGGATATCCAGACTGAACAGCTCCGAGTAGAGCAACCCAGCCAACCCGGCCCAATCCCCAGGACTCAGCGCCCGATTGTCCCAGAACTGGTCCTCACTGCAGCCCAGTTTCGGCAAAATGTGCGTCGGGTAGAACCTACACAAACAACATTGTCGCAACACCCAGAAACCCATAACTACGTACCTCTCCAGCATCAGCGCCCCCTGCTGGATGGCGATTTTCAGCTCCGACGTTTCCAGCTTGATTTTGCTCTTCACGGTCACGCTCAACCCGGTCTGGAGGTCCCGGCGCCGCCTCTCGAGCTTCTCGTGGAGGACCGTCATCAGGTCCTGCGCTTCCTTCTCCAGGTTCTTGTAGGGGCCGTTCTTGGCCAGCTGTGTGGAGAAGCTGCCGAAGCAGGCTTCCACGAAGTGGCTGAAGTCGCGCTGCGGCTGCATGATCGTGTTTTCGATCACGGACTGGTAGGCGGCGAGCTCATCCCACTCCATTTTGGCCTCGAAGGCGGCGAGGGCCTGCTCGGGACTGATCTGGAAGTAGTAGTCGGAGGCTAAGCCGGGGCCGGCGACGCGCTTCACCACGAAACTGTCGCTGGCGGGGATCCGGCCGCGTTTTTTAATTATGAGGTGGAAGATGGTGGTGTCCCAGAAGAGGCGGAACCAGTAGCGGGCGATGCCACCTGGGGAAAAACAGTATACATGCAAAAACACATCTTGCTATCATTATTGGGTCCTTTTATCATTAATAAGTATTTTAACTGAGTCTCGCAGAAAGCATAGGAAAAGTTTTATTTCATCGTTCGGGTATTATTGCGTCCTTTTTACAGCGCCTGGTGTATATTTTCTTTCACGGGATGGTGTATTCTGCGTCCGCAACGTTGCCGTACTTCACGATTCCATAATTTGTAACTTTTTAATTAAAATCTCTTTATCAACCCCAAAAAATTGATTACGTCATCGCAAAATTTTGCCAAAGAAATCCTATCTAAAATGAATGTGCAAAATATGATCAGTTAGTACTTGTAATTTATATTTTTTACATTTGCTTATACAGGGTGACTCAAAAAAATTAATAAATCAGTCAATTTATTTTATTAAATAAATCAAGAATTGCAAAACTGAATGCTTTGAAATCTTGCAGACATTTTAAAGTCAAAGTAAGCATGGTAAATTGTTAATCAAAATAAATCTATTTATTCCCCCCACAACATTGATGACGTTATCTCAAAATTTTGCCGAATAAATTCTACCCAAAATCTGCAAAATATGATGAGTTTTTACTTTATATTATAGCATTCATATTATTTATTGATCAAATTAAGAACAAGTCACCCCATTTCCCCGAAAATGTGAAAATACAAACGTCTTTATTTAATAACAATTATAATAATGATATTCAGAACATATTGTCGATTGTAGCTTACTACTTAATAGTTTTGATCCTCTGTTTTGAGGGGACCAACTCATTCAAATCAAACTAATTTCTACGTGACATTCTTCCGACGTATAAACATAAACACTTTCAAGTTGTTTTTCTTATCAAAGATAAGCTCGGGACGTACAGTAATGGAATCCATCGGACATTCTTGATTCTTGGAACAACGAATCGTTAAGAAATACATCTGGATAGACGTCGGTATAAAATAATATACTTTTCAGTTCAACGGGTAATTTTTACTTCCGAGCTTTGCCCAAGAGTCCATCCAACGAATGTGATGATTTTTTTATTTGTCATGAGCCACGGGGCGGAGCTTAATTGCAAAATCTATATTTCTCTATAAAAATTTACCATTTTAAACATGTTTTAATTTTTTGATTATGAAAAAAAGACTAATAAATGTTTAAAAAAGGAAAATATAAGCCCCACCCACAAGCCCTTTCTCAAATGTAATTTTTTTACGTACTTCTCGAGCGTAAGCCAAGGAAGTATTGTAATCTAGTCCGTCGACTGAATTGCCACTTCCAAATTTTTTATTTGTAATGAGCTTGGGACCGGAGCTTAATTGAATAAAATTTACCATTTTAAACTTGTTTAAAGTTTTTAGTTATCAAAAGAAGACTAAATATCTAAAAAGGGCAAAATATAAGCCCCGCCCGCCCACCCTATCTCATTTGTGATGATTTTTTATTTGTCATTAGCCACGGGGCGCGGCTTAGTAGCAAAATCTATATTTCTCTATAAAAATGCACCATTTTAAACATATTTTCAGTTTTTGGTTATGAAAAGAGGACTACATATATTAACAAAATTGGTCGAAGGTTATTTCGACAGAACTTCCCTCGCCCTATGATGACGTAATCAACATTTTTGCAAAGACATTATATCACTTTAGATAGGCGAAGTGTAATACTAATGACAACAGTATTATACGCATTGAGCCGTTCTTGATATAATCAATAAAATAAACTGACTCTTTCGTTAATTTTTCTGAGTCATCCTGTATAAGAAATTTAAAATCTTTTAATGCAATGATACATCACAACTATACACTCATAGAATGACAGTGCCCAATATTTTTTGAATAAAATTGTGTAAATTTTGTAATAACAAAATTCGACACGGGTTCACACACTAGAAGTGCAAAAGTATCTTATTTTATAAAATTTCAAAAACTTTTTATTATAAATTTTGGAGATTACGTCATCCCATTGGTGGCGGGGATAATTAACCAAATTCTAGTTAGCATTTAACCATCTACCTGGAATTTCTACTTTACACACAAAATTCGATAACAATCGGTCCAGTAGTTACGGAGATCACTTGTTTAATTAAAATGAATACAGACACCAAATAGATACCAGATAGATAGACAGATAGACGGAAACGAGAGACCACTTTTTTCATAGTCTAGAGGTCATGACACGAGAAAATATGAAAGTGGCAATACGGCCGATGAACTCGATTACTATACCTCCTTTGCTTAAGCTCGGGAAGTAAAAAAAGGAAAATATAAGCTCCGCCCACCCACCCTATCTAAATTGTGACGGTTTTTTATTTGTCATTAGCCACGGGGCGGAGCTTAATTACAAAATCTATATTTCTCTATAAAAATTTACCATTTTAAACACGTTTAAAGTTTTATAATTATACATATTAAAAAAAAGACAAAAATATAATAATTTTAGTGTGGAACCTTCTCGGGGTTTCCAACTGTTTTTCTTTAATCTGAAACCTTCTCACGGGTCCCAACAGTCTTTTTTAAAAATGTAAAACCCTCTCGGGGACCCCAAATGTATTTTTTAAGGATGTGAAACCTTCCCAGGGATACCAACTGTCTTTTTTAAGAATGTGAAAACTTCTCGGGGGCCTCAACTGTCTTTTTTAAAAATGTAAAACTTCCTCGGGGGGCCCAAATGTCTTTTTTTTAAACCTTCTCCAGCGTCCCAATTGTCTTTTTTTAATGTGAAACCTTCTCGGAGGTTCCAACTGTTTTTTTAACTATAAAACCTTCTCGGCGGCCCCAAATGTATTTTTTAAGGATGTGAAACCTTGGAGGCCCCAACCAACATCTTTTTTTTTAAAACCTTCTCGGGTGTCCCAATTGTCCTTTTTTTAAACCTTCTTGGGGGTCCCAATTGCCTTTTTTTTAATGTGAAACCTTCTCGGGGGTCCCAACTGTTTTTTTTTTAAATGTAAAAGCTTCTCGAGGGCGCCAAACGTATTTTTTTTTAAATGTGAAACATTGTCGGGGGTCCCAATTGTCTTTCTTTTATGTGAAACCTTCCCGAGGGTCCCAATTGTCTTTTTTAAAAATGCAAAACCTCAGGGGGCCCAAATGCCTTTTTTTTTTAAATCTTCTCAGGGGTCCCAATTGTCTTTTTTTTATGTGAAACCTTCTCGAGGGTCCCAATTGTCTTTTTTAAAAATGCAAAACTTTCTCAGGGGGCCCAAATGTCTTTTTTTTAAACCTTCTCGGGGGTCCCAATTGTCTTTTTTTAAACCTTCTCTGAGGTCCCAATTGTCTTTTTTTTTAATGTGAAACCTTCTAGGGGGTTCCCATTGTTTTTTTTTATGTGAAACCTTCTCGAGGGTCCCAATTGTTTTTTTTTATTGCAAAACCTTCTCAGGGGGCCCAAATGTCTTTTTTTTAAACCTTCTCGAGGGTCCCAACTGTCTTTTTTTAAACCTTCTCGGGGGTCCCAACTGTCTTTTTTAAAAATGTAAAAGCTTCTCGGGGGCGCCAAACGTATTTTTTTTAAATGTGAAACATTCTCGGGGGTCCCAATTGTCTTTTTTATGTGAAACCTTCTCGAGGGTCTCAATTGTCTTTTTTAAAAATGCAAAACCTTCTCAGGGGGCCCAATCGTCTTTTTTTTAAACCTTCTCAGGGGTCCCAATTGTCTTTTTTTTAATCTTCTCTGGGGTCCCAATTGTCTTTTTTTTAATCTTCTCTGGGGTCCCAATTGTCTTTTTTAAAAATGTAAAAGCTTCTCGGGGGCGCCAAACGTATTTTTTTTTAATGTGAAACATTCTCGGGGATCCCAATTGTCTTTTTTCTATGTGAAACCTTCTCGAGGGTCCCAATTGTCTTTTTTAAAAATGCAAAACCTTCTCAGGGGGCCCAAATGTCTTTTTTTTTTAAACCTTCTCGGGGGTCCCAATTGTCCTTTTTTTAAACCTTCTTGGGGGTCCCAATTGTCTTTTTTTTAATGTGAAACCTTCTCGGGGGTCCCAACTGTTTTTTTTAAATGTAAAAGCTTCTCGAGGGCGCCAAACGTATTTTTTTTAAATGTGAAACATTGTCGGGGGTCCCAATTGTCTTTCTTTTATATGAAACCTTCCCGAGGGTCCCAATTGTCTTTTTTAAAAATGCAAAACCTCAGGGGGCCCAAATGCCTTTTTTTTTTAAATCTTTTCAGGGGTCCCAATTGTCTTTTTTTTAATCTTCTCGGGGGTCCCAATTGTATTTTTTTTTTAATGTGAAACCTTCTCAGGGGTCCCAATTGTCTTTTTTTTATGTGAAACCTTCTCGAGGGTCCCAATTGTCTTTTTTAAAAATGCAAAACCTTCTCAGGGGGCCCAAAATGTCTTTTTTTTAAACCTTCTCGGGGGTACCAATTGTCTTTTTTTAAACCTTCTCTGAGGTCCCAATTGTCTTTTTTTTTAATGTGAAACCTTCTCGGGGGTTCCCATTGTCTTTTTTTTATGTGAAACCTTCTCGAGGGTCCCAATTGTTTTTTTTTTTTTAAATGCAAAACCTTCTCAGGGGGCCCAAATGTCTTTTTTTTAAACCTTCTCGAGGGTCCCAACTGTCTTTTTTTAAACCTTCTCGGGGGTCCCAATTGTCTTTTTTTTTTAATGTGAAACCTTCTCGGGGGTCCCAACTGTCTTTTTTAAAAATGTAAAAGCTTCTCGGGGGCGCCAAACGTATTTTTTTTTAAATGTGAAACATTCTCGGGGGTCCCAATTGTCTTTTTTTATGTGAAACCTTCTCGAGGGTCCCAATTGTCTTTTTTAAAAATGCAAAACCTTCTCAGGGGGCCCAATTGTCTTTTTTTTAAACCATCTCAGGGGTCCCAATTGTCTTTTTTTTTAAATCTTCTCTGGGGTCCCAATTGTCTTTTTTTTTAATGTGAAACCTTCTCGGGGGTCGCAACTGTCTTTTTTAAAAATGTAAAAGCTTCTCGGGGGCGCCAAACGTATTTTTTTTAATGTGAAACATTCTCGGGGATCCCAATTGTCTTTTTTCTATGTGAAACCTTCTCGAGGGTCCCAATTGTCTTTTTTAAAAATGCAAAACCTTCTCAGGGGCCCAAATGTCTTTTTTTTTTTAAACCTTCTCGGGGGTCCCAATTGTCTTTTTTTAAACCTTCTCGGGGGTCCCAATTGGCTTTTTTTTTAATGTGAAACCTTCTCGGGGGTCCCAACTGTCCTTTTTAAAAATGTAAAAGCTTCTCGGGGGCGCCAAACGTATTTTTTTTAAATGTGAAACATTCTCGGGGGTCCCAATTGTCTTTTTTTATGTGAAACCTTCTCGAGGGTCCCAATTGTCTTTTTTAAAAATGCAAAACCTTCTCACGGGACCCTAATGTCTTTTTTTTAAACCTTCTCAGGGGTCCCAATTGTCTTTTTTTTAAATCTTCTCGAGGGTCCCAATTGTTTTTTTTTTTAATGTGAAACCTTCTCGGGGGTCTCAACTGTCTTTTTTAAAAATGTAAAAGCTTCTCGGGGGCGCCAAACGTATTTTTTTTTAATGTGACACTCTCGGGGGTCCCAATTGTCTTTTTTTTATGTGAAACTTCTCGAGGGTCCCAATTGTCTTTTTTAAAAATGCGAAACCTTCTCAGGGGGCGCAAATGTCTTTTTTTTTAAACCTTCTCGGGGGTCCCAATTGTCTTTTTTTTTAATGTGAAACCTTCTAGGGGGTTCCCATTGTCTTTTTTTTATGTGAAACCTTCTCGAGGGTCCCAATTGTCTTTTTTAAAAATGCAAAAAACTTCTCAGGGGGGCCAAATGTCTTTTTTTAAACCTTATCGGGGGTCCAAATTGTCTTTTTTTAAACCTTCTCGGGGGTCCCTTTTTGTTTTTTTTTAATGTGAAACCTTCTCGGGGGTCCCAACTGTTTTTTTTTAATGTAAAACCTTCTCGGGGGCGCCAAACGTATTTTTTTTTGTGAAACCTTCTCGAAGGTCCCAATTGCCTTTTTTTTAATGTGAAACTTTCTCGGAGGTCCTAACTGTTTTTTTTTTAACTGCAAAACCTCGGGGGGCCCAAATGTATTTTTTCAAGGATGTGAAACCTTGGGGGCCTCAATCAATGTCTTTTTTTTAAGAAGGTGGGCCCAATTGCCTTTTTTAAAAAGCTAAAATCTTATCGGGGGCCCCAAATGCCTTTTTTTATGTGAAACCGTCTCGAGGGTCCCAACTGTCTTTTTTTAACCTTGTCAGGGGTCTCAATTGTTTTTTTAAACCTTCTCGGGGGTCCCAGTTGTCTTTTTTTTATGTGAAACCTGCTAGAGGGTCCCAATTGTCTTTTTTTTTAATGTGAAACCTTCTCGGGGGTCCCAACTGTCTTTTTTAAAAATGTAAAACCTTATCGGGGGCGCCAAACGTATTGTTTTTAAATGTGAAACCTTCTCGGGGGTCCCAATTGTCTTTTTTTTTAAATATAAAGCCTTCTCGGGGACCCCAAATGTCTTTTTTTAATGTGCAACCTTCTAGGGGGTCCCAATTGTCTTTTTTAAAAATGAACGTAAATACTTGAATATACTGCTACAGGACGCAGTAAACCTGGGGACATCAGTTTGAGAGTAATTTTCATAATGGACGGGTAAACTTGAGTTTGTTGTCGTTACCTGCCAAGATGACCAACGAAATCGCCGGACACACGACCGCCGCCACCAGCAGCGCCGCCACCGGCTGCACGCACCCCTGCAGCCCGATCTTCCACATCAGCGCCTCGAACAGCACGAACAACCGGTTCCTCTGCTGCACCGGGCTGTCCAGGTCGTAGATCACGGCGTTGGTGACCTGCACCGCCAAGGTCAGCACCGGCATCCACGCCACCGCCGTCAGCGCGACGAAAACGCTCGCCGCGATGACCGCCACGCACACCACGGGAAAAATCACAACCAAAATGATCGTCCCAAACAGCCCCTTAAAAAAGTAATTCCATATCCTATTCAAGTGTCTCGTGAACCCCTTCCCTATGAAGCCGGTGTCCGGCTTGGTCTCGAAGTGCGTCCGCGACTTGGAGATGTGCCGCCACAGGCTGATCAGGCGCGAGCACAGCGTCGACGTCAGGCTGCTCTTCCGCGGGAAGAGTGTGCCGTTGACCTGCGACAGCTCGAGGTCGGGCATGAACGGTTCGAGGCACAGCAGCGCGCGCAGGCCCACCGGGCTGCACCACGGCAGCACGATGCCGAAGAAGAACATGGCGTTCCACGTCCAGCACCAGGTCCGGTGGAAGTAGTTGAAGATGCGCCACAGCGGCCACCGGGTCGTCGTCGTCCGGACGATCTCTTTCTCCACCAGGAAAACGGGCTGGCTGGGATCGGAGCGGGGCGTCGTGATGCTGGTGGCTTGTTTGCTGAGCACGGTCGGGACGATCTCGGACTGACCCTGGAAGTTCCTGCGGACGATCCAGTTGGTGGGCAGCCAGATTTGGGTGGGCCATAAAAAAGAGCGGGTGGGCGTTTTGACCTTGCGCAGTTCTCTCAACAAGGCGGGTTCTCTCTGGAAGGAATTATACACTTAAGGGCAAGTTTGAATCAGTACTTACTTCTTTCATGAAGGCGAGGTCGCGGTTGAGGAAATACACGGTTTGGTGGAGACGTTTCGAGTTGCATAATGAGAGAGCATCTTCATGGGCGCTCCACTGGTTTTCTTGGCTGAATTTCAGTTCGGCTGAGCGTAGACGAGATCGTAACCAGGGTTCTATTCTAGACAATACCGGATGAGAATTGCAGAGACGAGTTTTTATTTCTTCCTGAGATTTTGAAAGACGGTGTTGTACGTTTTCGACTGCTCTGGAAGACGAAATACGTCACTTAAATTATGTCACGGAAAACATATCGTCCACTTACCTATGCATTAAAACTACGCTTTGGGCTTGTTGTACTAAAAGTTGAGCAATCCCTTCTCCTAAACTTAAAATATCTGGATGAGAAAGAATGCTGTTATAAACCCTCTGCAGATACTCCTTCATAACAGCATCGTTCACTTCCTGAAACCCAAAAGTACTTAGAAAAAAAACCTTCAGGATTAACACCGGTTACCCGTTCTATATCTTCGTCGGGCATTTTTTGAGCTCTTAACTCAGCAATCAGTCTTTCTCGAAAGTGTAAAAACCACCCCCTGGTCTCCCTCTCTAAAATAGCTACTAATGTGGGCAGAGCCCTTCTCATCAGACTTCTCTCCCATAACCTCAAATCCAGTTCTGATCCCGAAGGCGTCAGGAACCTGTAAGGAACGGCGACAGGCGGCTGCGAGCATTCTTTAGTGACTTCGAATTTTTCTGTAGCTGCTCGACGTAATTGTTTGCGGATGTACGAACACAGATGCTCCAAGGATTCTTCGTTTTCCGGCTAGAAAAAACAACACATTTTCAAACTTATCTCTCATAAGGAAACTCATTCTGAGATAAGCTACAAAATGTCATAAAATGCAGATTTTTTTAAATTTGAATTTGTCTTTCGGTGACGTCACGACTGCATTCAATGCGCAGAGGGCTCACGCGCATCGATACTAGATGTAATGTAATTACGCGTTCATCACAGACGTACGCACTCACTGACGTTCTATTTTTGAAGTCTTTTACTCCAGTGCGTAGTGAACAACGTGCGTAACTCTGTTTTGAGAGTTAACTGCGGTTTAAAAGCACGATATTTTTGACTCGGTTTGATTTTCGGACGTCACTACTGAAAGTTAAATAAAAACGAAAATAAATCGGAGCATGTAACGAAAAATTGCAGATTGTAGGCAGGAAATTTGAAATCAAATTAATGGCAATATATATAGAGAAAATAAACGTGAAATCATGAAATCAGCTGCTAAAAATTGTTGAACACGTAGCTGAGGGTTAAGTAAAATTCAGTGGTTACATCTATTTGTTAGTTTTTTCACTTCTTTCTAAAGATTTACAGTAAAAATAAATTAATAAAGACTCATCATCATTTGTTGAAATATGTTGGTAAAATACAAAATTCCCTACAAATGACAATATAAATAAAATGATACTTGGATTTTAGTCGACTCAATAGTCTTCGGTTAACCATGTGGTTGGTGAAAATTTTATCAAAAAATTTACTTTTTCTCGTTAAAGATTAAAAGCAACTGTAAAGAGATATATACCAAAATAAACCTAATGGTCGGTATTCCTTTCTTTCCATTTTTTTTCGTTTTTCAAACTAAGTATTTCTAGTGATTCTAAAAGATCTAGAAAATCATATAACAATTACAACATTATTTTTAAGGATCGGCGGTGGTTATTTTGAAAAATATTTTGTAGAACACTTGACACATTAAATATTCTAAATCGTCGATAAGTTAGATATAGAAAAATCTAATCTTTTAATATTTTTAAGCACAAGTGTACCTAAAAAATCAATTAAATATTACATTTACTTGCATCGGAAATGGCAAAAATACCGTCCACGTACTTCAACCGCATAATTAAATTTGGAATTTTATTTTAAAGTAACCTTTTGTCGCCAGTTTAGAGTTTTTGCGACACAATAGAACGGGTTTCAGAGCTTTTGTCAATTAAGCGTAAGAAATTTCTTACTTATCACTATCAGTTATCTTCATCATCATTCATTTTTAAGGAAAGAAGGACTGTTTTTGTGTTTTAGCAGATAACAAAGCGTTCATTTTGAACGGCTTGGAACAACAAATCGTTAAGGAATACAAGTGGCTGATAGACGTCGGTATAAAACAATGTACTTTTCAGTTCAACGGGTAATTTTTCCTTCCGAGCGTAGCCCAAGGGTCCATTCAACGAATGTGGTATTTTTTTTTTGTCATGAGCCACGGGACGGAGGTTAATGGGAAAATCTATATTTCTCTATAAAAATTTACCATTTTAATTTAATATTTTTGTTTTATTATTATTATTAAATTAAAATGGTAAATTTTAAACTACCACCCCGTGGTTCATGACAAATAAAAAAATTACAATTGAGATATGGCGGGTGGGCGGGGTTTATATTTTTTAAAATATATTTAGTCTTCTTTTCATAACCAAAAAGTTAAAACATGTTGAAAAAAGAAAAAAAAATATAAGCCCCACCCACCCACCCTCTAACTCAATTGTGATGATTTTTTTATTTGCCATTAGCCACGGGGCGGAGCTTAATTGCAATATCTATGTTTCCTTATAAAAATTTACCATTTTAAACATGTTTTAAGTTTTTGGTTGTGAAAAGACTAAGTATATGAACAAAAGGCAAAATATAAACCCCGCTCACCCGTCCTATCTCAATTGTGATAATTTTTTTTATTTGCAAAATCTATATTTATCTATAAAAATTTGCCACTGTAAACACGTTTTAAGCGTTTGGTTATTAAAAGAAGACTAAATATATTAAAAAAAAGGCAAAATATAAGACCCACCCACCCGCCGTATCTCAATTGCGATGATCTTTTTATTTGGCGTGAGCTTGGGGGCGGAGCTTAATTGCAAAATTCATATTTCTCTAAAAAAATTTACCATTTTCAACATGTTTTAAGTTTTTGGTTATGAAAAGAAGACTAAAAATATCTATTTAAAAAGAGGCAAAATATGAGCCCCGCCCACGCTCCCTATCTCAATTGTGATGATTTTTTAATTTTTCATTAGTCACGGGGCGGAGCTTAATTGCAAAATCTAAATTTCTCTATAAAAATTTACCATTGTAAACACCTTTTAAGTGTTTGGTTATTAAAAGAAGACCAAATATAATAAAAAAAGACAAAATATAAGCCCCGCCCACCCGCCCTATCTCAATTGTGATCATCTTTTTATTTGTCGTGAGCTTGGGGGCGGAGCTTAATTGCAAAATTCATATTTCTGTACAAAAATTTACAAATATAGACATGTTTCAAGTTTTTATTTATGAAAAGAAGACTAAATATATTAAAAAAAGACTAAATATAAGCCCCGCCCACCCGCCCTATCTCAATTGTGATGATTTTTTTATTTGCCGTGAGCTTGGGGGCGGAGATTAATTGCAAAATTCACATTTCTCTATAAAAATTTACCATTTTGAACATGTTTTATGTTTTTAATTATGAAAAGAAGACTAAATATATTTAAAAAAAGGCAAAATATGAACTCCGCCCACCCTCCCCATCTCAATTGTGATGATTTTTTTATTTTTCATTAGTCAGTTTTCATCAGTCACGGGGCGGAGCTTAATTGCAAAATCTAAATTTCTCTATAAAAATTTACCATTGTAAACACGTTTTAAGTATTTGGTTATTAAAAGAAGACCAAATATAATAAAAAAAGACAATATATAAGCCCCGCCCACCCGCCCTATCTCAATTGTGATGATCTTTTTTATGTCGTGAGCTTGGGGGCGGAGCTTAATTGCAAAATTCATATTTCTCTATAAAAATTTACCATTTTGAACATGTTTTAAGTTTTTCGTTATGAAAAGAAGACTAAATATATTAAAAAAAGACAAAATATAAGCCCCGCCCACCCGCCCTAACTTAATTGTAATGATTTTTTTATTTGTCGTGAGCTTGGGGGCGGAGATTAATTGCAAAATTCACATTTATCTATAAAAATTTACCATTTTGAACATGTTTTAAGTTTTTAATTATGAAAAGAAGACTAAATATATTTAAAGAGGCAAAATATGAGCCCCGCCCACCCTCCCTATCTCAATTGTGACGATTTTTTTATTTTTCATTAGTCACGGGGCGGAGCTTAATTACAAACTAAATTTCTCTATAAAAATTTACCATTGTAAACTCGTTTTAAGTATTTGGTTATTAAAAAAAGACCAAATATAATAAAAAAAACAAAATATAAGCCCCGCCCACCCGCCCTATCTCAATTGTTATGATCTTTTTATTTGTCCTGAGCTTGGGGGCGGAGATTAATTGCAAAATTCACATTTCTCTATAAAAATTTACCATTTTGAATATGTTCTAAGTTTTTAATTATGAAAAGAAGACTAAATATATTTAAAAAGAGGCAAAATATGAGCCCCGCCGACCCTCCCTATCTCAATTGTGATGATTTTTTTATTTTTCATTAATCACGGGGCGGGGCTTAATTGCAAAATCTAAATTTCTCTATAAAAATTTACCATTGTAAACTCGTTTTAAGTATTTGGTTATTAAAAGAAGACCAAATATAATAAAAAATGACAAAATATAAGCCCCGCCCACCCGCCCTATCTCAATTGTTATGATCTTTTTATTTGTCCTGAGCTTGGAGGCGGAGATTAATTGCAAAATTCACATTTCTCTATAAAAAATTACCATTTTGAATATGTTTTAAGTTTTTAATTATGAAAAGAAGACTAAATATATTTAAAGAGGCAAAATATGAGCCCCGCCCACCCTCCCTATCTCAATTGTGACGATTTTTTTATTGTTCATTAGTCACGGGGCGGAGCTTAATTACAAACTAAATTTCTCTATAAAAATTTACCATTGTAAACTCGTTTTAAGTATTTGGTTATTAAAAAAAGACCAAATATAATAAAAAAAACAAAATATAAGCCCCGCCCACCCGCCCTATCTCAATTGTTATGATCTTTTTATTTGTCCTGAGCTTGGGGGCGGAGATTAATTGCAAAATTCACATTTCTCTATAAAAATTTACCATTTTGAATATGTTCTAAGTTTTTAATTATGAAAAGAAGACTAAATATATTTAAAAAGAGGCAAAATATGAGCCCCGCCGACCCTCCCTATCTCAATTGTGATGATTTTTTTATTTTTCATTAATCACGGGGCGGGGCTTAATTGCAAAATCTAAATTTCTCTATAAAAATTTACCATTGTAAACTCGTTTTAAGTATTTGGTTATTAAAAGAAGACCAAATATAATAAAAAATGACAAAATATAAGCCCCGCCCACCCGCCCTATCTCAATTGTTATGATCTTTTTATTTGTCCTGAGCTTGGAGGCGGAGATTAATTGCAAAATTCACATTTCTCTATAAAAAATTACCATTTTGAATATGTTTTAAGTTTTTAATTATGAAAAGAAGACTAAATATATTTAAAAAGAGGCAAAATATGAGCCCCGCGGACCCTCCCTATCTCAATTGTGATGATTTTTTTATTTTTCATTAATCACGGGGCGGGGCTTAATTGCAAAATCTAAATTTCTCTATAAAAAAATTACGATTTTAAACACGTTTTAAGCGTTTGGTAATTAAAAGAAGACTAAATATATTAAAAAAAGGCAAAATATAAGACCCACCCACCCGCTGTATCTCAATTGCGATGATCTTTTTATTTGTCGTGAGCTTGGGGGCGGAGCTTAATTGCAAAATTCATATTTCTCTATAAAAATTTACCATTTTCAACATGTTTTAAGTTTTTAGTTATGAAAAGAAAACAAAATATATTTAAAAAGACAAAATATAAGCCCCGCCCACCCGCCCTACCTCAATTGTCATAATTTTTTTTATTTGTCGTGAGCTTGGGGGCGGAGCTTAATTGCAAAATTCATATTTCTGTACAAAAATTTACAAATATAAACATGTTTCAAGTTTTTATTTATGAAAAGAAGACTAAATATATTAAAAAAAGACGAAACATCAGCCCCGCCCAATCTCAATTGTGATGATTTTTTTATTTGTCGTGAGCTTGGGGGCGGAGATTAATTGCAAAATTCACATTTCTCTATAAAAATTTACCATTTTGAATATGTTTTAAGTTTTTAATTATGAAAAGATGACTAAATATATTTAAAAAGAGGCAAAATATCAGCCCCGCCCACCCTCCCTATCTCAATTGTGATGATTTTTTTATTTTTCATTAGTCACGGGGCGGGGCTTAATTGCAAAATCTAAATTTCTCTATAACAAATTACCATTGTAAACACGTTTTAAGAGTTTGGTTATTAAAATAAGACCAAATATAATAAAAAAAGACAAAATATAAGCCCCGCCCACCCACCCTACTTGAATTGTGATTATCTTTTTATTTGTCCTGAGCTTGGAGGCGGAGCTTAATTGCTGTATAAAAATTTACAATTATAAACATGTTTTAGGTTTTTGTATTAGACAGAAAATTTCCGAAACTACCGGACCGATTGTTATCAAATTTTAGATCGTGTTCAGTTTTTACCCTAGAGATACAGACTTTTGGAAAAAAAAATTAAAATTGTAAAACTGAATGCTATAAACTCTTGCAAATGTTTAAGGAAGCATGGTAAATTCTACTGATGACGTCATCTTACAATTTGGCCGAACAAATGTTATTTAAATTTAATTAGATTTTTCCCTCGGCATCCAAATTTTGAAAAAAAAAATCAAAATTGTATAACATTTGGTGAATTAATTTTGAAACTGCAAAACCGAATGCTTTGAAATCTTGCAAACGTTTTAAGGTAAACATGGTAAATCGTTAACCAAAATTTATCCGTTTACTTCCTCCCAATAAATTAATGACATTACAAAATTTTGACGAATAAATGTTATTTAAATTTTATAAAAAACATATTCTTCTACTTGTAGTCTATGAATCTGTATTAATGTTTTACCCCAGACATCCAAATTTTTGGAACAATATCTAAATTGTACAATTGTATAGTAGTAATTTTAAATTTAATGATAACCGTTGGATTTTTTTTCCGTCTTAAATCCGTACAAAAAAAGTGATTTAGAATACTTCTACATTTTTTTAAGAGTGACTTAGTCGTCTGAAATGTGTAAAACTATTTTAAAAAATTGACCGCCCTTACCCGACACACCAGTTCCGCCACCAAATACTTGGTCCTCTCTTCCCTAATTTTGGCATCTAGGTTATGAGCCTGCAGACTGGGTATCCCGAAGACCAGATCCAGAATCCTCAACAGCCCCGCCAACAGCGCCTTCAGGGCCTCCGAGACGCTGAAGAAGTGCGACAGAAGCCGGCCCTTCGCCGTCACGGCGATGAACCGCAGCGCTAACGCCAGATCGTTCAAGAGCGAATCGCTGCTCTTCTCCGTGCCCTTCTGCAGCAGCTGCGACAGCCTCCATCGGTGTTGCTGGCCGGGAAAATTCAAAGACTCTACCTCAAACTCGCTGTAATGGTAGGCGCGCGTTTAAAATCGTGTCGTCGTAGGACAGGGGATGAATACTATGGATGACGTAAAACTTGCACAGATTTTTTGATCACACAGAGTTCTACAGTTAATTTGTTTCAGATACAATTTGATGCATACAGAAGCTAAAAGAACACAAACAAACAAAAAATGAAATCGGTAAGTTAATGTAAAAGAAATCAAACGCTCCATTGTTATGGCGGCTGTGGCACTGTCGACGTTAAGAAATACAAAAACACAAATAGCGTAAAGAACGAACCAAAACTAGCTGCATAATTGTCACAAGACAGTAAGTTAAATAAAAATCTGGCAGAAGTAGAGAGATAGACGATGCACATGACAGCACAATAACATACCCCTGGCGCCTAATTGATTCTAGTTGTTGCAGGTTCAATCGTTTTGGCTTTCCGAACTTATCCTTGTGCAAGCTTTACAGAATAACATCACATATAAATCAGCAGAGTTAGATGGGACGCGGAGGAATTGCATAAGAGAGGAATAATGACGAGCGCAGCCCTTTAAAATACCATCTTAAAAGCATAATAATTACACAATAACAATACACGCCAATTAAGTGTTGTTTATTAACTGCTTAAAATTTATTTTTGCTCATTTATTATTTAAAAAATAATATGAAAAACATCAATCAAAATTCAATGAGGGAATTTTAAAAAGTCAATTAGAAGTACAATTTATTTTACAAAGGCTGGCGATTAATATTACAATCGTTTCGAACTTTCGTAAATTATCTTGTAATCAATAATATTTATTGTTTATCACTAATGGTGTATTTGTTAAATGCTAGGTAGGCAACCAACAATTCAGTTACGATAATTTTGTTACCTTTCACAATAAAGCAATATATTTTTATTAAAAATACAATCACAGATTTTCCAAAACCAGTTTATTGTAAGATCTTTTATGACCAGCCTAAATTAAATTATATAGAAAAGATCTTTTGTTGTAATTTTTTACTTACTTCTCAAACTACATACTTTTAAGAGTGAATAAATAACACCAGATTAATAGAAATTTCGATTTTTCATACAAAGGTTTCAGGTTCATGGCCAACAAAATGTTCTTTTTATGTGCAACCTTATTCCAAACCCAGATGAAAAACTATTGCAAAGGGGTAGATGATAATACTAATCTACAATTACAAATCTATATGTGACCATGTCAGCAAATTACATAAAATCTCCAAAATGAAATCCAAAAAATTTAAGATCCGAGATGGCTGTTTCTTAAAGCAAAACATTTAGTGCCCGAGATTTCTACTTCTGAAAAAGAAAAAAATTAGAATTTCGAGGTTCATTTGTCTCTGATATGTCATTTCTAAAAGCGAATCAAAATTAGCCCCCCAAATTGCTATTTCTAAAAACGAACGAAAATCGCAATTGCTAGGTTCTTTATTCTATTGAATGCTATTTCTAAAATTGAAGCAAAATTAGCTCCCGAAATTGCTACTTCTAAAAGCGAAACACAAATACGCCCTGACATTGCTACTCCTAAAAACGACACACAAATGATGTCCAGACATTTTGTATTCTGTATTGTGCTATTTCTAAAATCGAAACACATTTAGCCCCCAACATTGCTAACTCTAAAAATGAAACACAATTAAACCCCGAGATTTCTACTTCTAAAAATGAAGCAAAATCGGAATCGCGAGGTTCTTTATTATATTTAATGCTATTTCTAAAATCGAGTCACAATTAGCACCCGACATTGCTAATTCTAAAAGTGAAACACAATTACGCCTTCCTGATTGCTATTTATAATACAATCCCCCCTAATTGCTATTTCTAAAAACGAACGAAAATCGAAATATCTTTTATGCTGTTGAATGCTATTTCCAAAATTGAAGCAAAATTAGCCCCTGAGATTGCTATTTTTAAAAGCGAAACACAAATATGCCCCGAGATTGCTACTCCTAAAACCGATACACAATTGATGTCCAGATAATCTTTAGTTTGTATTATGATATTGCTAAAATCGAAACACATTTGGCCCAAGATTGCTATTCTAAAAATGAAACACAATTAAACCTTAAGATTTCTACTTCTAAAAACGAAGCAAAATCAGAATCGCGAGGTTCTTTATTCTGTTTAATGCCATTTCTAAGATATAAACACATTTAATTCCTGATATTGCTAACTCTAAAAGTGAACCACAATTATCCCCCGAAATTTCTACTTCTAAAAAAGAAACAAAATTAGAATTTCGAGGTTCTTGCTATTATTGCATGCCATTTCTAAAATCGAATCACAATTAGCCGCCGAAATTGCTATTTCTAAAAACGAAAGAAAATCGAAACCGCGAAGTTCTTTATTCTATTGTATGCTATATTAAAATCGAAATAAAATTAGCCCCCGAGACTGCTACTTCTAAAAAACGAAACATAATTATTGATCTCCAGACAGTCTTTATTCTGTATTGTGCTATTTCTAAAACCTAAACACATTTAGCTCTTAAAATTGCTAAATCTAAAAACTGAGACACAATTAGCCCCCGAGATTTCTACTTCTAAAAACGAAACAAAAGTGAAATTTCGAAGTTCTTTCTACTGTTGTATGCCATTTCTAAAATCGAATAACAATTAGCCCCCAAGATTGCTACTTCTAAAAGCAAAACACATTACTTCCAGAGATTGTTAGTTCTAAACAACGAAACATAATGATTGATCTCCAGACATCTAATTCTAAAAGTGAAACACAATTACGCCTTCATGATTGCCATTTCTAACACAATCCCCCCAAATTGCTATTTCTAAAAACGAACTAAAATCGAAATATCTTTTATGCTGTTGAATACTATTTCCAAAATTGAAGCAAAATTAGCCCCTGAGATTGCTATTTCTAAAAGTGAAACACAAATACGCCCCGAGATTGCTCCTCCTAAAACCGATACACAATTGATGTCCACATAATCTTTAGTTTGTATTATGATATTGCTAAAATCGAAACACATTTGGACCAATATTGCTAATTCTAAAAGTGACATACAATTACCCCTTTGAAATTGCTATTCCGAAACACGAAAGAAAATCGCAATCACGAAGTTCTTTATTCTATTAAATGCTACTTCTAAAATTGAAACAAAATTAGCCTCCAAGACTGCTATTTTTTAAAGCGAAGCACAATTACTTCCCGAGACTGCTACTGCTAAAAACGAAACACAATTGATTTTCAGATATTTTTTAATTTGTAAAATGCTATTTCCAAAATCGAAACACATTTAGCCCCCGAGATTGCTAATTCTAAAAGTGAAACACAATTAGCCCCCGAGATTTCTACTTTTAAAAACGAAGCTAAATCGGAATCGCGAAGTTCCTTATTCTGTTGTATGCCATTTCTCCATTTCTAAAACGATTCACAATTAGCCCCAGAAATTGCTAATTCTAAAAGCGAAACAATTGCCTCCTCGAAATTGATATTTCTAAAAAAGAAAGAAAATCGCAATCACGAGGTTTTTTATTCTACTGATTGCTATTTCTAAAACTGAAACAAAATTAGGCTTCGAGATTGCTATTTCTAAAAGCGAAACACAATTACTTCCCGAGATTGCTACTTCTAAAAACGAAACACAATTGATTTTCAGATATTTTTTAATTTGTATAATGCTATTTCTAAAATCGAAACACCTTTAGCCCCCGAGATTGCTAATTCTAAAAGTGAAACACAATTAGCCCCCGAGATTTCTACTTTTAAAAACGAAGCTAAATCGGAATCGCGAGATTCTTTATTCTGTTGTATGCTATTTCCCCATTTCTAAAACGATTCACGATTAGCCCCCGAAATTGCTAATTCTAAAAGCGAAACAATTACTTCCCCGAAATTGATATTTCTAAAAATGAAAGAAAATCGCAATCACGAGGTTCTTTATTCTATTGAATGCTATTTCTAAAATTGAAGCATAATTAGCCCCCGGGATTGCTACTTCTAAAAGTGAAACACAAATACGCCCCGACATTGCTACTCCTAAAAACGACACACAATTGATGTCCACATAATCTTTAGTTTGTATTATGATATTGCTAAAATCGAAACATATTTGGACCAATATTGCTAATTCTAAAAGTGACATACAATTACCACTTTGAAATTGCTATTCCGAAACACGAAAGAAAATCGCAATCACGAAGTTCTTTATTCTATTAAATGCTACTTCTAAAATTGAAACAAAATTAGCCTCCAAGACTGCTATTTTTTAAAGCGAAGCACAATTACTTCCCGAGACTGCTACTGCTAAAAACGAAACACAATTGATTTTCAGATATTTTTTAATTTGTAAAATGCTATTTCCAAAATCGAAACACATTTAGCCCCCGAAATTGCTAATTCTAACAGCGAAACAATTACCTCCTCGAAATTGATATTTCTAAAAATGAAAGAAAATCGCAATCACGAGGTTTTTTATTCTATTGAATGCAATTTATAAAATTGAAACAAAATTAGCCTCCGAGATTGCTATTTCTAAAAGCGAAACACAATTACTTCCCGAGATTGCTACTTCTAAAAACGAAACACAATTGATTTTCAGATATTTTTTAATTTGTATAATGCTATTTCTAAAATCGAAACACATTTAGCCCCCGAGATTGCTAATTCTAAAATTGAAACACAATTAGCCCTCGAGACTTCTACTTTTAAAAACGAAGCTAAATCGAAATCGCGAGGTTCTTTATTCTGTTGTATGCTATTTCCCCATTTCTAAGACGATTCACAATTAGCACCCAAAATTGTTAATTCTAAAAGTGAAACAATTACCTCCTCGAAATTGATATTTCTAAAAATGAAAGAAAATCGCAATCACGAGGTTCTTTATTCTATTGAATGCTATTTCTAAAATTGAAACAAAATTAGCCTCCGAGACTACTATTTCTAAAAGCGAAACACAATTACTTCCCGAGATTGCTATTTCTAAAAACGAAACACAATTGATTTTCAGATATTTTTTAATTTGTATAATGCTATTTCTAAAAGTAAAACACAATTAGCCCCCGAAATTTCTACTTTTAAAAACGAAGCTAAATCGGAATCGCGAAGTTCTTTATTCTCTTGTATGCCAATTCCCCATTTCTAAAACGATTCACAATTAGCCCCAGAAAATTGCTAATTCTAAAAGCGAAACAATTACTTCCCCGAAATTGATATTTCTAAAAATGAAAGAAAATCGCAATCACGAGGTTTTTTATTCTATTGAATGCTATTTCTAAAATTGAAACAAAATTAGCCTCCGAGATTGCTATTTCTAAAAGCGAAACACAATTACTTCCCGAGATTGCTACTGCTAAAAACGAAACACAATTGATTTTCAGATATTTTTTAATTTGTATAAAGCTATTTCTAAAATTGAAACACATTTAGCCCCCGAGATTGCTAATTCTAAAAGTGAAACACAATTAGCCCCCGAGATTTCTACTTTTAAAAACGAAGCTAAATCGGAATCGCGAGGTTCTTTATTCTGTTGTATGCTATTTCCCCATTTCTAAAACGATTCACAATTACCACCCGAAATTGCTAATTCTAAAAGCGAAACAATTACCTCCTCGAAATTGATATTTCTAAAAATGAAAGAAAATCGCAATCACGAGGTTTTTTATTCTATTGAATGCTATTTCTAAACTTGAAACAAAATTAGCCTCCGAGATTGATATTTCTAAAAGTGAAACACAATTACTTCCCGAGATTGCTACTTCTAAAAAGAACCACTATTGATTTTCAGATATTCTTTAATTTGTATAATGCTATTTCCAAAATCGAAACACATTTAGCCTTCGAGATTGCTAATTCTAAAAGTGAAATACAACTAGCCATCGAGATTTCTACTTCTAAAAACGAAACGAAATCGGTGTCTCAAGGTTCTTTTTTCTGTTGTATGCCATTGCTAAAATCGAGTCACAAATAGCCTCCGAGATTGCTATTTCGAAAATCGAAACAAAATTAGCCCCCGAGATTGTTACTTCTAAAAGCGAAACACAATTACGCCCTGACATTGCTACTCCTAAAAACGACACACAAATGATGTCCAGACATTTTGTATTCTGTATTGTGCTATTTCTAAAATCGAAACACATTTAGCCCCCAACTCTAAAAATGAAACACAATTAAACCCCGAGAAAAAAGATAATATTAAAAAAAAAAAAATCATCCGGCAAAATTTTAAGTACAATACAGAAAATAAGTATGTATATATTTTGCAGACATTATTCCTCTTTTACGCCACAACTCCACAATAAAGGAAAATCTCCAGCCCAAACAGTCGATACTCCACTCCACCATCTTTCGTTTCCGTATCAACTATTTCAGCGCCACTGTATCTCCCTGCGAACAACGACATACCCTCGCTCCCTTATATACTCCAACTGCTTCCCCGTCAACCGCCTCGGCTCACCTTTACCATCGACAGCGACAGCGTCTAGCTCGTCGAAAGAGGGCGCTACAAAGAGATCGCGCAAGTGATACTTCGTCTTGCATCTACCTAGAGACCCATCGGATGCGAGTTGCGACGTCGGGAACGAATCGCATTGCGAAACGGGACTTGGAAGGACTAAACACCCGATTACTCGACTTACTTTAAGTTAAGCGCTGTTCTTACTTATGGGGAAGGTTCTCCAGTGGTAGAGAAACTGCTCGGCGACTTGCTTGATGTTGTTCACCAGCTGCTCGACCTCGGGCGGCGCCCCCACCAGGTTTACGTCGAATCTGATGGGCTCGCGCTCGGGCTGGAGGGCGTCGGGGCCTAGGGCTAAGCCGTCGGTCCGCAGCGGGTAGAGGGACGTCGGTCTCGCGTAGTGGTGGCCGTCGCTGTGGAGGCCTTGGGCGGACCGGAATTCCAACTTATTGGATACTAAAAGGACAAAAAGGAAAAAGAAAACTTTTGGTTACCGCAAGTTTGGAATTTTGTTGTTAAGAAAATTTTATTTTTACGTCCTGAGCGTAAGCTAAGAAAGTATAGTAATCAAGTCCACCGGACGACTGCCACTTTAATCTTTTCTCGACGTTTCATTACCTCAAGAGTCCGAAAAAAGTGCCTTCTCGTTTCCGTCTGTCTGTCTGTCTGTCTGTCGTCTTCAATTTTTATTAGGCACATATTTAATTTTGAGAAACCACTAGACCGATTGTTGTTAAATTTTGTTTGTATATTAGGAATATCGAGTATACGATAAAACGCTAACCAAACTGTTTAATCATCCCCACCACCAATTATAATTTTAATATAAAATGATCATAAAAATAAAACTTGAAAAATCAAATAATAATTTTTGGAAAAATCTGGATTTATTTACTTTCGACCAATTTTTTGATGTCACAATTTTTAGGTTTTTAAATTTTTTTCATTTTTCAATTTTTCAATTTCTCGGCTTTCAAATTTTTCAATTTTTCAAGTTCTTGATTTTTATTTGCCATTCTGATTTTAAAATTTTTCTTTTCTCGATTTTATATCTTTGATTTTTCAATTCCTCGATTTTCCAATTTTCAAATTTTTCAATTTTGCACTTTTTGGATTTCCAATAATCCGATTTTCCGGTGTCTTTAATTTTCAATATTTTGATTTTACAATATATATTTCGTTTTTCGATTTTGCACTTTTTCGATTTTTAAGTTTCCCAATTTTTAATCTTTTAATTTTTCAAATTTTCGATTCTTCAATTTTTCAAGTTTTTGATTTCCAATTTTAAGATTTTTCAAAGTTTTCAATTTTATACTTTTTCGTTTTTTCCTTGCAAATTGCAAATCGAAGAACTGAAGAAACAAAAAATTGAAACATTGAAAAACTAAAGATCGGGAAACTTAAAAATCGAAAAAGATTAATGAATCAAAAAATTGGAAAGAAGAAAAAAAAAGAATCGAATCGAAAGATTGGAAATCTCAAAAATTGTAAAATCGAATAAATGAAAAAGTGAAACATTTTTTAAATTATAATTATTACTACATATTTAAAATGAAAACTAGAAAAGTTACAAAACAAAAATGGAAGTAACAAATAATGAAAATCAAAAAATTGGAACAAAAAAATTTGGAAAATAGAAAAACTGAAAAAAATATAGATGAAAACTCGAAAAGCTATATGTTGATTGAAAAAAACACGAAAATTTGAACAATTGCAAATCCAAAAACTGAAGAATAGAAAATCTGAAAAAATAAAGAAAATATAAAAAGCCCAATCGAAAATCTGCAAATCGAAAATTTGAAGAATTAAAAATCGAAAAATTAATAAGTTGAACAAATGAAAAATTTTAAAATCCAATAATAGCAAAATGGAAAAATTTTAAAATCGTGAAAAATTGAAAAAGTTCCAAATTTTTAAAATTGGAATGATTATTACATATTTAAAAAACTAGGAAAACTGTAAATCAAAAATTGAAGTAACAAATAATCAAAAATCTAAAATTGTAGAAAAAATTTGAAAGTTGAAAAAACAAAAAACTGAAAATCGAAAAACTGCAAATTGAAAAATCCAAATATTGAAAAATTTTACATGGAAATAAAGAAAAATAAATAAAGAACACTGAAAAACCGAATTATTGAAAAAATAAAGAAAATCAAAAACCGAAACGAAAAATTGCAAATCGAAAAATAGAGGAAACAAGAAATTGAAGTAACAATTAATGAAAAATCTAAAATTGAAACAAAAATTTATAAATTTGAAAAAACATAAAAATGAATATAGAAAACTGCAATTTGAAAAACCCAATAATTGAAAAATGGAAAAATTCTAAAATTGTGAAAAATTAAAAAAGTTCAAAATTTTTCATGTAATAATAATAATTACATGTTTAAAAGAAAACTAGGAAAACTGTAAATCAAAAATTGAAGTAACAAATAATCAAATCTAAAATTGTAAAAAAAAATCTGAAAGTTGAAAAAACAAAAAACTGAAAATCGAAAAATTGCAAACTGAAAAGTCCAAATATGTATTGAAAAATTTCACATGGAAAAAAAAGAAAAATGAAATAAGAAAACTGAAAACGAAATCAATTGCAAATCGAAAAATAGAGGAAGCGAGAAATTGAAAAATAAAGAAAATAAAAAATGAGGCAAAAATTGCAAAATTAAAAAGCAAATTGATGAAAAAGTTTTAAAATACAATAATTGACAAATGGAAAAAGTGAAAAATTTTAGTATTATCATTAATCTTATTATTACATATTTAAAATGAAAAATGGAAAAATTGTAAATCAAGAACTGAAGGAACGAAAAATTGAAAAATTTCACATTGAAAAAAAGACAAAAATTATAAAATCAGACCATTGAAAAACCGAACAGTTGGAAAAATAAAGAAAATGAAAAACCGGAAGGAACAATTAAAAAGTCGAAAATGAAAAAGTTTTTTAAAATGCAGTCATTGGAAAATGGGAAACTTCTAACAAAATGAAAAACTGAAAAAGTGAACATTTTTAAAAATTAGAATTATTACATATTTAAAATGAAAACTAGGAAAACTGTATATCAAAATAATGAAAAATGTAAAATTGAAAAAAAATCTGAAAGTTGAAAAACCAAAAAATTCAAAATCGAAAAATTGCAAATTGAAAAATTCAAATTTCGAAAAATTTCACATGGAAAAAATAAAAATAAAATAAGAACACTGAAAAACGAAATCATTAAAAAAATAAAGAAAATGAAAAGGAAGAGGAAACGAGAAATTGAAAAATAAAGAAAATAAAAAATTCTGGCAGGAAAATTGTAAATCAAAAATTGAAGTAACAAATAGGGAAAAATTTAAAATTGAAAAAAAAAACAGAAATTTGAAAATACAAAAAATAAAAAATCGAAAATTGCAATTTGAAAAACCCAAATATTGAAAATTTTGGAAAAAAAGAAAAATTATAAAACAAGAACACTGAAAAACCGAATTTTTGAAAAAATAAAGAAAATGAAAAACCGAAACGAAAAACTGCAAATTGAAAAATAGAGGAAAGGAGAAATTGAAAAACAAAGAAAATAAAAAATCGAGACAAAAATTGCAAAATCGAATATTTGAAGAAATAAAAAATTGAAGAATCGAAAAATTGGAAAAGTGAAAAATTTTAAAAATTAGAATTATCATTACATATTTAAAATGAAAACTAGTAAAATTGTAAATCGAAAATTGCAATTGAAAAACCCAAATATTGAAAAACATGACATGGAAAGAAAAGAAAAATTATAAAACAAGAACACTGAAAAAACGAATCATTGAAAAAATAAAGACAATGGAAAACCGAAACGAAAAATTGCAAATCGAAAAATAGAGGAAACCAGATATTGAAAAATAAAAAATCGAATATTTGAAGAATTAAAAAATTGAAGAATCGAAAAATTGAAAAATTAAAAATCAAATTAAAAAGTTCAGTTGATGAAAAACTTTTAAAATCCAATAATTGAAAAATTGAAAAAATGGAAAATTTTATTATTATTACATATTTAAAATGAAAATTGGAAAAACTGTAAAGTCAAGAATTGAAGAAACGAAAAATTGAAAAATCAGGAAATTGAAATTTAAAATTGAAAAAAACAAAAATTAAAAAATGCGCAAGTTAAAAATTCGAAAAATCAAAAAACTGAAAAATCTCACATTGAAAAAATAAATAAAATGAAAAACCGAAAAGAAAAATTGCAAATCGAAAAACAGAGGAAACGAGAAATTGAAAAATAAAGAAAATATAAAATCGAGGCAAAAATTGCAAAATTAAAAAGCAAATTGATGAAAAAGTTTTAAAATCGAATAGTTGAAAAACGGATAAAGTGAAAAATTTTAGTATTATCATTATTCTTATTATTACATATTTAAACTGAAAATTTGAAAAATTGTAAGTCAAAAACTGAAGAAACGAAAAATTGAAAAATCCAAAATCTGAAAAATTTCACATTGAAAAAAAAAGAAAAATTATAAAATCAGAATATTGAAAAACCGAACAGTTGGAAAAATAAAGAAAATGAAAAACCGGAAGGAAAAAAAAAGTCGAAAATGAAAAAGTTTTTTAAAATCCAATAATTGAAAAATGGAAAAATTCCAAAAACGTGAAAAATTAAAAAAATTAGAATTATTACATCTTTAAAATGAAACCTAGGAAAACTGTAAATCAAGAATGAAAGTAAGAAATAATGAAAAATCTAAAATTGAAAAAAAAATTTGAAAGTTGAAAAACCAAAAAATTGAAAATCAAAAAATTTTAAATTGAAAAATCCAAATATTGAAAAATTTCACGTTGAAAAAAGAGAAATAAATAAAGAACACTGAAAAACGAAATCATTGAAAAAATAGAGAAAATGAAAAACCGAAACGAAAAATTGAAAAATAAAGCAAATAAAAAATTCAGGCAGGAAAATTGTAAATCTAAAATTGAAGTAACAAATAATGAAAAATTTAAAATTGAAAAAAAGACAGAAGTTTGAAAATACAAAAAATAAAAAATCGAAAATTGCAATTTGAAAAACCCAAATATTGAAAAACTTGACATAGAAAAAAGAAAAATTATAAAACAAGAACACTGAAAAAACGAATCATTGAAAAAATAAAGACAATGAAAAACCGAAACGAAAAATTGCAAATCGAAAACTAGAGGAAATATTGAAAAATAAAAAATCGAAGCAAAAATTGCAAAATCGAATATTTGAAGAAATAAAAAATTGAAGAATTGAAAAATTGAAAAATTAAAAATCAAATTAAAAAGTTCAGTTGATGAAAAAGTTTTAAAATCCAATAATTGAAAAATTGAAAAAATGGAAAATTTTATTATTATTACATATTAAAAATGAAAATTGGAAAAACTGTAAGTCAAGAATTGAAGAAACGAAAAATTGAAAAATCAGGAAATTGAAATTTAAGATTGAAAAAAACAAAAATTAAAAAATGCACAAGTTAAAAATTCGAAAAATCAAAAAACTGAAAAATCTCACATTGAAAAAATAAGTAAAATGAAAAACCTAAACGAAAAATTGCAAATCGAAAAACAGAGGAAACGAGAAATTGAAAAATAAAAAAAATTAAAAATCGAGGCAAAAAATGCAAAATTAAAAATCAATTGATGAAAAAGTTTTAAAATTCAATAATTGAAAAACTAAAAAAGTGAAAAAATTTAAAATTAGTATTACTATTATTACATATTTAAAATTAAAATTGGAAAAATTGTAAGTCATGAATTGAAGAAACGAAAAATTGAAAAATCAGGAAATTGAAATTTAAAATTGAAAAAATCAAAAATTAAAAAATGTATAAGTTAAAAAACCGAAAAATTGAAAAATCCAATAACTGAAAAATCTCACATTGAAAAAAAGAAAAATTCTAAAATCAGAACCTGGAAAAACCGAACAACTGCAAAATAAAGAAAATAAAAAACCGGAAGGAAAAATTACAAATCGAAAAACTGAAGCAGTGAAAAATTGGAAAATCGAAAAATTGAAGCATAATAAACATCCAAAAGTTGGAACACCGACAAATTAAAAAAATTTCGTCAAATCCAAAAAACCAGAAAAATGAAAAATTGAAAAAATCGCAAATTGAACAATTGAAGAAACGAAAAATTGAAGAAACAAAAAAAAATAAAACTTAAGAATTGAAAACTCGAGAAACTCAAACCGAAAAATTGCAAAATCTAAAAATTCAACGATTCAAAAGTTAGAAAACTGGCAACTGAAAAATTTAAACTTGAAAACTCAACAAATTCCAAACCGCATCCCAAAGAAAAAACTAACATCAATAATAGAACAATTGAAAAATTTTAATGTTGTTTCGGTTTTATAATTTTTAGTTTATCCAATTTTCTAATTTTCAATCTTTGATTTTTCAATTTTCAAATTTCTCAATTTTCTTATTTTTCGATTTCGAATAATTCGATTTTCCGGTTTCTTCGATTTTCAATATTTCGATTTTACAATAGATATTTCGTTTTTTCGATTTTACAATATGTACTTATTTCGTTTTTTCGATTTTACGCTTTTTCGATTTAAAAGTTTCTCAATTTTTAATCTTTAGATTTTTCAATTTTCTATTTCTTTGTCAAGTTTGATTTCCAATTTTTACAGTTTTCAAAGTTTTCATTTTATACTTTTACAGTTTTCCTTTCTGATTTCAATTTTACAGTTAGTTGAAAAATCGAAAAGCTGAAAAAATGAAAAACTGCAACTCGAAGAACTGAGGAATCGAAAAATTGAAAAATTAAAAACTCGAGAAACTCAAATCGAAAAATTGCAAAATCTAAAAATTGAAAGATTCAAAAGTCGGAAAATTGGAAAACTGAAAAATTTAGACTTGAAAATTCAACAAATTGCAAACTGAATTATAAACAACAAAAAATGAAAAATAGAACAATTAAAAAATTCGAGTCAAAAAAGCTGCGGGAGTGTAATTTACGCCACTGGTTTTTACTTTATAGAGGTTATCAGAAAACACAAATCGCATTTTTTTTCCATATATTTTTCAAAGAAACGGGATTTGTTGGGCTGCCCTTCAGAGACCAGGAAAGTTCTCTCGAAATAACCTTCCACCAATTTAAATTCTCGCTTTTTGAAAAATAATTTTGGCTTACATTGCGACCCATTGGAATCGAGTCTCTCCCTCTCGCTCACGCCCGACTTGGACCGATGGTGTCCGTGCCTGCGCTCTCGGTGGTACTCGGAATCGAAGCTCTGCCCCGAATCGGATCGATGGTGTCCGGATCCCGACGAGCTGTGCCTGTGGTGTCCTCCCCCCGATTCGGCCCTTCTGTGTCCGGTCGACGTTTTGGCACCCGAACTGGGCCTGGAAGTCATCGTCGCACCTCGACCGAGGCTATGTCGTGTCTGGTTTGTGTCGCTTGATCATTTTTCTGGAACAAGAATTTTAATTATATTCGAGATACGGCGAGGTTATCTAAATTTGGTTACGATTGCGCGGAGATAGCGTGTAATGAGAGCCATCAAACTGTACTAAATGCATTAGACGAGGACGAAAACATGGAAATTGACTTCAATTGTTGGACACGTTAATGCTCTTGGCCGTGGCCTACGAGAAGGAATAGCGCGTTTGGCACGGAGGCGGCACCTACGGTGACATAATTTATTAGTGTTTAACTGCCATAAGTGTCTAATTTAGTTCAACCTTCGCAGAGAGGACGATTTTGGGGCAATGGGTTAATGATGATCGAAGGAGGTTCCGATCTTTCACTTTGTGATATAAATAGATTTTTATTTTTATTAAAATTGTTGTTTTTGTTGTCATACAGGAAAACTTAACAATGTTTTGTTAAAACTCGGGTGCAGTTATTACAACACTTGAACAAACAACGCTCTACTATTAATTAATTTGTAGGAACGCTCTCGACATTCCTTGCAAAGGTCGTCACCATGGGTGTTCTTTTCCGTCAAATAATAATTCTCTTGACTTTTAATATCGACCATTTTTTTAATTTCTTCGATTAGAATTCTTCTTGGGTTTCCGATAGCCCTAGAACTTAAAAATTTTTCCATGTGAGAACTGCCCAACTTTTCTGGGCTAAATTTCGTCTGAAAGTCCCGTTTTTAATCTTTCTTCACCAGAATAAACAGAACATTCAAGAAGCCCTCCTCCAAACATTACCAATTAAGTTCTTTCTTGATTTTTTTTCTGGAACTTCTTGGAACGTGGTTTATTATTGTCTTCGTTCCACTTTTATCCTGCTTTGAAGTCAAAATTCATCTATCTTTCCTCAAATTAATACACGGTGATTATAAAAGTTTGTGCATCAAGTTGGCTTTGAAATTTCGTGAATTTTGCCGCTTCGTTGTGATTAATGACTAACTATCGTCGTAGCCTTTTACAAATATCAACATAACCTAATATTCTTAAATTCTATCAATATAAAAAGCGGTAAAATCTTTTCAGTTCTACTTAATTCTTGTTCTCTAATCTACAGTTGCTTTTTATAAAACTACTAATTAATTGAGTTCAATCAAAGATAGAATAAACATGGAAAGCGAGAAATTAAAAAACAATGTGAAAGAAAAAAATAAGGTGGAATGGAGTAAGAGAGAGAATGTAATCGATGATATATATCTGAGAATAAAAGGAATATAACAAAAACAGTAACTGAAAAATCAAAATAAAAATTCTAAAATTTGAAAACTAAAAATATAGAAGAACTCAAAAATCGAGTCGAAAAATCGAAAAATTCAAGAATATGTATAGAAACTCAAAAACGGAGAAATTGAAAAATTCCAAAACTGTAATGACGAAAAATTGGGAAATCGAAAAATTGGAAAATCGAACAATTGAAACATCAAGAAACCAAACATCAAAAATCGAAGTTTCGATGAAGCAAGGAATTGAAAAATTGGAAACTTGAAAACTTTAAAAATAGAAAAATTGAACAACTCAAAAATCTAAAATTAAAAAATTGAAAAATTTAAAAATGGAAAAGCCGAAAAATCGGAAACTGGAAAATCGAGAAAATTGAAACATCGAGAAATCGAAAAATCGATAAATCAAAAAATCCAGAAATTGAACAACCCAAAAATCGAAATTTCGATAACGCAAGAAATCGAAAAATTGAAAATTTGAAAATTTTAAAAATCGAAAAGTTGAAAAACTTAAAAATCTAAAATTAAAAAATCTAAAAATTTAAAAATGGGAAAGCCGGAAAATCGGAAAAGTTGAAAAATCGAAAACTGGGAAATCGAAAAATTGAACCATCGAGAAACCAAACATCAAAACATCGAAAAATCGAGAAATTGATAAATCCAAAAATCGAGAAATTGAACACTGCAAAAATCGAAATTTCGATAAAGCAAGAAATCAAAAAATTGGAAACTTGAAAAGCTTAAAAATGGAAAAATTGAAAAACTCAAATCAATCTAAAATTAAAAGCGAAAAATTTAAAAATGAAAAAGCCGAAAATCCGAAAAATCGGAAAATTGAAGAATGGAAAAACTGACAAATCGAAAAATTGGAAAATCAGAACATCGAAAAATAGGAAAATCGAACAATCGAAAAGCCGAAAAGTAGAAAAATTGAAAACTGGAAATTGGAAAAATTGAACAATTAAAGAATCGAAAAATTGAAAAACCGAGAAATTGAAAAATTCCAAAACTGTAATTACGAAAAATTGGGAAATCGAAAAAGCGGAAAAGCCGAAAAGTCGAAAAATCGAAAACTGGGAAATCGAAAAATTGAAAAACTGAAACATCGAGAAATCGATAAATTCAAAAATCGAGAAATTGAACAATCTAAAAATCAAAATTTCGATAACGCAAGAAATCGAACAATTAGAAACTTGAGAACTTTAAAAATCGAAAAATTCAAAACTCGAAAATCTGAAATTAAAAAATCTAAAAATAGAAAAATTAAAAACGCTGAACTTTAAATATCGAAAAATTTAAAAATCGAAAAACCGAAAGTCGAAAAATCAGAAAATTGAATGTTCAAAAACCCAATAACCGAGAATTTGAAAAATTCCAAAACTGTAATGACGATAAATTGGGAAATCGAAAAATTGAGAAATTGAACAATCCGAAAATCGAAATTTCGATAGTGTAAAAAATCAAAAAATTGGAAACTTGAAAATTTTAAAAGTGGAAAAATTGAAAAACTCAAAAATCTAAAATTAAAAGCGAAAAATTTAAAAATGAAGAAACCGAAAAGCCGAAAAATCGGAAAATTGAAGAATAGAAAAACTGACAAATCCAGAAATTGAAAAATCCCAAAATTACAATCAACTGAAAATTGGGAAATCGACAAATTGGAAAATCGAACAATCGAAAAGCTGAACAGTAGAAAAATTGAAAACTGGGAAATCGGAAAATTGAACCATCGAGAAATCGAAATTTCGATAAAAATCAAAAAATTGGAAACTTGGAAATTTTAAAAATGGAAAAACTGAAAAACTCAAAAAATCTAAAATTAGAAGCAAAAAATTTAAAAATGAAAAAGACGAGAAGCCGAAAAATCGGAAAATTGAAAAATGGAAAAACTGACAAATCCAGAAATTGAAAAATTCCAAAATTGCAATGAACTGAAAATTGGGAAACCGAAAAATTGGAAAATCGAACAATCGAAAAGCTGAAAAGTAGAAAAATTGAAAACTGGAATTCGAAAAATTGAAAACTCTAAACTTTAAATATCGGAAAACTTTAAAATCGAAAAGCCGCAAAGTCAAAAACCGAGAAATTGAAAAATTCCAAAACTGAAATGACGAAAAATTGGGAAATCGAAAAATTGGAAAAGCCGAAAAGTCGAAAAAACGAAAACTGGGAAATTGAAAAATCGAAAAACTGAAATACTGAGAAATCGATAAATCCAAAATTTGAGTAACTGAATAATCTAAAAATTGAAATTTCGATAAAGCAAGAAATCGAAAAATTGGAAACTTGAAAAATTGAAAAACTCAAAAATCTAAAATTGAAAAATCGAAAAATTTAAAAATGGAAAAGCCGAAAAGTCGAAAAATCGAAAACTGGGAAATCAAAAAATTGAAAAACTGAACCATCGAGAAACCAAACATCAAAACATCGAGAAATCGAGAAATTGATGAATCCAAAAATCGAGAAATTGAACAATCCAAAAATCGAAATTTCGATAAAGCAAAAAATCAAAAAATTGGAAACCTGAAAATTTTAAATGAGAAAACTGAAAAACTCAAAAATCTAAAATTAAAAGCCAAAAATTTAAAAATAAAAAAGACGAAAAACCGAAAAAACGGAAATTTGAAGAATGACAAAACTAACAAATCGAGAAATTGAAAAATTCAAAAATTGTAATGAACTGAAAATTGGGAAATCGAAAAATTGGAAAACTGAAACATCGAGAAATCGATAAATCCAAAAATCGAGAAATTGAACAATCCAAAAATCGAAATTTCGATAAAGCAAAAAATCAAAAACACTGGAAACTTAAAAATTTAAAAAAAGGATAAATTGAAAAACGTAACAATCTAAAACCATCGAAAAGTCGAAAACTCGGAGAAGTGAAGAATCGAAAAACTGACAAATCGAGAAATTGAAAAATTCTAAAAATGAAATTAACTGAAAATTAGGAAATCTCTAAAATCGGAAAATCAAAACATCGAAAAATTGGAAAATGGAACAATCGAAAAGCCGAAAAGTCGAAAAATCAGAAAATTGAAGAATCGAAAACCTCAAAAACCGAGAAATTGAAAAATTGGAAAAGCCAAAAAATCGAAAACTGGGAAATCGAAAAATTGAAAAAGTGAAACATCGAGAAATCGATAAATCCAAAAATCGAGAAATTGAATAATTTAAAAATCGAAATTTCGATAAAGCAAGAAATCGAAAAATTGGAAACTTGAAAACTTTAAAAATCGAAAAATTGAAAAACTCGAAACTCTAAAATTAAAAAGTTGAAAAATTTAAAAATGGAAAGCCGAAAAGTCGAAAAATCGGAGAAATGAAGAATCGAAAAAATTGACAAATCGAGAAATTGAAAAATTCTAAAATTGAAATTAACTGAAAATTACGAAATCTCAAAAATTGGAAAATCAAACAATCGAGAAGCCGGAAAGTCGAAAAATCGAAAACTCTGATCTTTAAATATTGAAAAATTTGAAAATCGCAAAGTCGAAGAGTCGAAAAATCGGACAATTGAAGAATCGAAAAACTCAAACACCGAGAAATTGAAAAATTCAAAAAATTGTAATGACGATAAATTGGGAAATCGGAAAATTGGAAAAGTCGAAAAATGGAAAACTGGGAAAAAGAAAAATTGAAAAACTGAAACATCGAGAAATCGAGAAATAAAAAAATCGAGAAACTGAACAGTGCAAAAATTGAAATTTCGATAAAGCAAGAAATAGAAAAATTGGAAACTTGAAAAATTTAAAAATCGAAAAATCAAAAATATAAAACTTCGAGGAATTGGAAAAAAGAAAAATCTAAAACCGAAAAAGTCGAAAACTCGAACGATCGAGAAATGGAAACATAAGAAAACTAAAAAATCGAGAAATCGGAAAACTTAAACTAAAAAAATACAGTAAATTGAAAAATTGAGAAATCGAAAAATCGAAAAGTTGAAAAGTCAAAAAATCGAAAAATTGCAGGATCGAAAAAAATGAGAAATCTCAAACTGATGTATCGAAAAATCAAAAAAATAAAACATCAAGTAATTGGAAAAAATCTAAAACTTTTAAATCCGAAAAATTCAAAAATAGAAATATCGAAGAACTGAAAAATAGCGAAATCGAAAAACTTAAATTTAAAAATTGAGAAATTAAAACAATCGAAAAATTGAAAAATAGGTAAATCCACACTCGAAAAATTGAAATATCGAAAAAGTTGATCGAAATATGTATAGCAAATCCCAAAACTGAAATATGGAAAAATTGAAAACTCCAAGAAAAATTGAAGAATCGAAAAATTGAAAAATTCCAAAACTGAAACATCGAAAAATTGAAAAATCGAGAAATCGAAGTGGAAGACAAAATTGAAAAATTGGAAATCAGAATCCTGAAAAACTGAAAAATGAAAAAGTAAAACATTGAGAAATCTAAAAATCGAAAAGTTGAAAAGTCTAAAGATCGAAAAACTGAAAAATCGAAAAAAATGAAAAATTCCAAAACTGAAATATCGAAAAATTGATAAATCGAGAAATTAAAACAATCGAAAAATTGAAAAATTGATAAATCCACACTCAAAAAAACGAAAAATTGAAAAATCGAAAAAGCAAAAAATTGAGAAATCGAAAAATCGAAAAGTCGAAAAATCTAAAAATCGAAAAATTGAAGGATTGAAATATGTATAGAAAATCCCAAAACTCAAATATCGAAAAACTGAAAAATCGAAGGAAAATTGAACAGTCGAAAAAAATGAAAAATCCCAAAACTGAAATATCGAAAAATTGAAGTCGAAACAATACTTGAAAAAAATTAAAAATTACTTTAAGATTTTTTTATCCTTGAAAGATTTTTGGAAAGAAGATTTGTTTCAAAGATACAGGGGTCTAATGCAATACGAAACAACTCTGACATTTTTGAAAAATTTAAGCAATCAATGAGGAGAATAATATTGGGTGCATGGTGGTAATCATTTTCAGCAGTTTTTTGTAGATAAATAATTTACACGTAATATGAATTAAGAAAGGATCTTATTTCTTTTCGAAAAACTTTTATTGCTCTGTATCTTGGAAACAGCGTTTTTCTGAAAATCAGCCAAGGGCATAAATCTTAAAATAACCCAAGGAATAACCCCTTGGATTTTTGCCGCATGTTTAATAATCACCCTGTATATACAGCATGAGTTACTAAGCTTGCGACAGAGACAAAAAATCACAGACCAAAGTTGTTCGGTTTTTTGAGTAAAAAATACTAAAATTATTTTCGACCGCATAGAGTGTTTTGTTTTTGAGACAGCGCACAACTTTGTTTTTTTTTTTTTTAATAAAACGCCCTATATATTTATATACATATACGCTTTTACGTTAAAAAACATAATTGTAGTGTAAAATCGTGTGATTTGAAAATAATTTTAAATTGTAGTTTTACATAAATTTCGATAATTTATGGTTAATGCCACGTGCCCACTGGAACACCTTGTATATTTGTAGCTCTGCATATAGTAAATGTTTGCCTATTATTGACCACATCTTAACCAGAACCTACTAACTGTGAAAACAAAAAAATGAGTTTCACAAACAAAAAGAAGTTGTTAATCATCGCCGGCAACAAATGAACATATCGCACGCAATTAGTGGAATATGAAGCTACTACCCACTAATGCGTCATTTAGCCTTTTTAATAAAACATTGAAACCCCCGCATTTTCAGATAATGACCGACGAATACACATGTTAATGATGTAAATTAATGATCTTACAAAAAAGACACAAGTGACGTTCAAAAACAAAAAAGTACCATAATGGAGCATGACGATATCAAACACGTGGCGTGTTGGTTTACACAAAAAAAAAGATAAATTATGTAGCTTCCTGCTACACAGCAAGAGCTTTCCCTAAAGCACACTACAATAGCGACACAACATAATTTACAATACTTGTTTTGTTCTAGAACAGAAACTTTTTTACTTTTCTAAATTAAAATTATTGAACTACTGCTAAGCACGCTACTGTTGTCCGTTAGTTTTCTTTATTACAACAATTTGCGATTCTTAACGTCGTGTACGTTTCCACCTTTTCGCTTAAAAAAAATTAACTGTGTAAGCCTGCAGAAACGTGTACGATCTATTTCCGATATAATCAAGCTTTTATCACGGCCAAGGTCAAGAAAAACTGTTCAAGCCTTTTTTTGTGTACACATCAAATATTTACACGTGTTTCATTTTCCGTGTCGGGTCGAACCAACAAGTTGTTAGCCACATATCGAAGTAGGTATCAATTTATTACTGTGTCGCTAGTAGACTTTATAAAAATCGATTGGGAAACGGATTGTGGGTAATGCGTTATTGTAATTTGTAGTTTGAAATACGCCATGCAACCGAAAACTTTGCAGTTGCAGTAGGTCATGGAGTCACGAGTTCATGATACGAGATATGCAGGAATAGTCAGTCACTTTGCATTTCCGATGTCCACGAAGTCTAGACTAGATTTCGTGTTTGGGGTTCGTGCAGGATGTTTTAATTGTTTTGCAGAAATAAATCGTCTAGACGACAGGTAAGTTTGAATTAGGCACTATTTAAAATCTACTAGAGCTGAAAGCTAAAATTGCTTATTGTCTAGGTGGTACCACTGTTAACTCAAAATTCAAGCCGCCATTTTCAAAATGTATTATAGAGTGCTTATCATAGTTCGAAAAAAAGTTGGCGTCACCCCACTCCTTCCAAAAACTGACAATAGATGACCTCCTATCTACTTTTTGTCGATACAGTGTGTTTTAGCATAATGTAAGTACGAATAGCAAACAGAGACGTCAATTATCTGTCTAAGACTAGTCCTGATTAGACCGTAATTCTGTGAAAAAGAGTTTGGGGATCCCAGAAATTTATAGCCCTTCGGGACCAAACCCTCAGACTTATCTCTACCCAAACAACGTCACGATAATGCATATAAAAATTGCCGTAGTCGTGTTTTTCGCTTTTGTAAGTACGACAGCTCAAAATATAATTTACTACACATATAAATTTATTGACAGATTATTTGGGCCAAGGGTAAGTATTTTAGTCGCTATATGAATTAAACAGAAACGAAAAATGACTGTAGTACTACCCGATGAGCTCGACAACTTCTTGGAAAGAAAAAACTGGAAGTTTTCAAAAGTTGTTTTACAAGGCGACTTAAACCCAGAAGAAGTATACGACGCCCTTCGACCAGTCCGCCAACTTCAATTTCTCTGGAGATTAAAAAATGGAAATGGAGGTTTCACGATTGTTACATATGCAGGTAAGGGAAGAATTTATTCGTTATTCTACTAAATAAGGTACTTGCAGACCGGGAATTCATAATATTTAATAATGTGATGTATGAATGCGAAGGTACCATTTTAGCAACCAGTGGTACATGTTCTCATTCCATGCGCAAAGTCGATTTCTCTGTTAAAAGCGATTTTTGCTACGCCCGCACTGGATCCACTGTTAACAACAAGTACTACTGTATTGCAAACGGTCCTACTAGTGTTTACGTCTACAACGACAAAATAAAGTGTGAAAGTACCGATAACAGTCCCAGTTTTTTGGTTACTAAGGAAGAATATAGCGAGTTGTGTGGAAATAGAGCAGAATATCCTGTTCTTTACAAATATTTTACCAATGACGTGGGGGAACATAGTGCAGACGTGCACTGCAGTGATGGTGATAGACCGTATGTCTGCACTTTCATACGGGACGAAAATGGCAATGTTGTATACTCCGGAGTACCAAACATTCATGCCAATTTTTATATTTTCGTGACTGCTGTATTTACGTTTTTTAAAATATAAACTTATACACTGTTAACCTCAATGAATAAATAAATAATTTCAGCATCCTTAATTTGTTTTCGCCTTTGTATACTACGATTCATGATAAAGCTATTTTAACTGATATAATTATATAAGTATTATATTTATTGGCGTAGGTTACGTACTAATATTGATCACACTTTATGGTGGAATTCAAGTATTAGTACCACCACCAGTAGCATCATCACCATCAGAGTCTGCTAATCCTACGGGTTCATTTCTAACCCACAAAACTTTCAATAAACACTTTAATGGTTCCTGGCAGAAGAAACCGCTTCTGGTTTTGTTTTCTACTGTCTGTCAACAATTAATTTCAGATTAAAGATAAAAAACTCATCATTTCACAACATGACGGTACCACCAGGTGGCATTATCTTATCGCGATCGTTCTCGGAACGAATTCCTGGGGAATTACAGGAGCAAATAATTTGATTGTATTAAAACACTTATTATTATCATTACTTACATCACACCGTGACAATGCGCACTAAAATTGCTAGATTCATATATTTTTTCCGATTTTTAAGTTTCTCAATTTTTAGTTTTTCAGTATTTTGATTTTTGTTTTTTCAATTCTTCAATTTGCATTTCTTCGATGCACATTTTCGATTTTGCAATTTTTCATTTCTTCAATTTTTCGGCTTGCAAATTTTTGGTTTCGGTTCTTGGTTTTCTTTATTTTTTCAATTTCTCGGTTTTTAGTGTTATGATTTTCTAACTTTTCTTTTTTTCAAAGTGAAAAATTTTTCGTTTCTTCAATTTTTGATTTGTAAGTTTTCTAGTTTTCATTTTAAATATGCATCTAATAATTATAATTTTTAAAATTTTTCACTTTGCCAATTTTATGATTTTAGAATTTTTCCATCTTCAAGTATTCAACTTTAAAACTTTTTCATTTAATCGATTTTTCAAATTTTCTCTATATTTAATTTTTGGATATTTCAGTATTGCAGTTTTTCGTCTTTACAGTTTTATTGTTGTTATTTTTCAATTTTAAAATTTTTGGATTTTCGAATTTTTCGATTTTTAGTTTTCCAGTGTTTCGATTTTTCGTTTCTTCAGCTCTTCGATTCGCAATTTTTCAATTTGCCGCTTTTTCAGTTTTGTCAATTTTTACAGATTTTTTAGTTTTCCGATATTTTAATTTGTCAATTTTTCAACTTTTCGAATAAAAAATTGGTCTAAAGAGTTTAGACAGTACTTCCCTCGTTGTCGGAAATCTGACGACTGCACGCCTATTTATGTTTTTTTTCGCATTAGATTTGAAAGCATTCGGTTTTGTTGTTCTTGATTAAATCAATAAAATAAATTTGCGCATTCATTAAATTTTTTGAGTCACCTTGTACATCCAAATTCAAAAAAATATTAATGGAATGATAAATCACAAGAAGATACTCATTATATTTTGTACATATTAGATAGGATTATTCGGCAAAATTTTGAGCTGACGTCATCAATTATTTGGAGGGGATAAGCAAATATATTTCTACTAAAAATTTATTATGCTCTTTATAACCTTAAAACATTTGCAAGATTTCAAAGCATTCGGTTCTATAGTTCCTGATTAAATCGATAAAATAAATTCACGCATTCATTAATTTTTTTGGGTCACCCTGTATATGCATATCCAAAAAATATGAATGGATTGATAAATCACAAGAAGAGGCTCATCATATTTTGTACACTTTAGATAGGATTTATTCAGCAAAATTTTGGGGTGACGTCAGCAGTTTTTTGGAGGGGATAACTAAATACATTGTGATTAAAATTTTATCATGCCTATCATAACTGTAAACCATCTGCAAGATTTCAAAGCATTTGGTTTTGTAGATTTCAAATTAAATGTCAAAATGTTGTTTCCTAATTTTTGATTTTTTTTCCAAAAATCTGGACGTTTCGGGTAAAATCTCAATTCGGAGTCATAAACTATATGTGTAAGACTATGTTGTTTGATACAATTTAAAACCAAATTACTATGTACAATTTTGAAGTGACGTCATCACATTCGTGGCGGGGATGATTAGACAAATTTTCGTTAGCGTTTTACCATTTACATGATATACCTAGATAATATAAATACAAAATTTGATAACAATCGGCTCAGTACTTTCGGAGATTATCTGTCTAATAAAAATCCGGGACGGCAGACAGACGGACAGACAGACGGAAACGGGAGACCTTTGCCAGTTTTACGATTTTAGAATTTTTCCATCTTCAAGTATTCAACTTTAAAACTTTTTCATTTAATCGATTTTTCAATTTTTCACCGTCTCTATTTTTAATTTTTCAGTTTTTTGATATGTCAGTATTGCAGTTTTTCGTTTTTACAATTTTATTATCATTTTTCAATTTTAAAATTTTTGGGTTTTCCAATTTTTCGATTTTTAGTTTTTCAATGTTTCGATTTTTCGATTCTTCAGCTCTTCGATTCGCAATTTTACGAATTTCCGTTTTTTCGATTTTGCAATTTTTCGGTTTTTCAGTTGTCAATTTTTTCAGATTTTTTAGGCATTTATGGCAAAATTGTAAAATGAAAAATCGAAAAGGGAAAAGTATAAAATCAAAACTTTGAAAACCCTAAAAACTGGAAATGAAAAACATGAGAAATAGAAGAAATAAAAAATTGAAAAATCGAAAGATTAAAAATTGAGAAAATTAAAAAGCAAAAAGGTGCAAAACCGAAAAAACCGAAATTAAACAGGGTTTTGATTTTTAATTTTTTTTCCAATTTTCCATTTTTCAATTTTCCGATTCTTCAGTTTTTCGATTTTTTCGATTTTTCGATTTCTCGATCTTTTGATTTTTCGACTTCTTTGTTAGATTTTTCAGTTTTTCAATTTTTCGAATTTTCTTTATATCATATTTTTTTCGATTTCTCGATTTACAGATATTTTAGTTTAATGCTTTTTCAATTTTTTGGTTCTAGATTTTTTGGTTTCCCAATTTTGCGGTTTTTAAATTATGTTCATTTTTCAAATTTTCAATTTTCGCGTTTCTAAATTTTCGATTTGTCGATTTTTCGAAATACCGATTTCTCGACTTTTCGATTTTATGATTTTTCGAATTTGTGATTTTGCAATGTTTTAGTTTTGGGATTTTTCACTATTTCGATTCTTCGATTTATCGATTTATCAGTTTTCGATATTTGAGTTTTGGGTTTTTTCAATATTTCGATTCTTTAGTTTTTCGACTCCGATTTTTTCGATTTCTTGGTTTTTCAATTTTTTGCTTCTTGAATTTTTCGATATTTTAATTTTTCGATTTTTTAGACTTAACATTTTTAAATTAAAATTTTTCACTTTTTCGATGTTTCAATTTTCCATTTTTCAATTTTACGATTCTTCAGTTTTTCGATTTTTTCGATTTTTCGATTTCTCGAAAAAATCCAAAAATAGCGGATTCGTACAAGTACAGGAGTATATTTTTGCATAACATTAAATCATTTTAAAATACAATTCAATGAAATGACGTCATCAAATTGTTGGTGGGGATGATTATCCAAATTTTGGGCAGCATTTAACCATCTACATGATATTTCTAATATACTTACAAAATTTGACAACAATCGGTCCAGCAGTTTCGGAGATTACTTGTCTAATAAAAATGGATCCAGGCACCAGACAGACAGACAGACGGAAACGGGATACTACTTTTTACTTCCCGAGCGTAAGCAAAGGAAGTATTGTAATCGAGTCCGTCGACCGACTCTCTACTTTTACGTTTTCTCGATGTTTCATGACCCCTAGAAGACGAAGAAATAGGTCTCCCATTTCCGTCTGTTTGTCCGTCTGTCTGCCGTTCCGGGTTTTTGTTAGACAGATAATCTCCGAAAGTACCGATTGTTGTGAAATTTTGTAGTTATATTAGGAATATCATGTAGATGGTAAAACGCTAACCAAAATTTGTCTAATCATCCCCACCACTAATGCGATGACGTCACTTCAAAATTGTACATAGTAAATGGGTCTTAAATTGCATAAAATAACATACATGTAGTTTACGACTCCGAATTCAGTTTTTACCCGAAACGACCAGATTTTTGGAAAAAAAATCAAAATTATAAAACAACATTTTGCAATTTAATTTTGAATCTGCTAATCCGAATGTTTTGAAATGTTTCAGATGTTTTAAGGCTATAAAGAGCATCATAAATCTTTACTCAAAATATATTTGGTTATCCCCTCCAAAAACTTGATGACGTCAGCTCAAAGGTTTGCCAAATAAATCCTATGTAAAATGTACAAAATATGATGAGTCTGTACTTGTAATTTATCACTCCATTCATATTTTTTGGATTTGCATATACAGGGTGACTCAAAAAAATTAATGAATGCGTAAATTTATTTTATTGATTTACTCAGGAACTACAAAACCGAATGCTTTGAAATCTTGAAGGTGTTTTAAAGTTATCATAAGCATGGTAAGTTTTTGATCAAAATGTATTTGCTCATCCCCCCCTAAAAAATTTATGACGTCACCACAAAATTTTGCCGAATAAATCCTATCTAAAATGTACAAAATATGGTGAGTCTCTTCTTGTAATTTATCATTCCATTCAGTTTTTGGATTTGCATATACAGGGTGACCCAAAAAAATTAATGAATCGGTAAATGTATTTTATTGATTTAATCAGGAACTCCAGAACCGATGTTTTGAAATCTATCTATCTATGGAAATATATGTGGTTATTTTCTACAAAAAACTGATGACGTCAGCTCAAAAGTTTGCCGAATAAATCCTATCTAGAATATACAAAATATGATGAGTCTGTACTTGTAATTTATCATTCCATTCATATTTTTTGAATTTGCATATACCGGGTGACTCAAAAAAAATAATGAAATCTACTGCGAAAAAAAAACATAATAGGCATGCAGTCGTCACTTTTCGACAGCGAGGGAAGTACTGTCTAAACTCTTTAGACCAATTTTTTTCATAGACGTTGTGCAAAATATTGTTACGTTTGACGGGCGAATAATTAATCGGGCGTAGGTAAATCTCAACGATTTATTTCTTTAACTCGAATTACACTACTAACTATTGCAACGAATATGTACAGAAATTATTCCGGGCGAATTTCACTGGACGCTCTTGACTGTCTCCACTGGCTGAACAGTCCATTCCCGACGGTCGCCTCTATTTAAACCCATACTTCTCCGATTGAGATCTTTCACGAACATCCATCGCGACTCCGCTTCGAGACTTCCCTGGACGTCGCTTCGAGACTTCCGGTAACCGGGTCCAGACTTGTGTGCCTTATAGGTAAGTCTTGCAGCGGCTGTGTGCTGTGTCCACATAACATAACGTAACCTTATTGTAGTACTATGCGCTGATCGCAATAACGCGTACGACCCCAATTACTGGGAAAACTTCGCCAAAAACCTGACCCAACAAATCAAAAACAACTTAAAACTTAGGACCTAGAATACTTCAACAAGTATACAATAGCCTTACACCTGTTCAAGAAATGAAGTTCAGATTGAGGTTAAAAAACAGAATTCGTGGTTCTACGCTTGCTACTTTTAAAGGTAGTACAACGTATGGGTGTGATGGCCACATTTCCAGTGATGGCTCCTGTTCTGGTACTCTCCGCAAAGGCAAATTTAAAAACAAGGAAAATTTTTGTTATCTATAAATATTTTCGGAATGAAGTGGTAAACCCTATGTTTGTACATTGACAGAATATCAAGATACTGAAATAGTCTATTCTAAAGGGTCTAAGTTAAAACCGCAGTCTGATCCGCTTAAATTTTTTATCAAAAATGTATTTCACATTTTTTGATAGTCAAGTTTGTCGGTATATAAAAGATTACAAGCCACATTCCCGACAAACTCATCGGTATCTTGAACCGACCTTCGCACTGGGAAGTCCACTTCCGATGCACATAAATGCACCGTCCACGAGCCTTTCCACTCACTGAAGCATCATGGGGTTCCGAAAGGCGCTTTCATTGTCATTATTCTCCTCCGTAAGTATGAATCCTCATACATTTCAACATTCAAACTTATAATTTATTTTGTTCACAGTTTGTGTGCCTTATAGGTAAGTCTTGCAGCAGCTGTGTCCACATAACATAACGTAAACTTATTGTAGTACTATGCGCTGGCCTCAATGACACGTCCGACCCCAATTACTGGGAAAACTTCGCCAAAAACCTGACCCAACAAGCCAAAAACAACTTAAGTAGCTTGGATGACTTAGGTTCCAAAATAACGCAACAAGTGCACGACGGCCTTAGACCAGTTCGAGAAATGCAGTTCAAATTGAGGTTAAAAAATGGAAATCGTGGTTCCACGCTCGCCATTTTCAAAGGTACGACCGTACAAATCGCTTAAACGTTTCTGAATAAATAAATTTGTAGATAGACGCTTCATTATCCACGACGGCGTAATGTTTGAGTGTAACGGCAACATTTCCATGAGAGACGGTTCCTGTTCTGGTACTCTCCGCAAGGGCAGGTTTAAAGACAAGGAAGATTTTTGTTATCTTCCGATAAACGTGGCTATCAACAACTGGTACTGTATTTCCAATGGTCCTGTTAATTTTAGTTATAACAAAGGGAAAACTAATTGTGCTAACGTTGATAACGGACTGGCTTTGGCGATTACGAAGGATGCGTATTCGGAGTTGTGCGGAAGCGGGGGATTGCCCGTTACCTATAAATATTTTACGGAAGAAGTAGAAGACCATAGTGCTGATGTGCACTGTTCTGATACTAAACCCTATGTTTGTACATTGACTGAACACCAAGATACTGAAGTAGTCTACTCGGGAGGGTCGAAGGTTCATACACAGTCGATCATATTGTTACTGCTGATGCTGTGTAATTTTTTTATATTTGTCTAAATTTTGAATATTTTTAAAATAGGTTTTGTTATTTATTATGATTTTTCATTTTGTAGTGTATATAAATAATAATTGTAATAAATATCAGGAATGTGCCATGACAGGATAAAATGCTAATTATTTATCTCCATGATCATAAAAATAAAATTTGCAAAATCAAATCTTATAATTTTTGGAAAAATCAGGATTTATTTACTTTCGACCAATTTTTTGATATTACAATTTTTAGGCTTTTAATTTTTTTTCATTTTTCAATTTTTCCATTTTTCAATGTTCCGGTTTCATAATTTTTTGTTTTTTCTACTTCAATTTTTTCAATTTTGCAATTTTTATTTACCATTGTCCTGATTTTTAAATTTTTCTTTTCTCGATTTTATATCTTTGATTTTTCAATTCCACGATTTTCCAATTTTCAAATTTTTCAATTTTGCACTTTTTGGATTTCCAATAATCCGATTTTCCGGTGTCTTTAATTTTCAATATTTTACAATATATACCACCTTCGAAATATCAAAAGAATTTTTTTTGTTAATTTTATCTTCCACAAGTGATTTTGTACTTCATTTATTCGAAAATTCCTACAATTTTTTAAATAGCCAATTGATTTTTGATTTGAAATTTTAGGATATTTTATAAATTCCGCTTTGAAATCAAATATCTCGAAAATCTTGGTTCGAAACTATCAAACATTATGTTTCTCGATTCAGCTCATCGAGATCTATAGCCTCAAATATTTTATGGATTTTTAGACAACTTCCACAAAAGCTAAAATTATTCAATACAAATTTTTGACTTTTGTTCAAGCGCCTTCGAAAATTACGAAAGGAAATTTCATTTATTGATTTCAATTTCCAAACATGTTCGCCTTAATTTTTTTCGACAATTACTACAATTTTTCTAGAATCCGCAATTTTTTTTAATTTTTGGAATTTTAAAAAATTAGACTTTGAAACTGAATGTTTCGAAAATCTTGGCCTGAGACCTTCAACACGCTATGTTTTTGATACAGCTCGTCGGATCCCAGAATTCCTTATGGGTTCTTAGGCAACTTTGTCAAAAGTAAAAAATTTTTTCCCGAATACCTTCGAAAATTACCAAAATTTTTTTTACAATAATTATATTAAAAATTATACTTTGAACCTGAACATTTCAAAGATCTTAATTTGAGACCCAAGAATTTTTTGTGGAATTTCAGGCAACTTCGCCGAAATTTACAATTTTTCGATTTTTAAGTTACCGAATTTTTAATTTTCTAATTTTTCAATTTTTCGATTCTTCAATTTTTCAAGTTTAAGATTTTTCAAAGTTTTCATTTCATACTTTTTCGTTTTTTCCTTTTCGATTTTTTAATTTTACAATTTTTCCATTTTTTTTATTCGAAAAGCTGAAAAATAGCAAAATAGAAACATACAAAAATAAAAAATCTGAAAACACTAAAAAATCGAAAAAATGAGAAAACTAAAAACTGCAAAATTGAAAAAGTGAAAAATTGAAAAATTGCAAATCGAAGAACTGAAGAAACGAAAAATTGAAACATTGAAAAACTAAAGATCGGGAAACTTAAAAATCGAAAAAGATTAATGAATCAAAAAATTGGAAAGAAGAAAAAACAAATCGAAGATTGGAAATCCCAAAAAATGTAAAATTGAATAAATGAAAAAGTGAAACATTTTTTAAATTATAATTATTACTACATATTTAAAATGAAAACTAGAAAAGTTACAAATCAAAAATTGAAGTAACAAATAATGAAAATCGAAAAATTGAAAAATTGAAAAACTGAAAAATATGTAGATGAAAACTCGAAAAGCTATATGTTGTAAAATAGAAAAAAACACGAAAAGTTGAACAATTGCAAATCCAAAAACTGAAGAAAAGAAAATCTGAAAAAATAAAGAAAATAAAAAGCCCAATCGAAAATCTGCAAATCGAAAATTTGAAGAATTAAAAATCTAAAAATTAAAAAGTTGAACAAATGAAAAAGTTCAAAATTTTAAAAATTAGAATTATTATTACATATTTAAAAAACTAGGAAAACAAAAATTGAAGTAACAAATAATCAAAAATCTAAAATTGTATAAAAATCTGAAAGTTGAAAAAACAAAAAACTGAAAATCAAAAAATTGCAAATTGAAAAATCCAAATTTTGAAAAATTTCACATGGAAAAAAAAAAGAAAAATAAAATAAGAACACTGAAAAACCGACTTATTGAAAAAATAAAGAAAATGAAAAACCGAAACGAAAAATTGCAAATCGAAAAATAGAGGAAACAAGAAATTTAAATAACAAATAATGAAAAATCTAAAATTGAAACAAAAATTTAGAAATTTGAAAAAACAAAAAATTGAATATAGAAAATTGCAATCTGAAAAACCCAATAATTGAAAAATGGAAAAATTCTAAAATTGTGAAAATTTTAAAAATTAAACTTATTATTACATGTTTAAAAGAAAACTAGGAAAACTATAAATCAAAAATTGAAGTAACAAAAAATCAAAAATCTAAAATTGTAAAAAAATTTGAAAGTTGAAAAAGCAAAAAACTGAAAATCGAAAAACTGCAAATTGAAAAACCCAAATACTGAAAAATTTCACGTGGAAAAAAATAAAAATAAAATAAGAACACTGAAAAACCGAATCATTAAAAGAATAAAGAAAATGAAAAACTGAAAGGAAAAATTGCAAATCAAAAAATAGAGGAAACGAGAAATTGAACAATAAAGAAAATAAAAAATCGAGGCAAAAACTGCAAAATTAAAAAGCAAATTGATGAAAAAGTTTTAAAATCGAATATGTAGTTGGAAAACGGAAAAAGTGAAATATTTTAGTATTATCATTATTCTTATTATTACAGATTTAAAATGAAAATTTGAAAAATTGTAAGTCAAGAACTGAAGAAACGAAAAATTTAAAAATCCAAAAGCTGAAAAATTTCACATGGAAAAAAAAAGAAAAATTATAAAAACCGAACAGTTGAAAAAATAAAGAAAATGAAAAGCCCAATCGAAAATCTGCAAATCGAAAATTTGAAGAATTAAAAATCGAAAAATTAAAAAGTTGAACAAATGATAAAGTTCAAAATTTTAAAAACTAGAATTATTATTACATATTTAAAAAACTAGGAAAACTGTAAATCAAAAATTGAAGTAACAAATAATCGAAAATCTAAAATTGCAAAAAAAATCTGAAAGTTGAAAAAAAAAACTGAAAATCAAAAAATTGTAAATTGAAAAATCCAAATATTGAAAAATTTCACATGAAAAAAAAAGAAAAATAAAATAAGAACACTGAAAAACCGGCTTATTGAAAAAATAAAGAAAATGAAAACCGAAACGAAAAATTGCAAATCGAAAAATAGAGGAAACAAGAAATTTAAATAACAAATAATGAAAAATCTAAAATTGAAACAAACATTTAGAAATTTGAAAAAACAAAAATTGAATATAGAAAATTGCAATCTGAAAAACCCAATAATTGAAAAATGGAAAAATTCTAAAATTGTGAAAATGTTAAAAAGTTCAAAATTTTAAAAATTAGACTTATTATTACATGTTTAAAAGAAAACTAGGAAAACTATAAATCAAAAATTGGAGTAACAAAAAATCAAAAATCTAAAATTGTAAAAAAAATCTGAAAGTTGAAAAAAACAAAAAACTGAAAATCGAAAAATTGCAAATTGAAAAACCCAAATATTGAGAAATTTCACGTGGAAAAAAAGAAAAATAAAATAAGAACACTGAAAAACCGAATCATTAAAAAAATAAAGAAAATGAAAAACCGAAACCGATAGAGGAAACGAGAAATTGAACAATAAAGAAAAAAAAAATCGAGGCAAAAACTGCAAAATTAAAAAGCAAATTGATGAAAAAGTTTTAAAATCGAATAGTTGAAAAACGAAAAAAGTGAAAAATTTTTATTATCATTATTCTTATTATTACACATTTAAAGTGAAAATTTGAAAAATTGTAAGTCAAGAACTGAAGAAACGAAAAATTATAAAATCTGAACATTGAAAAACCGCACAGTTGAAAAAATAAAGAAAATGAAAAACCGGAAGGAAAAATTGAAAAAATAGAATTATTACATATTTAAAATGAAACAGGATAAAATGCTAATTTATCTCCCTTTTACCAAGAATTAGTGCAAAATTAGTATATTTAAAAATATCCCTCAGTTCATTCATGGCGCCTATAAAATTAGTCTCATTATTAGATATAGATTCTAGTAGTGTACCTAGATATACTTTAAAAAGTCTTGTTATTGTCAATAAAATTTTATAGGGTACAACGATATTTCCTGAACTATAAATCAGGACACTCTTGCAGTCCTTTGACAATTTTAAATAAAGTTATTACCGAGTGCTCTCTACGTCTACTTAGCAAAGATGGAATTTTGAATCTATCTCAGGGGATAAACGCCATTGACTATGCAGGACATCGTTTTAAGAAAACCTCTTTGTATTCTTTTAAGAAAAGAAATGTGGATATTATATACAGGACTCCATGTGACAGAGGCGTATTCAAGACCAGATCTACAAGACATTTTTGAAGCCGAAGAGAATCATAATATGAATTGACTACAATATAAATCTTCAGATCATCCGCAAAGAGAAGGGAATGCACATCTATGACATCAACAATGTCATTAATATACATATGAAAAGCAAGGGACCCAATACCGAACCTTGTGGAACACCAGTCTCTTGTTTGAACAGTTCTGATTTAAATCCATTGATTTTAACAAATAAGTATCGACTGTCTAAATAAGAATTTAACAATGAAATTAATGAGTCCGAAAACCCAAAACATTCTAACTTTTGCATTAGGAGGCGATGGTCAATTTTATCAAATGCCTGTGATAAATCAGTATAAGTAACGTCCACTTGGCACTGGTTGTCCAATGAATCCCTTAAAAATTGTGTTATGGAAAGAAGATTTGTCATAGTGGAGCGTCCTTGGTAAAACCATGCTGAGTTGAGGAAATCATTTGTGATATATGATGGGACAAAATATCATGTAATACTGTTTCGAACACCTTGGCAAAATTAGAAATAATAGCTATGGGCCTATAATTTTCAACATTTGATTTTTCTCCTTTTTTATAGACAGGGCAAATTCTAGAGTACTTCCATTTATTACGAAAAGTACAGGTATTTAAAATATTATTGCATTGTTTAAGATCGTAAAAAGAAATAAACATTTTTATACACTGATGAGGTATAGTACGTAAGATTATGCTTGATGTATCTCGAATAAACTTCTGACTATTAAAGTCACCAAAAATAACAGATATATTCAGTACTAAATAGAGACCTATTCTCACCCACAATGTAGTCTACCACTTCTTCCTCTAGAATGTCTTTGTCTATTCCGGAAATCCTAATTCACGGCTTTAAACTTGGCAAATTTTTCATGTTGTTGTCTGTTAATTTTTCACCAACTAAATTCTTAATTTTATTAGAGTTAGCAGTATCATTGCAACTTATGATGATGCTTCCAGTATGACCAGGTTTAACACAGGCAACATCAAGATTCAATTTAACAGGATCAACTTGACTCAATAAATTCTTTTTTGTAGTAGAAATCGACTGTTTAGTATCTTTTGGTTACAAAATAACAGTGGATTTAGATTTGCTAACAACGTTAATAAGAATCATTTTTTGTTGAACTTTCAGAAGGTAGAGTTTCCTTAACGTGATTTAGAATTTGATTATTATGTTCAATTTTATTTTCGATATGATTTAGACACTTTACAACAGATTCTTTTAAGACACCAATTTTGGAGGTTCCCTCTAAAATAAGACATTCGTTACACAGATAGTGAAAATTTCCGTATTTGAACAAGATTTTAAGGTCACTCTCTTCAATTTTCAGACACTTTGTGTGATCTTTATTACCACAGGCAAAGCACTTTTAAGCCTTGTCGAAGCCCTTAATGTTAATATCGCATATCCGACATTTTGCAAAGTTGGAAAAACTTATCAACAGATAGATAAGTAGCCGCTACGGTATAGAAGAAATACCGAGCGGCTAGATTAGGCAACTGGTAAAAAATGCTAGATGCAAACAAAACTAGATTATAAGTACTGCAACCATACCATAACTCACGTGTGAGAAGTTTTGTTTACAACAATGATTATTATTGGTAATCAACCAGGAACACAGTTCACTGCACGTCCGTCCGCCGGTACACTCACACTTTTATGTTATTTTAAGTGGAAACAACAAAAAACCCCAAATGCTTGGTTGTTGAGATGGCGAAATTATAAATGTGAAAATGGAGTTGTCACACTTTGATGCCAACCTGTGGATTTATCGCAGTGTGAGAGTCAAGGGTAGGAATTTGTTGTAATTTGAAACTGATAAAACAAATATGTAAATTATTATATTATATTTAAAATTAAAACTGTTATTTTTTCTTTTAAACAACAAATTTCGGTACTATGTACTGTGCCAGGACTTCTTTCTTTTTTCTTGATTTTCCAGTGGTCTTGGTCAGTTGGTCTTAGTTCTACCTAATTATTTAGGTTATCCTTAGACCAACTTTTCTTTGTTGTTTTTGGTTTTTCTTTCACTTTTAAGTTGTTTTGAAATATCACGTACTTTCCAAAACTGAACAGATTGTTTGTTCATCTAACCGTCAATTTGATGACATCTTTGTATGTTTTATCAAAAACGTATTTCGCATTTTCTGATAGTTGCGTTTGTTTGTATACAAAAAGATAAATAGCCGCACCCAACAAATCACGGCTATCTTCGCTAGCCTCTCTCAAATATAATCATTGTCAAGGTAGTTTGGTTATCATTACTCTCCTCCGTTAGTATGATTCCTATACTGCAAATTTAACAATCAAATTTATAATTTATTCTGTTAACAGTTTTATTTGCCTTATAGGTAAGTCCTGCAGCAGCTTTGTACACATAACCGTAGTACTATGCGTTGAGCCCAATTACATTTCTGTTGGAAAAATTTCGCCAAAAATCTGACTCAACTAATCAAAAACAACTTAACTAAATTGGACAACTCAGGAACTAGAACAAGTATCCGACAGCCTTACACCTGTTCAATAAATGAAGTTCAGATGGAGGTTAAAAAACGGAATTCGTGGTTCTACGCTTGCTACTTTTAAAGGTACAACACAAATTGCCTAAAAGTTTTTTGAATAAATTAATTTGTAAATAGACATTTTATTGTATGCGATTTTCGATTTTCCGTTTTTTCTTATTTCGATTTTCGAATTTTTTATTCTTTGATTTTTGATTTTTAGATTTTCGAATTTTCGTTCTTGGAATTTTGCGGCTGTGCGTTTTTTCCATATTAAAATTTTCAATTTGTTGCCATTTGCATTTCCTAATTTTTCAACTATCCGATTTTTGACTTAAAATTTTTCAATTTTTACTTTTCAGTTTTTCGATATCCGAATTTTCAATTTTATCTTTGATTTCTCGAGTTTTCGATTTTCGATACTCGAACTTTCAATTTTCGAATTTTAGATTTGTTCATTTTTCGAAGTTGGAATTTTTAGTTTTTTTTATTGTTCGCTTTTTCAACTTATTGATTTTTCAAATTTTTGACTTTCCGCTTTTTGGAACTTTGGTATTTTTAATTTTCGATTTTTCGAATATTTGATTCAAAGAATTTTCGATTTTTCCGTTTTTCGAATTATCGATTTGTCAAATGTTCCATTTTTCGAAATCTCGATGTTCCAATTTTCCTTTATGATTTCTCAATTTTTTCAAATTTTCAGATGTTCAAATTTTCAATTGTTTATTTTTCGATATTTTGATTTTTGCAGCTTTCGATTTTCGATACTCAAATTTTAAATCTTTCTAATTTTCGATTTTTAATTTTTCGAATTTTCAATCTTTATACTTTTCGATTTTTTAATTTTTTTTTTACTTTATTGAAAATATTTCTTTTTTCTGAATTTTCGGTCTTCCGTTTTTTCGAATTCATCGATTTTCCGATATCCGAATTTCAATTTGTTTCCTTTTGGTTTTCTAGATTTTCCAATTTTTCAATTCTTCGATTTTTAGATCATATTCAAGTATTCAATTTTTTATTTCTCGAATTTTCGATTTTTCAATTTACACATTCTGCAGTTTATGGACTTTTCTATTTATCAAATTTTCAATCTATTCTTCAATTTTTCGATTTTTTGATTTCTCGAGTTCTCGATTTTTTTTTTTTTTTTTGACTTCACTGAGAATATTTATTTCTTTTGTCTGATTTTCCGGTGTTTCGTTTTTTCGAATTCATCGAATTTCCGATTTTAGGTGATATTCAAATTTTCTATTTTTTGCTTTTCGATATTTAAATTTTTAGAACTTTCGATTTTCGTTTCTCGAATTTTAAATCTTTCCAAATTTCGATTTTTGATTTTTAAATTTTCGATTTTTCTTGACCTTATTGAAAATATTTTTTTTCTGATTTTTCGATATCCAAATTTCAATGTTTCCTTTTCGGTTTCTCGATATTTCAAATTTTCAATTCTTCGATTTTTAGATAATATTCAAATTTTCAGTTTGATTTTTAGACTTTTTGATTTTCGATTCACGAATTTCAAATCTGTCTAATTTTGGATTTTTCGAATTTTCGATTTTTCAATTTACACATTCTTCAGTTTTTAGACTTTTTTATTTACCAAATTTTCAATCCAGTCTTCGTTTTTCAATTTTTTTTACTTTTCGATTATTTGATTTCTCGAGTTCTCGTTTTTCGAATTTTGGATTTCCCGACATCAAAATTTCTAATCTTCTTACTTTTCGATATTTCAATTTTCGACTTATTTTGACTTTATTGAAAATATTTCTTTTTTCTAATTTTTCAGTGTTTCGTCTTTTCGAATTCATCGAATTTCCGATTTTTCGATATCCGAATTTCAATTTGTTTCCTTTCTGGTTTCTCGATTTTTCAATTGTTCAGTTCTTCGATTTTTAGATGATATTCAAATTTTCAATTTTTTACTTTTCGATATTTTGATTTTTAGAGCTTTCGATTTTCGATTCTCGATTATTAAATCTTCCTAATTTTCGATTTTTGATTTTTCGAATTTTCGATTTCCCGACATCAGAATTTTCAATCTTTTTACTTTTCGATTTTTCAATTTTCGATTTTTTTTACCTTATTGAAAATATTTCTATTTTTCTGATTTTTCGATATTCGAATTTCAATTTGTTTCCTTTTTGGTTTCTTGATTTTTCAAATTTTTAATTCTTAGATTTGACATGATATATGTACAAATTTTCAATTTTTAACTTTTCCATATTTTGATTTTGTAGAGCTTTCGATTTTCGATCTTTTTTTATCGAAAATGTCTTTGATTTTTCGGTCTTTCGCTTTTTCGAACTCATCGAATTTCCAATTTTTCGATATCCGAATTTCATTCGTTTCTTTTCGGGTTTCTCGATTTTTCAAGTCTTCGATTTTTACAAGATACTAGCGGAACCCGGCAGACGTTGTCCTGCTTGTGTATATATTTACTTTGTATATATGTGGATATAAATGTATGGTCTGGAGCGCAGAATGCGTTGTAGAAAACTGAATAATAAGATAACTCATATTGATGCTATTCCATTTATTTTCATTAGTATACACAATGTACACATTTTTGTATTAGTAATTCACGTGAATGAACAAAATTTTTGACTATTGTATGCGCTATATATGCTAGTCCAAAAGGTATAAGGTTATATGACCATTATAAAAGTAGTTGACCGCAAATAAGTACCCCCTTTGTGTGGTTCGCACTAAGCTTACCCGGTTGGCAATAAATCGTCTTCTCAACATTTCTTGCTCATATTTAACAGGGCCGGCTTTCAAAGCGAGTGGTGATTTCGGAACCCTCAGCGGCTGCAGGTAGTAAAGAAATAATGGAGTGGTGGATTTACATATTTAGTGAAAGCCGTCCCTGAACGAAACCACAACAGCCGGTCGAGCTCCATTGGACACGTTATTTACGACCCTAAAACCTTTTCTATTGTAAACAACTTAACTTCGACACAATGGGATAATTTTATGATGGCCATATAACCTTATAGCTTTTGGTCCACTATAACTGAAACAACTTGAACACATTTTAATCAATACTAACATCTATCGTAACGCTAGTGGGTAAACAATATTTTTGGTTTTTCGATTTGGTGTATAGACGTACAGAGTTTTTGGAATTCCTACTCTGGAGCAAGCAACATACAGTTGACCATGCGAAAAACATGGATTTCCTAAATTTAATCCGGCAACGCGCAGAGACTGCCCTTGGGCTTTGTTGATTGCCATCGCGAAAGCAAGACGCACAGGAAACTGTAGTCGTTTGAATGTAAAGGGCAAATCAGTAGGAACCATTGGAATGCGCGGAATCAGTTTAATTTTTTGGATGGCATTTTCAATAATCTCTAGTAATTCACTCTTTGTTATTACTGAGGATTGTAGACAGTGAACATCACTAATGATTTTATTTTGCGGTCAATACGATTTTTGTTGTAATACCAACGAAAACAATGCTGTCATTGGTGCCGCCATATATCTAATACTTGCTAACTCTTCAGAAGTAACATAGAAACGGTGTTCACGGACAAAGGGAGACGGAAGATATTGTTTTGTGTCTAGAAAAGTACCGAGGATCTGTGCGCACGTACACAAAATAGAAGCGAACGTATGAAATGTCAAAACACATCTAGTCACGTTATCGACTAAAAATCAAGCAAGTACGAGTATATGAGCAGTACTGTTTGGTACTATAGAGAGACAAAGAGGTCCGATATATTGCTTTGCCGTTGTGTTTTCGGACTCTTTTGAGGCCTGATAGCAATATAGTAGTATTCGATATATGGGTGCCGCTGATTCTCTAAGTTCATAATACTTTAACAGAGAGGCTGATGTGCTGCAGTGCCATCTAGTGGCAAGTTACAGCAAAATCGATAACGCGAAAATATTCTCCATGGTCAAATACCAACGTATATCAATTTTCATGAGGATCGGTTGATTGGTACAGAAGTTGATGTGTTGCAGCGCCATCTAGTGGCGAGTTACAGCAAAATGGATAGGGTGAAAATATTCTCCATAGTCAAATGCCAACGTGTACCAATTTTCATGAGGATCGGTTGATTGGTACAGAAGTTGATGTGTTGCAGCGCCATCTAGTGGCGAGTTACAGCAAAATGGATAGGGCGAAAATATTCTCCATAGTTAAATGCCAACGTGTACCAATTTTTATCAGAATCGGTTGAACGGTGTAGAAGTTGATGTGCTGTAGCGCCATCTAATGGCTAGTTACAGCAAAGCGGATACCACAAAAACCTTCTCCATGAAAAACCACTTACATGTGCCAAATTTCATGGTGATCGGTCAAACGATTTCGGAGTCTATCGATCACAGATATATATATATACCAACATCCATTTTTATATATTAGATTCAAATTTTCAATTTTTTACTTTTCGATATTTCGATTTTTGGAGCTTTCAATTTTGGATAATCTTTCTAATTTTCGATTTTTGATTTTTCAAATTTTCGATTTTTCAATTTAAATATTCTTCAGACTTTTCTATTTATCAAATTTTCAATTTATTCTTCCGTTTTTAGATTTTTCAATTTTTCGATTTCTCGATTTTTCATTTTTCTCATTTTTCGTCCTATCGTTTTTTCGAATTCATCGAATTTACGATTTTTCGATATCCGAATTTCAATTTGCTTCCTCTCTGGTTTCTCGATTTTTCAATTGTTCAGTTCTTCGATTTTTAGATGATATTCAAATTTTCAATCTTTTACTTTTCGATATTTTGATTTTTAGATTTTTCGAATTTTCGACTTTTCAATTTACACATTCTTCTGTTTTTAGATTTTTCTATTTCTCAAATTTTCAATCCATTCTTCAGTTTTTCGATTTTTCAATTTTTATACTTTTCGATTTTTTGATTTGTCGAGTTCTCGATTTTTCGAATTTTCGATTTTCCCACATCAGAATTCTGAATCTTTTTACTTTTAGATTTTTCAATTTTCGTTTTTTTTATTTCGTTGAAAATTTTTCTCTTTTCAATTTTCAAGCTCTCCATTTTTCGATTTTTATACTACGATTTTTCGGAGTTCTTATTTACGCCAGTGGTTTTTGCTTTATCGGGGTTATTACAAAACAAAAATATTGAATCAAACTTTATAATTTTTCAAAAAAGCGGGATATATTGGTTTTACTTCAAGGCCAAGGGAAGTTCTGTAAAAATAACCTTCTACCATTTTTTTTTGTTTTTCTTTCACTTTTGACTTCTTTTGACATATCGTGCAGCCATTTGTTCATCTAAGTAATCGTCAATTTGTTGACATAAAGATTTAAAAAAAATGTACCAAAACCAAACAAAACCGCATCAGGTCACGCTTCTGAGGATGAGATAATTTTCATTGAAAGCTCTCCACGTTCTTATTTAAAAATCGTAAAAACCGCGATCTAATCCATTTGTATGTTTTACCAAAAATGGATTTAAAAGATAGTTTTGTTTGCATACAAGAAGATAAAAAACCGCACCCGACAAATCACGGATATCTTGAACCCTGGCAGTACCATTGGAAAGTCCACTTCCAGTGTGTATAAATTAACGTCTACGAACATCATGGTCTTTAAAAGAGTGGTTTTATTATCACTACTCTCTTCCGTAAGTATGATTCTTCAGTCTGTGAATTTAACAATCAAACTTATCATTTATTCTATTCGCAGTCTGTGTGCGTTATAGGTAAGTCTTACATCAGCTTTGTTCATTGTCAGTCTAAATTTCCTCAAATATTTCACCCAACAAGGCTGGACTGACCCCGAAATTAGGCTAGTGAAACAAGTATGTCGTGAACCCCTAGTTAAAAAAGTACCGTTCACATCGTTAATAAGAGAAGGAAAAGGTGGTACTACGATTGCTACTTTTAAAGGTACGACATAAATCGCTTAAGACGTTTCTGAATAAGTTAATTTATAGACAGACGCTTCATTATAAACGACAGCACAATGTTTGATTGTGACGGCAAGATTTCCATAAGTGATGGTTCCTGCTCTGGTACTCTTCGCAAAGCCGAGTTTAGCAACAATGAGTTTTGTTATGTTGTCAACAAAGGCACCCCTATCAACGGCGAGTACTGCATCTGCAATGGTCGTCATGTATTTCGTTATATCGATGGCAGCCCCAAATGTGTTGGTAAATGCCGGGTTATGTACATTGCGAAGAATGATTATACTGAAAGGTGCGGAGGGAACGGATATCCTGTTACTTATAAATACTTTACGAATCATATAGAAGACGATAAGCGTGTACATTGCTCTGATTCTAAACCCTATGTCTGTACATACACAGAAAATCAAGATACCGAAGTTGTCTATCCAGGAGATCAAGTTACCGAAACTACTGACTCGCAACATCAAACTACTGAAGTTGTTGATTCAAAACACCAAGATACCGAAGTTGTCGACTCAGAACATCAAGCTACCGAAGCTGTCGACTCAGAACATCAAACTACCGAAGTTGTCGTCTCCGAACATCAAGATACTCAAGTTGTCTATTCAGAAGATCACGTTACCGAAATTGTCGTCTTGCAACATCAAACTACAGAAGTTGTCGACTCAGAACATCACGTTACCGAAATTATCGTCTTGCAACATCAAACTACTGAAGTTGCTGATTCAAAACATCAAGTTACCGAAGCTGTCGACCTAGAACATCAAACTACCAAAGTTGTCGACTCAGGACATCACGTTGTCTACCCTGTAGGGTCAACTGTTCATGTACTATCGTTCTTATTGTCACCGCTGGCGGTTCATATGCTTTTTTTTGAAAGCCACATTTATCTAAATTTTGATTACTTTTAAAATATGCTTTTAGTTATTGTAATGTACGTAAATAACTGTAATAAATATGACTGTGCTGACACCAAGTTTAAAAAATTGCAAGTTTCGTGAGTACTTCTTCTTTCTTGAATTTGAAAATGACGGTGATGATACAGATTTTCATAGCGAAATAATGGAAATGGAGTGAATTGTAGCTTGTCGAGGGCTGATATTTTTACGCATTTTTCGTTCTAAATTTACCAAGGTAGTATGTGAAAAACTACCTGACGTTACAACAAAATTACTATAATTTTAGTTAGATCATCCACGTTGTTACTTTGCACCAAATTTTGAGCATTTTCGTTTTTTTTTTTTGTAACTCTGCATGGACCTGGAGAAGGCGTATAGTAACGTTCTTATTAATAAGCGTTTGGAAGTACTTAGTAAAAGCAAATAAAGAGCACTTACGTAAGCATTAGTGATAGCTATACAGATAAATCATTCAATTTAAGCCCGGAAAAATGTTTCAGAAGAGCTAAACCCATCAACGCACTACAGCAAGGTTGTTGCCTTTTACCAACCCTTTTAGTAATCTTAGAAAAGTGAAAAAAGAAGTTGGAAGATATGGAAATAGGCTGTTCACAAAGGTCGAAATTTCCATTTCTAAGAAGAGTGGGCGAGCAGAACGAACTGATGTTGGAGAATTAAGGGGGAACGCTAGACGAGAGACAAGTTTGAATTGGGCGCCATTTGTTGCCTTAAACGCAACCAGCAATTCTTCTTTAAATCTACCTGACGCGCTGGGATAGACGACTACCGGACGTGGGTCATAAAAGTATCGTAAGCCGATAATGCAGAATAATGATAATTTATGACAGGCGACCCACAACATCCCTTCAGCACAGAATAATCATTTCTCGTATTCTTTTGACATATTAATTTTAATATTCGAAATAATTATTATATTATTCAAACACAATTTAGACACTGTAGAGCAAACAAGGCTTATCAAGCCCGTCTATTAGTTTATTCGCCTAAATGTATTATTAATACCGTTTTCAAATTACACCAAAATTGAAAAATCGAAAACTTAATAATTGAAAAATTGAAACATTTTAAATGAAAAAAATCGGTAAACCGAAAAATTGAAAAATCTATAAATCGAGAAATTGAACAATCTAAAAATTAAACAATTTAAAAATCGAAGAATTGGAAAACCAAAAAATCTAAACCGAGAACTTGAAAAATCGAATAAACGAGAAATCAAAACATCAAGGAAAACAAAAAAATTAACGGAAAATCTAGAACCTAAAAATTGAAAAATTAAAATACCTATCGAAAAATTGAAAAACCGAGAAATCGAAACATCAAAAAATGGAAAAATTGAAGAACCGAAACATTGCAAAATCGCAGAACTGAAATACTGAAAAACTGAAAAATGGAAGGAAAATTGAAAAATCGAAAAAGTGAAAAAATTCAAAACTGAAATCTTGAAAAACTGAAAAATGGAAAGAAAACTGAAGAATCGGAAAAGTGAAAAAATACACAACTGAAACATTGAAAAATCCAAAAATCGAAAAATTGAAAAATCACAATTGAAGAAAGAATTGAAAAATCATGAATGGGAAAATCAAAAAATCAGTTAATCGAAAAATTTAGAAACGTCAAAAATTGAAAACTGAAAAATAAAGAAATTTTAAAATCGTAAAAGTGAAATATCGTAAAGTAAATAAATTGAAAAACTGAAAATTTTTGAAAAAAAAAATCGTATCAAAAACGAAAATTCAAAAAATTGAGAAATTGAACAATCAAAAAATCAAAACATTGAAATCCCAGTAAGTTGATAAATAGGAAAATTTAAAAAACAAAAATTTTAAAAATCCAAGAATTGAGCAACAAAAAAAATCTAAGCCTGAAAACTCAGAAAATTGAATGATCGAGACCAAAAAATCTAAAATTTAAAAATTCGACAAATTGAAAAATCATGGAAATGAAAAACCGAAAAGTCGAGATAGTGAGAAATCTAAAAACCTAAAACTTTAAAAACTGAAAAATTAAAATATCGAAAAATTTAAAAACCGAGAAAACACAATATCAAAAATTTGAAAAATTGAAGAAACGAAATATTGCAAAATTCCACAGCTGAAATATTGAAAAACCTAAAAATAGAAGGAATATTAAAGAGTCGAAACAGTGAAAAAAACCCAAACTGAAACATTGAAAAATTGAGAAATGGAAAAATGGGAAAATCAAAAAAATTGGTCTAAAGAGTTTAGACAGTACTTACCTCGGTATCGGAAACGTGACGACTGCATGCCTATTATGTTTTTTTTTCACATTAGATTTCAAAGCATTCGGTTTTGTAGTTCCTGATTAAATCAATAAAAGAAATTTTCGCATTCATTAAATTTTTTGAGTCACCCTGTATATCCGAATCCAAAAAATATGAATGGAATGATAAATTACAAGAAGAGACTCATCATATTTTGTAAATTTTAAATAGGATTATACGGCAAACTTTTGAGTTGACGTCATCAATTTTTTGGAGGTGATAAGCAAATATATTTTGACCAAAAATTTATTATGCGCTTTATAACCTTAAAACATTTGCAAAATTTCAAAGCATTGGGTTCTGTAGTTCCTGATTAAATCAATAAAATAAATGTACGCATTCATTAATTTTTGGGGTCATCCTGTATATGCAAATCCAAAAAACATGCATGGAATGATAAATCACAAGAAGAGACTCATCATATTTTATACAATTTAGATAGGATTTATTCAGCAAAATTTTGAGGTCACGTCATCAATTTTTTAGAGGGGATAAGTAAATATATTGTGATTAAAACGGACCTGGTTTAATAACAAAAAAATATTGTTCGTCTATAAAACAAGCTCGTCTTAAACAAAGCATTCGTAAAAAAATTTACGTATGCTGGTCCCGACTGCGATTATGGTTTAAATATTTTTTAGAAAATCCTGTCATGGATGTAGAAACATTTGTGACAGCCAAAGAGGTTTTTTTGAGAAAATTATCTCTGAATTTAGACCAAATTGAAATAGACACTAGACAACAGGCACATTTGGGCAAAAGAAAGAGAAATTAGGGTTACGGCTTCAAATTTTGGACGTATTTACAAACTTAGACCGACTACAGCAATAGCTAAAACTGTGGAGTCTCTGTTTTACAGTACATTTAGAGATAATATAGTCATACATACTATGGACAGCAAAGTGAGGAAAAAGCTGTCAAGTGTTTTGAAATAAATAAAAATATAAAAACTGAACGGTGTGGCTTGTTATTTCAAAACAATTTCCTTACTTGGCTGCTAGTCCAGACAGGGTTCTAGAGGATAGGAGTGCATTAGTCGAAATTAAATGCCCTTCAAAATCGCAAGATTTGTCTCCCGAAGAAGCGGTTAGAAAAAAAATAATCAAATTTTGTACATTGACAGACAGAGAATTGAAACTAAAAAAAAATCATGATTACTACTTTCAAGTCCACGGACAAATGCTTGTAACGGGTATTTCACAAGTTTATTTTGCTGTATGGACACCCAAAGGAATAAATATAGAAATGTATAAAGACGAAGAAATATATGTAAAAAGATGGTAGATAAATTTGCCAGATTTTACTTTGGCGCATTATTGCCCGAAATAATTGATTCAAGAAGAAAGAGGAACCTGCCTTTGTGAGAGATTTTTTTAAAATAAATAAAATTTGTTTCTATTTTTTTATGTACTTTAATAATTTATTAGGAGTACATTTTTCATCACCAAGACTTGCATATTTTTACTATAAATATATTTTGAAAATGATCTCTCGGCAAATGAAAACATATAGGAGTACTTTTTTCGAGTAAACAATGAAGGGAGAAGTTACTGGACGTAGGGCTTTTTTAAAACACCTCCTTTTTGGGATAAGTAGTAGATACACTTATACGTGTTAAACAAAAGCTGTATTTTATATATTTTTTATTATTATTATAATATGTTTATTAGTTTTATTAATTAACAAAGCAAAATATATATTAACAATAATATTACAATGATTTTTTAGTAATCATGTGTATTGAATTCAGGATCCTGAGTGGACTAAAAATATTATAGTTCCCCAGTTTTAATTCGGTTTTATAATAGTACCTCATTGAGTAAAAGTTAATTTTCTTAACAATAGATTACTACTAGGGATGTACCGACTACAGTCGGCCGACTAGTCGGTTTTGTCAAAACCGGTTAAAATTAGTTTAATCGACCGAAAATTGGTGTCAAAGTGTAGATAATCTTCCGCTAGTTACGATTCTGAAATCGCCGTCACGATATATGGTCCAATAAACACGCAAAGCGAATTCAAAATTTCCAAAAATTTTCCAAAAAAGTGGTTAAAATTGGTTAAGTATTGTATAAACTGCCCTAAATTGTGTTATTCATTATTTTTGTACTAAGTTACTACAAAAAATTAAATGTTAAAAATATTCAAAAAAATTTAACACATTTTTTGAAAAAAAAAGAAACTTCAGTTATTCCTTTTATTAAAATAAAACAAGTTTTTAAGGTAGTCAGAGAAATAGAAAAAAAACCCACTGTCTGTTGCATTTATAAACAGTCGGCCGACTGTAGTCGGTACATCTCTAATTACTACGGCCGGTCCTGGCGGCTTGTTATAAAACTGAGTTCCTTGCCATAAATTAGAAAAAACAGCCGAGAACTCTAACAATCAGCTTATGGTAGAGGAGGCGATAAGGGTTTTACCTGGGAAGCCGCTTCCGTAAATTTTAGTAGCGCTCCTATCGGCAAAGTACTGAACTAACTGCTCAAATTCTGTTGAATTGATACCCATTTTTTTCAATAATTGTTAGTTTTTGTTAAAAACTCTGCTAACCAATAGATCATTAATTTTCCTCAGATATTCCTGTTAAAATTATTCGACGTATATTTTGCATTAATTTGTGGTATATTTTGATTTTAATAAACACATTATTATTTAAATAAATTGGACCACTAACAAACATTTAATGACTCTGCGCCCTGTAAAAAGTGATGTTTTATCCATGTGCGAATTTTCAAGCGATTCTATGATGGTTATGACTTAAAAAACTTGAAAAGAAAACATACAATGGTGC